CATGGAGACGAGCAGTGCGCAGGCGATTACGTATTGTTTGGGCAGTCACACGACCTCTAAACAATTCATTCCTAGTGGACGTTGCAGTGAGAAATTGATATACGCAAATGACGTAAGACGATTTGTCGGACTTCAGCTTGTGACCGACGTTCCCGTATTCAGCATGCCAATGGCGCACGTTCACGTTGAATGTTTGACAGTCGTGGCATTGCAAATCAACGGATAATTGTCTGTAAGAACTTGTTTTTCCGAGATGTCACTCTACCGTGCTAACTTGGGCTCAGTTGCACGTGTCTCATAAGGTCACGTGACTAGGAACACGCGAAAACATGCTTTTACCGTGATGTACCCCAGCGGGCACACAACGTTGAATCAACGTTGAATCAACGTTGAATTTTGGTTGTTTGGTTGATCAACCTTTCATAAACGTTGATTCAACGTTTATCATGCGACCAAAGAAAGTTAGTCGAGATTCGTTTAGTTGTCAACGTTGTTTCAACGTAAGGAACCAACAAAATGTCAACTAATTGTTTCCTTGGCAAATTTGATACATAATTCATATTGGTAATAGGTATCCAACTTAGCAACTATCATTTCGGAACATTATTTTCATAAAGATCAAGATCGAGCTAGTGACAAAGATATAATCTTATATATTATTTGATTATTGCATCGATCAACGGACGGAAATATTACACGTAAATCGCAGTTTTAGGTATAAAGTCATCAGTTATCCAAATTGCATTACGTTTGATATTTTCCCACAAAACTGAAAATTGTGTATAATTCCCGACAATTTAGCTTTCAAACACAAACCAGATGTTGACCTTTCGATCGCCTCGTTTGGCCATATCGGACATGCGCACAATTATCGCGCGTAAAAGGCAGCTGAAGTCGTTGTCAGTTCACTTTGGCGAAAATTCAACATAATATCGTTCTATTTTCACCATCTTCGGCATGCTGGTGTTTATTTGGTAAGTGTCCTTCGTATTATGAAACGTAGGAATGCCGTTTAAATCTAACGGTAACCAAAACTCTGAATTAGGGCTCATGTTTTATCTCCTGAGTTACCGGTATGTCACAGTACATGTTTTCTCAAAATTTTGTTTTGTTATTTTTCAATATATTTGCATGCATATATTTGGCATTTTATTATATAATCAGATTTCCTTTCGTACCCATCACCTGATTTGAATTTTGCAAATATACATGTTCAAATAATCAATGAAATTACATCAATATAAGGAACCGTTCATAATTAAATATATGGCTGCGGGTGGGGTGTTGATTGTAAGGAGGTTCGGAGGTGGGGTGGGGTGTCACCCATTTTATTCCGGGGAGCTAAGGGTCAGCATTTTTTGTACACATGCACTATGTTTGAAATTATTGGAAGGGAGGGCGTCATAGATAATGTACATGACATGCAGGGGTGGGCCGTCTCTTATTCTGTACATACTCAAACACTTTTTGTTTTTGGAGGTGTATTCACATTGTACATAAAATCAACATCCTCCCAAAGGCATACATTATGAACGGTCTAAAGACTGGCTATACAAAATCGGATAGGATTAATCAACATTTTATATTGCATCCCATTATTATGAGCATTTGTTCGTTTGAATAGATCTATCAGTAAATGATGCATTGAGCACACCTGAACTATCAACATATGTATATTATTGGGGGAGGGGGTGGTGGAGAATGGCGTAAAGAAATGCAATGAAAATTTTCACTTTAAAATGTCTTGTGAAAGTCTTTGTTAAGGATGAAATTGTATATAATTTATTTGAACTTTTATTTATTTTACAAAAAGTGTAACTTCACTAATGATTCTTTGATGGGACAATTAACAAAACTGCACCCACAGATTCTTTCATTCTTACACTTGCATATATATTAAAGGTTAAAATCTTTTACATACAAAAAGAAGTAATTTTAATGTAAGGAGCATTTAATTATGAAATAAGATTATTTTTTTTATCCTCATCTTCGAAGACTGGGTGCTTAACAATTTTGTGGATCACATAAAAGGAGCAAGGCTAAGGTAACACGTTTTAACATTCTTCACTGAGCTCTTCCAGTATATCACCACAAAGTTTAAGAGAAAGATGATAATGCTCTTTCATTACCACCTGTTTTGAATATTTGTGATAATGTTTGGTCTTTTTGGTGATAATAGTTGGTCTTTATTTCTCATTTATATATTAAGGTTGATCATTTAAGAGAAAAAACTGACAATGTATGTTAAGCCCGCTACTTTTTACTTTATATATCAATGAACTTACAACAGAAATGACGACAGCAGATTGTAAAGGTATTTATATTTCCGAAGACGCTCCAAATGTGTGTTCTCTCTAATATGCGGATGACGTGGCTAACTCAACAGATACAGTAGGGAGACTACAAAAACATATTGATGTTCTTAGTACCTTTTGTGACAAATGGGGTCTCGCTCTAAACAAAAATAAATCGCAGATTATAGTTTTTCGAAACGGACGATACCTGCGCAACTACGAAAGGTGGTTTTATAAAGGATCGCAGATTAAGGTCGTGCCATACTATAAATGCCTCGAACTGATCTTTACACCTAAAGCAGTATGGACTCGAGCAACAACAACTTCAGCTCAGCAAGCCGAGAAAGTGTGTCAGGTAATTTACAAACTACATTATATGTGTGGTGCACTGCCGATCAATAGCTGCAAACTTATTCGACAGAATGGTTTTACTAGTCTTGACATACGGAGCTGATATCTGGGGTTTTCAACATTTTCAGCCCATAGAAAAAGTTCAGCTGAAATATTTCAAGAAAATTATATATGTACCTAAAAATGCATGCAATGCTGCCGTTCTTGTGGAAGAAATACTGTTTTCGTCAGACATGTAATGAAGTTACTCACATACTGGACCAAACTTCTTTTGATGGACAATCACCGACTTCCAAATCAGACCTATATGATGTTATATGGATTGGACAGTGTAAATCGTACATCATGGGCTTCAAAAGTTAAACGGATTTTATTTCAATATGGATACACATGGATCATGCAGGACTTCGTAAATAAAACAACGTATCATCGACGTAGATATTCAACAATGGCAAGGAGACATTAAAGACAACTCTAAACTATCTTCATATGCTACCTACAAATCGGTTTTGAATGTCGAACAATATCTAACTCTTATCAACTTAAGAATATACCGTCAAGCTTTATCAAGAATTAGATGCGGATGCCACAATTTAAGGATTGAACTTGGACGAAGAATCGGAATAGATGAAGAAAGCAGATTATGTACACACTGCAGCCGCTACGGAATAAAAGTAGTTGAAAATGAATTCCATTTCTTACTTGTATGCAAAGCGTTTTCAAATCTACGAAAAGCATATATTCACCCTGCATACCATGAACATCCTTCTGTTGCAGCATTTGTTAATCTTATCAGTTCCACATGTCCTCAAACATTGCTGAATTTAAGTAAGTATATATTTCTAGCATTTAAACTGTACACATCGTTACATCAATAATGTTATTATTCTGAATTGTGTATTGTGTATTACTGTAGTACCTTGTGAAATTTATTTAGCGTTATATATTGATATGTATAACAAAATGTGTATATGCGGTTAATGTACGTCCTATGGGCCTGTGGCCTTTGACTTGAATGAATAAACAATTATGTAAGCTTTTCAAACACTGGACATGGAGAATATAGTTAGGCCCACTACTTTTTGGTAGCCCCTCGTAGTTATCAGAAACAGAAGAAAGGTCATAGTTAAGGTAAACAGTGTCTGATTTAAGTTAAAAGAGGTTTTAAGTCAAGGTTCGGTAACATTACAAGTCGGCGTTAGTCTGTATTTAAGTGACAGGCTGTATTTTATAATTCTATTTAATGTATTATAAATATATAACATACACCAACTCACAAGTATATTACCCAACTATATGTGTAAACATTACATTTGTGTGTGTTTAGATTTATGAAAAAGTAACACTCAACTGACATGCCAAAAATTTCTTGCACAATAACACTGTGCAGTTGATCACAACCGTTTGAGAGGAGACGAGTGGTACCCATGGAGAACATATGAACATCTTAACATAAGAAACTTGGTATAAAAATTATCAGACATGTTTAAATGCCTTTTTCATTAATTACTTCGTGATTTGTACTTTAAAATCGGTCCTGTCTATTTATACATGTCTGAACACAGTGAAAATGACTAATGTAAACTTGAAGACAGTCATCAATGCAATGACCCAAATGTCTTTACGTCCGTTGTCCTCATGGCCTTAGACGATCGGCTTTGGCCAAGACTTGATAATTTTTAAATAATAAATATTTTTAACTGTGTATTTAGTCTCAAACATGAAAGCCCCATAATCCCCAAAACATTTAATCTCAACTTGCCAATTTCGTATGGATTTGAAGATGTTTTCCGCGAAAACAGGACTCTTCAAACACAAATAGTAGTATTAATTTGTGTTTGAAATGGAAAAAAAATCATCGTTTCAGTTTTTTCCCTTTTTTGGTTCCTGCATAGAAATGCAATTCAAACGTATCATATGTTAAACATATACCCTTTTCATTCTGAAGCATGTTTTTGAGGAATTATTCATGACTTCTTTGATGGTCACTTATTTGACAACGACATGACAATCTTTGTCGAAACGTCGCCTTTCACAGACTAAAGAAGTTGTATATCCTTAAAATTAGCATTATTCTTCTGAATTAACACGGACGCGGATAACATTATCAATATACTTTGTATATGAAAGCAGTCATGTGTTCTGTATTGCGATAGGGTTGATGTGTGATATATCTACTGCATACAAATTTAACTCTTCCTCAAAATCAAGCTATTAATGCAATAGACGAGTGACCCTGGGGCCGTATGAATAGATAATTAGACTGTGATGAGGTAATGACGCTTTGCAATAGTCTCCGTGACCTCGTGGCCCATTCATGAAAGTTTACGATAGAGGTCCCGGGGAGGATGCATAATGTCTTCAAACAATATGCTAATTTTTTACAGCCTGCGAAGTTCATTTATAAGGGCCGGGCCTCCTGTTTGCATCATCGGCATCCCCATCCTGCTCTGGACATCACCAACTGTCTCCACAGCTGCCACAAGCATGAAGGTAACATATTTTCTGCTAACGCATTACTCAATCAGAACAACATTTGATATTTGATGGAAGATCAACCCTGTTTATTATAATCGTAGGTTAGAGTATGCTATGTTTCACAAATATAAAACTTTACTTAAGTAGCTCTTCCTACGCTAAAGCACAGATTCGACTTGACCAACTTTGAGACAAACATGAAACCACTATAATGAATTAAGCATTCTGACAAATGATATCGCATGTGCCCCTCTATTAAGTTTAAACAAGAATGTCGGAGTCCACAGTGTCAATGTCATTATTGCGCCAAGGATTTGAATACAAGAAAATTGGTGCAAGACCGTTAGAAAGTATAATTCATACCTTGTAAAGTTGAAGTGCTCACATGAAGATTACACCCATCTTCAGCAACCGATGCTTGTCGCAAGAGGCGACTAACGGAATCGGGTGGTCAGGCTCACTGACTTGTTTGACACAAGTCATCGTATCCCAAATGCGTAGAACCATGCTCATGTTGTTGATCTCTGGATTGTCTGGTCCAGATTCGATAGAACAACCAAAACAAACAAACAAACAAACAAACAAAACAAACATACAGAGGATTCAGTGAACGTACAGGTGAACATTAAAGTTTAGTATTATTTTTTTTAAAATGTGAGAATATGTATTTGGTTTCTTAGTGACTCTTCGTCAACGTGGTGACGTGAATATACATGTTGATTAGTGCCTTTGCTGTATAACATTTTGTCTCACTTGGCCAATGCGTTTTTCCTCAGGTCGTCATCGCTGCGTTGTCCGTGCTGGTCTGTTCCGCCTTTGCTCAGGTGCCTCTCCGTGGTAACTCTCTCGTGGGTGGGCCTCTCGGTCTTGGTTTCAACAAAGGAGGCGTTATCGGCAGCGTTGGTGTTCATGGTTATGGCCATGGCTACAACCCCAAAGGCTACAACTACGGCTATGGTAAAGGTGTTGCTGGTCCCTTCGTCGCCGGACACGGATCTGGTCTTGTTGGACAGGGACCTTTCGTCGGACATGCTGGTTCATTTGCAGGACATGGAACCTTTGCTGTAGGAAACGGACCCTTTGTTGCTGGAAAGGGACACGGCTATGGTCACAACTCCTACAACGGACTCGGCAATGGAGTTGGTCTTGTAGGAAATGGACTCCTTGGACACTCTGGACACGGCCTCGCTGCACCCCTTGCATTTGGAAGCGGTGTTGCTGGTCACGGGTATGGCTACGGTTACAACCCCTACAATAACAACTACGGCTACGGTAAGAACGTCGGACATGGAGCTGGTCTTATTGGAAATGGAGGCCATGGACACACCGGACATGGCCTCGTCAGACCTTTCGCTGCCGGACACGGTGTTGCTGGTCATAGTTACAACCCCTACAACAACATTTACGGCTATGGTAAGAACGTCGGACATGGAGCTGGCCTTGCTGGAAATGGACTCCATGGACACACCGGACATGGCATTGCTGGACACGGTCTCGTCGGATCTTTCGCTGCCGGACACGGTGTTGCTGGCCTTCGAGTCGGCCAATTTAGAAATGGAGTTGGTCTGGGAAAGGTCGGATTCGGCGGAGTTGCCACTGGCCATTATTACTAGACATATGAAAGTGGAATGAATGTACCCGAGGAATGAATGTATGAATGTGTTTTGTACTAGCTGGTTTCTTTCTTTCAATGCTATTTTTCTAAAATAAACAAATGCACACATATTATAGACCATCTTATAGTTTTCTTTCGATCCTATCAATGATTGTTCAGCTCGGGCGAAAGTTGATAGGAGGCATTTATTTTTATATCTGAGATTAACTGTGTGCAGTTCCTGTGCTGGGTTTCCCAAGTTATACGTCTAAATATGTTACGAACCTAATTTGGATTATAGAATCCCTATGATATCATTACATCTTCCTATTTTTAGGTTACTATTTCTTTCCATATTCACTAAACGCCTGTCGTGTACATACTACGGTAATTATACTAGGCATTGACCCTGTATTACCAAAGGTATTATATTTTGAAGTGACGATTGTCAAAATTACGTGTTCAGAAACTTCCATCGATCTTGGGAATAGGACACTGCCCCCTTTAACCACAACAAGTTAGCTTTGTTCTGTTATTTTGAAGGCATTGTCTTTAAATTCTGACAGTTCAAAGAATATTTAAACAGTTTCCGTTTTGATGGGAAGTAATTTCCTGTATGTCAATTATAGATGTTCAAGACACAAGACACTAACTGGCATTCACTGTATATATGTTACAGTGAATGTGTCAAATCAGGAAATGTGTAGATTTCCTGAAATATTTAGGAAATGTGTACATTTTCCGATTCACTCAGTAAATGTACACATTCGCATAGAACTATCAGCGTAACATCATCATTAAGCATTCTACAACAGCGTGCACACAGGAGAGCCTGTAAAATATTATTGATGCAACAGATATGAGCAAAAGCGTTCAGATCAGGAATATGTGAGGAATGTTTGTCAGATAATATCCACAATGTACAATTATATTTATAGAATTCATATTCTAAACATTAACTATGATGTTTAAAATGCCTATCAACAAAACATAAGCCTAGTCTAAAATGACTTATAATGTAATGATGAGATAACAATAGCAGTGGTGTAAATGATTTACATTAAGGTAGATGATAAATGAAGTAATATGAAGATTAACTGTTTATAGAATAATGAATACCGGCTGGTACAAAAGAATAACGGAATCTATTAGTTGTAGCTAACAATTAGCTGCTTTACCGATGCAATCATTGGTATAAATAATAAACAATATGGGTGACCAAACACATCCTTGTGGAGCTCTATCATCATCCTCACACCTTCATCCCCTCACCAGCAACCAAGTACCTTCATCTTCATACCATCATCTTCACATTGTCACCGCCAAATAGCTGGTTGCCTGCAGTGAATGGTTTTCATTTACCTTTCCATGTCGATGTCATACGAAATCGAACGTTGGGTCCAATGTTCATAATGTTGTACCTCAGAAAAGAACCGTACTGATGCCTTTGCTAGAGAGGACGGCAACACGTCAGATGCTTGATGAAATGAGAATATATGTGGGGTTTATTTTCAGGGATTAACTCATAAGCTGGACACAGAGCAACTGTCCACAAATATCAGACAAGAGCTGAAATGGTAATTTGACTATTCATGATATGTTTAAATTATGCATTTCTCATGGAAGAATCACCATCATACAACTTTGAAAATACGCCAGGTAACAGCTACACTGCGCATTTTGCTCTTCGTGGTCAGTAATTCAAAGAGTTCAGTTTTAACGTTTAGTTGGCAAGTGCTTGTGCTCAGTACAATGTGAAATCCAGATCTTGGTTTAAACTAGAGTGCATCTCTTAAATCTTTCAGTATTTTCAAAGGATAACTTATAACAACAAACAATAGTCACTGTGCCTCACATTACTGCGAACACATCACAATGATAACCGTACTACATGTCATTTATTGCTTACAAAAATGTCAAATTGGATTAGTACAGCATGCCGGGACGACACTAACTGTAACGTGACTTGACGTGACGTGACGTCAAAGTACTGTATAACGTCATCAACAATATGTCACAGCACTCTGGATTATGAAGAAATTGCCCATGTTTCCAAGGAATTATCACAATTACATAGTATTTGAACTTGAACTGAATTACTTCTGATATATCTGAGCTACCCCTCGTTTCTAGTAATCCGTGGGTGATCAGATTACCCAGGACAGCCTCGTTTGGTTTAATTACTTTTTCACTTTTATGAGTCAAGTTAATCTTTCGGTAAAGTACCTGTGTTTACTGGGAGTTTAGAATGTCTATGCTTTGTCCAAACGACTGAATTCTGTGAGACTAGGTGTTTGTTTAAGCGTGTCCGCTCAATCGTAATTTCCAAGGGACATTATAGGACAGACAGACAGAAAGACAGGTAGTTTATTTGAGTCTCACCTCTCATACAATAACCAAAACACACAAATAGATATAGTTCGTCAAAAAAAATGGATATAGGGCCATTCAGTACGGAATTACGAGAGACTTTACACGTTCAACTGTACAATAGATTTAAATCAGATTATAGTTTAAAACGTAACACATATACCCATATACCCAATAATGGTTGTAACACCCTTCAATTTTATTAATAGGCTGGGTGATAACAAGCATTATTGGCATGAGCATATTATGAGTTGTATAAAACTTTAGGGGTAGACCTTCAGAGCTAATACCCTTCTAAGTAACCAAGTCCAGGTTATTCGCTCTATGGGGCGCTGAATTATTAAATCCCAGGTGATAACTGGTTGTAGCCGACTTAATTGGATGCCTTATCTGCATTTTGTCAATTGTCTTGTCAAAGATAAGTTAAATTATCTTTGGTAATAGCCGTAATCAGTCAGTAAAATCAATAAATTATTATTATTATCAGCAATATTCCAGCTATATGGCAGCGGTCTGGAAATAATCTAGTCTGGACCAGAGAAGCTAGTGATCAACAGCATGAGCATCGATCTGCGCAATTGGGAACCGACGACATGTGTCAACCAAGTCAGCGAGCCTGACCACCCGATCCCGTTAGTCGCCTCTTTCGACAAGCATGGGTTACTGAAGGCTCATTCTAACCCGGACCTTCACGGGTCGATCCACAAAGGCATGCTTCTGATTTTTTGTATGATTATGTGAAGCTTGTATTTCTGCTAACAGAAATATAATGAGTATCCCGCACAATGGAAGACTGACTAATAATGGTTAAAGTCATAGTTAAGGTAAAACGGATTTTTACGTAAGTTTGTTCTGATCATATTGTATCGGAATAATTAGCGGGAGACCAGGGCCTCGTTTCACAAAGCTCTCGTAGCGCTACGACTATCGTAAGTCAATGTCACAGTAAAGAAAGTACGAATGCTACGAGAAAAGTTACGAGATCTTAAGCTTACGAGAGCTTTGTGAAACGGGGCCCCGTTTGGAATTTTATTATATATATTTTATTACACAATACAACTCATTTGTGTGTGTTAAAATTTATCAAACGGATTAATTTAACATTCAATTAACACGCCAAAATGCCTTTACATAATAAAATAGTACAACTGTTCACAACCATTTGAGAGGCGACAAGTGGCATCATAATAATCCAAACACCCATGGAGAATAAATGAACAGATGAATCGTGGAATAACATGTATCAGATGACTGTACTTCTGATTCGATTCAGTTTTGAAACATATGAAAAAAGTCAATGTCCTAAGATGAACATTTTACCATGATTAAGATTGTATACCCATTGGCGTCTATCATGGCCCTAGGTCTGCTTTGGTCAACATTTGCTCATTTTCAGCACAAGTTAGTCTTAAGTTTGAATTTAGTTTCAAACATGAAAGTAATGTCATCCCAAACTGTTAACCTCACTCAGAGGCGCATGGTAAGTTTCCTAAGGATTTTTGAATGTTTACCTAAAAGAAATTTTCAAGCACCAATAGTGTAACGGATCAATGTTTAACATGTCAAAACTATACCAACCTTGCACTCTAACAACGCATAACCATATTGTTTACAAATGCAGTTCAAACGTAATATACAATTCACACATATCCGTAATATTCGAAGCATTGTTAGTCATAGAAGATGATAACATTAACGATACACCTTTTGATAATGGCAGTTCTTGTTCATTATTGCGGTGAAAAACACATTAACTGAAGTAGTGAGAGTAAACTAACTTTTCCCTAGAAGAAGGCTATGAATACTATGCATGGCCCTGAGGCAACAGGAATGGATAATTAGACTCTGATGAGGTAATAACGTTTTACAGCAGGCTCCCTTGACAGGGTGACCCTTCATTTACGATGGAGATCCTGGGGTGTGTGGAGATTTAGCATAATCTCTTCAAATATTATGCTAATTCTAACAACGGGATAAGTTCCTTTATAAGGACCGGGCCTCCTGTCTACAGCATCAGAATCCTCATCCTGCTGTGGTCATCGTCAACTGTCTCAACAGCCGCTACAAGAATGAAGGTAACACATTTACTGGCTTCGATATTACTTTTAAATTATCACACTACAATATTACATTTGATGAAAGATCAGTAATCTTTAGTTCATGTGTATTTTCTCTCGTTTATGTTTCATCGTTATATATTTTTACTTATTCGTAAGATATCTTTCACAGATGCATAGATTCACCGTCTTCAATATAAAACGCGAGGACTGTTGGAAAATATAATTCACACTTTGCCTTTGTAAGTTGAATGAAAGCAATGCTCACATAAAGAGAACTTAGTCAACTCATCTGTAAGGTTTGACACTGATTTTTTTAAAACACCTTAAGAACGTATTTGGAATCTGGATGGCACTTCGCTCAGTCCTCCCTTTGACAACGTGAATATACATGTTGATTATTGTCTTTGCTGCTTAACATTGTCTCATTTGGTCAATGCGTTTTTCCTCAGGTCGTCATCGCAGCGTTGTCCGTGCTGGTGTGTTCCGCCGTTGCTCAGGTGCCTCTCCGTGGTAACTCTCTCGTGGGTGGGCCTCTCGGACTTGGTTTCAAAAAAGGAGGCGTTATTGGCAACGCTGGTATTGGTGGTAAGGGTTATGGCTACGGCTACAACCCCAAAGGCTACAACAACTACGGCTACGGCAAAGGTGTTGCTGGTCCCTTCGTTGCTGGACACGGATCTGGTCTTGTTGGACAGGGACCTTTCGTCGGTCATGCTGGTACATTTGCAGGACATGGAACCTTTGCTGTAGGAAATGGTCCCTTTGTTTCTGGAAAGGGACACGGCTACGGCTACGGCCACAACTCCTACAACGGTCTTGGCAATGGAGTTGGTCTTGTAGGAAATGGACTCCTTGGACACGCCGGACACGGCCTCGCTGCACCCCTTGCATTTGGAAGCGGTGTTGCTGGTCACGGGTATGGCTATGGTTACAACCCCTACAACAACTACGGCTACGGTAAGAACGTCGGACATGGAGCTGGTCTTACTGGAAATGGAGTCCATGGACACACCGGACATGGCGTTGCTGGACCCCTTGCAGTTGGAAACGGTGTTGCTGGTCATGGATATGGCTATGGCTACAACCCCTACAACAACAACTACAGCTACGGTAAGAACGTTGCACAAGGAGCTGGTCTGGTTGGAAATGGAGTCCATGGACACAATGGACATGGCGTTGCTGGACACGGACTCGTCGGACCTTTCTCTGCCGGACACGGTGTTGCTGGGCTTGGAGTCGGCCAGTTCGGAGTTGGCCTCGGAAAGGCCGGATTCGGCGGACTTGCCACTGGCCATCATTACTAGACATTACTAGACTAGATATCCGAAGAAAGAAAGAATGAATGAATGTGTTTTGTACTCCTTGGTTTCTTACTTAAAATATACTTCCGTTTTTTCAAATAAATAATAGACAATTATAACTCTCTTTTAGTTGTTTCTTTGGTAACATCAATGCATAATTATGGTCTGAAACTCTGACAGAGATTGACAGGATCAATATCCATCAATATCCCTCTGCCTGCTCTTTACCTCTACTGTGAACAAGATTTTCCAATTGAAATTACACGTGAGGAACAACTGACTGTTATATCGACACGTCAACTTAAAAAGGTAATTTCTCACACATGTTCCTAAAACCTTTGATCAGTATGCACAGAAGAGCCAGTAAATTACTATTGACGCCTTAGAAATGCAAAATCGGTGAATTGACATTCACAATTCTTTCATAATCTAAGCAAACATTCCTAGCATTTCGAAATACCATACCGATAATTATGGACACACCGGCAAAGCAGCCACATCATAAACAAGTCTTCATTCCACACCTTGCTAAAGTCTCATAGACCAGTCTGCTTCTCCACTCAGGACTTACTGAAAAAACTCTCCCCCAAAAAAGAAACTCATGGGTGTATTTTCACGAATTTAATCTGCTAATTATAAAGTGAGATAACACATGCAATTTTAGATCAGTTGCAGACAAATTCCATAGTATAAAAGATCAAATGTCTGGAAATACGTATAGCTTGTCAAAAGTTAAATAAGTGAAGGCGTCCGTTGCCAGTCTTTAATATCTGTTGTGGGCACCAAAACTGCTCTGCACCGTGTCGGCATGGACTGAATAAGTCTTTTAATTCGACCTTGTGGAATTCTGCCCCACGCCTCTTGCAATGCGTGCGATAGTTGGTCTAACGTTTGGGGCGCCGGTTGACTGTCGCGTACACGTCGGCCGAGATCATCCAACAAGTGCTCGAAGCTCGAAAGTGATTTCGAAGGTCAATGAAGCACTGTAATGTTCTCATTCTGAAGATACTGAATAGTGGCATGTGCTGTGTGATGCCTGGCATTATATTGGTGGAACAACTCACTTTGGTGGTCACTGATCGGAACCATGTGAATCCTTGCGATTTCGTCTCTGTACCGAATAGCAGTTAATATATATATATAAAAGAACAAGAGATGGTAAGATGGTTAAATTGTTATTATTTCATTGCTGAGATCTGTGTGATGTACTCGATACACTGACAGTGCCATAATCAGTTCCATTAGGCTACACCGCCGTTCCAAAACATGGGTATACAGAATGTCAAGTCACAAGAATAAAAATGCGAAATTTCTCAGTTCAATATCGTGTATGGCCGCCCTGCGCATTCACCACTGCCAAACACCGTCTCCTCATTGACTGCCTGATGCTTGTGAACACGTGGTTGGGGATTCTGCGCCATTGCTCTTGCAAGGCAGCACCAAGTTCCTGCAAATTCTGAGGCTGGTTCCTAAGACCACGAAGCCTTCACACAAGTGCATCCCAAACGTGCTCTATTGGATTAAGGTCAGGGGACCTCGATGGCCAGTCCATGACGTTGATTCCAGCGTTTTGAAGGAAATTTCGTGTCAACATCGCGGTATGCGGCCGAGCAGTATCATGCTGGAACTGCAGACCTGGGCCATGAGCCGCCATGAAAGGAAAGAGTTCAGGGGTGAGCACCTGGTCGCGGTAAGCAGCAGCTGTGAGGTTTCCACGGATGACCAGAAGTCGGGAACGGTTGTTCCCACAGAAAGCACCCCACACCATGCAACTTCCGCCCCCAAATCTGTCGACTTCCTGTACATAACATTGGGCATACAGTTCACGACGTCGTCTCCAGACTCTATGGCTGCCGTCCGCGAATCTGAGGGGAAACCTGGATTCATCGCTTAAGACGACTCGATTCCAGTCTCTCTGGGTCCATCGGAGGTGACGTTGGGCCAACAGCAGACGTTGACGTTGATGAAACGGCGTCAATATTAGCCCACGATATGGACGTCGAGAATGGAGATTGGCAGCCCGCAACCGATTTCGAATGGTCTGTGAGGACAGTCGACCTCTAAACATCTCAGCCCTGGTTCGTGTAGCCGGCAGAAATCTGTCACGTAGGTGACGTAGGACGATTTGACGGTCTTCTGCTCGTGACGTCACACGTGGACGACCCGACCTTGGGCGATCAGAAGTGGTGCCAGTTTGTTGTAGACGACCTCGCAAGTCGACCTACACAGTACGACGGCTGCATCCCATTGCTCTTGCGACGTCAATAACTGATCTTCCCGCTTGCAACATGCCAACGGCACGTTCACGTTGCACATTTGACAATCGTGGCATTTCAAGTACCGTTAGAACTGTGGTTTAAAAGTGTTTTTTCAATTCTTGAGGCCAATGCAAACACGTGCATATGAAAAAAACTTCGATGCGAAGATCACGACTGCACGTGCAAAACCTGATTTGGCACTAACATCATTTGCACGACGAATGGATGGGTTTGATTGGGTTTTGCTAACGTTTTTCTAGAGTCGAAAGATAGGGATCCCATTTCGGATACATAGATGTATCATCAGAGAAAAATTATTCATTATTTTTCAAATTACATTTTGTGAAGTTTCTTTTTTGACTCAGTATATATACATAGTAAAGTTGAACATTAAGTGATTGATGTTTGCACAATTAATGGGGTTGATGTACAAGGTTGGAGGATGTTTACACAAGAAGGCACTTGTTACACAGAGTAAGCTATGGGGGATTATTGGGAGGACGCCAGTGATATGACAGACAGGAAAATAATGGGATTAAACCCACCTCACCCCTGACAGCATCATCCGACTCATCAACTCGAACTCCTGCATCAGTTCAACCTATTTCACCTGGCAAGACAACTTCCACTCAAACAAGTTAGGGGTAACATGTTGTACATCAGAAATATAATGTACTTTACAATAATGGAATAATACTGCATGTATGTAACGTCAACTTTATTTTCCATTCGTTTAGTAATACAAAACAGTATCAATAGAACAAGAAAACCACTCATACATCAGGCAGCATATAAGGGCACGTCTCTAGTGGTAGTAGAGGGAACTGACGAAGGACCCAGTAACACCATGACCAACAAAAGGTCCATCATGTCCATAAACACCGTGTCCAGAATCTCCGTGTCCAACGAAAGGGCCATGTCCAACAACTCCATTTCCTACAAGGCCAGCTCCATGTCCGACGTTCTTACCGTAGCCGTAGTTGTTGTGAGGGTTGTAACCGTAGCCATACCCATGACCAGCAACACCGTGTCCAACCGCTAGGGGTCCAGCAAGGCCATGTCCGGCGTGTCCATGGACTCCATTTCCAACAAGACCAGCTCCATGTCCGACGTTCTTACCGTAGCCGTAGTTGTTGTTGTAAGGGTTGTAGCCGTAACCATGCCCGCGACCAGCAACAGCGTGTCCAACTGCAACGGGTCCAACGAGACCGTGTCCGTTGTGTCCAAGAAGTCCATTTCTTACAAGACCAACACCATTGCCGAGACCGTTGTAGGAATTGTAACCGTAGCCGTGTCCCTTGTCACCAACGAAAGATCCAAGTCCAGCATCTTTCCCAACGCGTTTATTGTAGCCGTAGTTGTTGTAGGGGTTGTAGTCGTTGTAAGGATGGTTCTTGATGTAAGGGTTGTAGCCGTAGCCTGAACCAGCAACGCCAACAGTGGCAACACCGAAGGATCCCTTTCCGAAAGGCACCTGGGCCACGGCAGAGGCGACAAGCACGGACAATGCAGTGATGATGGTCTGAAAATAACAGAAACATTAGGTTTGACAGCATCAACTTTAGTGGATTATAATAACATCGTTGTTAATTGTCACATTATGGATGAATTTACAACTATGTTAGTGATAATTATAACACGATCACACACCACTCTGATACGGAAATCATCAATGATTTCCGTGATGCATTGTGATTTGCTTATCTGTCTCTCTTCTCCAAAGACAAAATACGTGTTTTTAGATAATGATATATACCCTGTGTCTAACGAAAATGCAGGCCGACCCTTCAGGATAAAATGGCTGTTCTCCCAAATGTATCCAGTATTATTCCCTTGATCCTAAATGTATCCAGTAATATTCCGTTGATCAGGAAGCGTGTACAGATTACTGGGAATTAACTGTACATGTGAGTGTTGGTACAACTGTATCTTATCTTCATGATTGTGGCGTATTCTAATTTTGATTTTAACCGTTATGCTTTCGAAAATGCCCATTTCTGAATGGAATAAATACAATTGTAATTGTAGTGGTACTCCCAAGACGTCGAGGGTATAATGTTAATATGTATTTGAAGATATATAATGCTTCTTATGTAATAGACAAAAACTTGGAAAAGTTATGCTCACCAATCAGTATGCGTGTATATACATCGGTTTACAATAGGTTTTTGTCATCAATTTTGTAGTAACCAGAGCGAGACAAGATTACTTTCTTTATTAGACTTAAAAATCATGCAGAAAAACATACACACATATAAACTTAAATTCAAACATTTTTGAAACACAAATCTATGTATGTATTACAAATAGTAATTACATAATCTTTATACAAGCTTGGGACGTAATGTTTCAATGGTTTAATGAACTGTCTTTAAAAAGTGTGGAGAGTGAACGTTTAATGACTTGGGATTAATACCTCGTCCGGGGCAATACATTCGATGTAATTTTCACCGCAAGAGATTATAGTCTCAAGCATTTATAATAAGTGCGATTCGGTATACGTAGAGGTCTGGAAATTCACACCTTCATTCTGGAGAATAATATCGTTGGGACAAGATTTTTGGAAAAGAATGATATTTTACATAACCTTTTCATACCTGTACCATTATTCGTCAATGCGTTTCAGCTAAAAAGATACTACAATGATGTACTTTCTTTAATATTGTTTTCAGTTTGGGGTAAACCTTTAATGACTTGGGATTAATTCGTCGCCCGGGGCAGTACATTCGATGTCATTCTGACCGCACACGGTGTCGGGATCATAGCCTCAGGCTTAAATCTTAAATGAGATTCGGACACAAATAGGTACTATGCAAATTCACAGCTTTTAATTGCTTTCATGAAATATCCCACCAAAGTTGTCGTGGACACATTAGTTTTGCATCATAAACCATCTGAGAATGAATGACTGAATTGTATAACCCATGACGTTGATGTAAAGAATTGATGACTGAATTGAGTAATCATTTAAATGTGAATGCAACCATAGAAAAAACCCCAATCAAATAGTTTATAACAGTTATCAAACTTGCAAATAACGTATACAGTCGTGTTGTGTTATGAAGGTGTGAAACAGCAGTTCCAGTTTAATCAGTTGATCTGTCTCTTCGCAGATCTTTAACACCATTCAAGTGAAAGTAACAACTACATTAACAAAATGTTGAAGTAAAATTGTGTTTGCAAGTTGAATCGGGCATACGAACATGTACTATGTGCTAGTTTGTTCGGTTTCTAATGAAATTTTGTGAGGTTAAATCTTCTTGTTATATGAAGGAATGCTACATATAAGACACAGTACAAGTTGCACGGTACGTAAGTCCCAACACATTTAGAGTAAATTTAGGCTTGCCACGTTTTTAATCGTAGAATATGTGTGCTTTTAATTTATAGCTAGATTTCTCTTCTGTCGCCAATGGCTGAAGGGATGGTGTAAATCCAACTAGGGTCCATGCAGGTAGCAAAAGTAATGTAAGTCCCCATGGTCCCTGGTATGGTGATTTACCTTCAGTTATTGGCGATTTATAGCTCATTTTTATACTGTATTGTTTTCCCCCTATAGTTAAAACGTTTTAGATTTAATTACTAGTTTTACATACAAATCTGTGATATTCTAGTTGTTTTACTGTCCTTCGTCGGCAGGTATTTTTAATATACATATGTTTCATTTCAATGTCAAATGTTCTCGTCACGATATGGCTGAAATATTGCCGATGTGACGTTAAATATTGACTCACTCACTCACTCACTCACTCACTCACTCACAAGTTGTACATTTAGGCAAATCACTCTTCAGAAGAGAATATACATCGTATGAAAAGGGCATTTGTCTTTATTCAATGTCAGTGTAATTTTTTTCCTTGGCTGCATAAAAGACACAACAGAGAAGGTGACAATAGGTACTCATCGCGTTTATCAAAGGCTAAACAGGTAACAGAGGGTGATAAAACCTACAGACTGAAACCTACAGTATATACACCATATCACCACCAATGGGCAGAGAAGGACAAGATAAGAGAAAAGAAGAAATAAAGATTACATATATTACATGCAATATCAGTTCATTACATGTTTTCGAAAATCTTATAAAAACGGAAAGGCTCACAACACTCGGTCAAATGGGAAAGGATAGAAAAGCAAGATTAGTGCAAAATGCGTCACTGTACCCAACAACATACATACGAAATTATCTGGTATACATAATGTTTACGTCGGCAAATGATATTAAACAAAAGTGTACATTTTCGTGGACTAAAAATTTAAATCATTATTTTACTCGTTTGTTTAACATACAAGTCTCTGTTCAAGGCGTTATTTTCAACAACCATCTGTTGGCAAGTGTTAACTGAATGAAAATTGGAAAGTTAAAACAAAATGGCAATTAACGATATTTTTATCAATAGAGACAGGTACTGTGTGGGTCAGGGTTATAAACAGTTTACAGAAAAAAACAGAAATATTTAATGACAGTTAGAAATCATCGATGAATATCCTTGTGCATTTTACTTGCAATATTTTCGTGATTAATACTGATCGATCAGCAGGATGTGGACGTTGTACAAATTCGATAATGGAGGTTACCTGATGTTCGTTTAGCGGTGGAACTCATAGGGTGGCCGTCACGTGACCCTGTGACGGTTTTAAGGAAAACCAAGGTTGTGGCATCAGTCTTCTCAACACTGGTGCATCTTCAAGTCAAGTCTGTTCATCATGAAGGGACCGCCTCCTTGGTGTAGTGGTTAGAGTGTCCGCCCGGAGAGCGGAAGGTCGCGGGTTCGATCCCCGACCGCGTCATACCAAAAGACCTTAAAATATGGTACTTGTTGGTCCCTGCCTGGCGCTCGGCATTAATGGGTACAACAAGGACTGGTCGGCTCGGAGTCAGTATAATGTGTCTGAGTGGGGTATTCATGCTTCACTGCGGCATGGTATCTCAGTGGGCTAGCACTATAAAACCAGCTTCAGTCTGGGCTAGTACAAGCAGCCGCACATACACATATTCTCAAGCACGACGTAAAACCCAATTTCACCTCACCTCACCTCATCATGAAGGTGAGATATGTGCACATCTCTTCAAACTTTATATCTGGTATCTCAGTGATTTCTCAAGCTTATGTTGATCCAGCTAATCCATTCAGTTACGACTCTAATAAAGTTATTTTGTTTTATGTATTCAGGCTGTCGTTGCTGTGTTGTCCGTGCTAGTCGCCTCTACCCTGGCGCAACTTCCCCGTCGATCCGGATCTTTCGGTATTGCTGGAAACGGCTATGGCTACAATCCATACAACAGCTATAACGAATATGGCTATCATAAAGGCGTTGGCAACGTTGGTGTTGATGTTAAAGGTTATGGTTACAACTACAGTCCCTACAACTACAACAGCTATGGCTACGGTAAAGGTGTTGGGAACGTTGCTGGACATGGAGCTGGTCTTGTAGGACACGGACCTTTCGTCGGACACGATCGCTTCGTTGCTGGACACGGCCTTTAGTGACATGATGGCAGTTTCGCTGGTCATGGTCCATTTGGTGGCCAAGGTGTCTACGGGCATGAGGGTTTCGTTGCTGGACATGAACCTTTCGTCGGACGAGGAGCTGCTGGTCGCGGTGTTTATGGACATGGAGAACCGTTTGTGGGACAAGGATTTTCTGTTTCTTTTGTCGGCAAAGCCAGTCCCTACAATCACCATTAGATGCTGTGCTAGAGATGCATGATGTATGACTGTGTTTTATAGGGGATTTCCTCACCCTTTTATCGTTAAATTATCTCAAAGAATAAACACACATGTACCTGACAATATATATTGTTGTATTTACTTACGAATCTTTGAGTGAAATGGATTTAACTAAGCGTTGAACAGTGATATCACTGTTGGTCAACTTTTGATTGGAAAGAAAATCGGAATTGATGCTGACTTTGTTTAAACGTTTAACTTCGAGTAACACGGTTTCGATAAAACAAGAACGCCTAACATACGCACTTGCAAACCCCCTAACACGAACTCAACATAGAACATAACACATAACACGTAACAAAGAAACGAACAGAGGGGAAATCTGTCTCTGTCGTCTCTCAGAGTTGCGTCCACGTGGTGTGGACTGAAGACTGAAGACAGCGTTTGTACATACTGATCTAGCGGTTTATCCCGGCTGTTCCGACAATTGCATTTGTATATGAAGAAACGTTGTAACCAGATCCCCTTCTAATACGGTTCCGTTTACGCCAATATTTAAAGGGAACCTGCATGATAGGTTTTCAATTGGAGCTGAAGAAGTGAATGGCGTATGCTAACTAATGGCAAATGTAGCTTTACTGAGCGGTTTGTATATCAGCTTATGAAGCAGATGTTGAATCCACATAATTAAAAACTTAGGATATAGTATCGGGTGCTTGCAACTGAGCCACCAATATGAATGTAATCAAGCTAGGAAATGTCAGAAATTATGCAAAACCGTTCATAGATTGCTCCTCAATAAAAGCATTCAATAGAACATTTACATGTATCTGTGTCGATATTACACCTGCGTCTCTTTCAGGTAGTTTTGCCTTTGCGCTTGAAACTAAATATTTGAACTTACTACCCTACCGTAAAATCAGTATAGATATTTACAGTCTTTAACTTTCTCCTGTTTAGTTCATTGAATTATTGAAAGAAATAATTATTGAATACAATTGATGTGGAATCATGCAGGGTTTATTGCATTGCTAATGGGGTGTTTGTGAGGACATTCAACACTTCTTCATTATTCCTTGGATAACGGAAAGTACATGTAGACGAAAATTTAAAATTCGTCTTAATGGCGATCATGTTAAAGGAAATCGTGATAAAATCGTCAAAGTTTGCTCGTAGATTATTTATGTTCCTGAATTATTACATTTTTTTAAAACTAGTGGTTATTTATAAATATTGATCACTTAATTGTTGTGAGACTCGCGTTGCTCCAGTGATCATAGCAGTGTCATTGTCTTTGTGTGACAACAACGCTTCTCCATGCCTGTGGCAGTGTAATTCAAATAGTGGCAGTATAAAATATCTTTGCAGTGGTAACAGCAATATAGTCAATGGTAATAATACTCACCTTCAAGTGACTGTGGTCAAGCTTTAGAAACATTTTCATTAATGTTATACTTTCATTTTTAAGACTGGGTATCAAATTTTCTGAAACCTGGCATTGAATGCAGACACTGATGTACATGAATGACACTGTGATAGGTGTCTTTAATATACAAGTTAAATATATTTGGCTTTAATAGTATTCCTGACACAGAGAACACAGATATATAAGTGCGTCTACGCGCCGGCATGTGAGTGTGTGCGCGCGCGTGTATGTGCAAAATTTATGCCTTCTCCAAATTAAAATATAAACAGGAACAGGAACCATTGTTATATGCCAAAAGTGTATTACTGCAGTGGTGATAGGGCACACTTTCGTACCATGTAACGGTCTGTGTAATAGCACATTAGGGAAACTTAAATGAACAGTCAGCTGATTGATACTCTTTTCTATCATATTCAACCATGGTTTCTCACACGTTTCTCAAACCATTCATAGATTACCCCTGATTATTGCATTAATATATTATGTTGTCGAAACTTTGAACTTACCAGCTAGTTTAAATGTTTCAATCCAACAGTAAATCAGTATAGTTAATACAACCGTTAACTTTCTCCTGTCAGGCTCGCTGACTTGGTTGAGACATCTTCTCGTATCCCAGTTGCGTAGATCGACACTCATGCTGTTGATCACTGGATTGTCTAGTCCAGACTCGATTATCTACGGACCACCGCTATGTAGCTGACATTTCCGATAATGACATTATTTCGCATTTGTAGAAAAAGAAAGGTCATAACATATCTGTGATCGTATGACAGGATTTAGTTTGTGTGATTGCTTGCTGTTTAACGCCGCACTTCGACATCGATCTACGCATTTAAGACACGATGACATGTGTCAACCGGGTCAGCCAGCCTGTCCACCAGATCCCGTCATTCGAATTGGTTCTAACCCGGATCTGCACGGTTATCTCTTATGACAAGATCTCACCATATGTACATATGATATCTGAATGTAATGCAATTTACTGTAGATCCATAAAACCGTTTTATTTCGGTTCTGTTGATACATACATACATGCATGCATGCATACATACATACATACATACATACATACATACATACATACATACATACATACATACATACATACATACATACATACATACATACATACATACATACATACATACATACATACATACATACATACATACATACATACATACATACATACATACATACATACATACATACATACATACATACATACATACATACATACATACATACATACATACATACATACATACATACATACTAACACTTGTATAGCGCCGATATCCAGCTCAGCTCAGCTGCTCAAAGGCGCTTTGTTTTTCCCTCGTTCACTGGATGTCAATCTTAACGGCACATCGTATTATCAATCTCAACTCCCTGGGGATCATACAACTCTTGCAGCCACTAGGCGCACTGAGTTATTGTGGCATTCCCATCCTTACGAGGTACCCATTCACAGCTGGGTGGACTGGGACACATAGTCACAGTACTTTGTCCAAGTCTACTGCACGTTGCTGTACCCGCAACTGGGCGTTTGCGCGTATTCATGTGGCACCATCTGGTTGATCCAAGTATATGAAGGTTAAGGGGTAAGCATGTCCTGCGATTAATGAAATCTATTGAAATTATCGTCAGAATAAACCATGACATGATAACCATATACGGTAATTTAAGAAAGTCGTTAATCAAACAGTATAAATCCGGCTCTTTGAATGAAAACAATACATGTTGTCTACATTTTATCTATTTATTGACAATAAATCATTACAGTATAAAAACATTCACACTTAAAGTATTTTAGCGCATATATCTAATGGTAGTAAGAGGGACTAGCTTTGCTAACAACCCTATGACCAACGAAGGGTCAACCATGTCCATAAACACCGTTTCCGACGAAAGATCATGTCCAGCAAAGCTGCCATCATGTCCTTAAAGGCCGTGTCCAGCAATGTAGGGACCGTGTCCAACGAAAGGTCCGTGTCCTACAAGACCAGCACCGTGACCAGCAACACCTTTACCGTAGCCATTGTTGTTGTAGTTGTAGGGGTTGTAGTCGTTACCGTAAGCTTTTCCAGCACCAACGTTACCAACGCCTTTACCGTAGCCATAGCCGTTGTACCCATAGTTGTTGTTGTAGGGGTTGTAGCCATAGCCTGTACCAACAACACCAGCGTTGCCAACACCTATACCGTTACCGTATCCATTGTAGCCATAGTTATTGTATGGATTGTAACCATAGCCTTTACCAGCAATACGTCCATTGTTGAAGCCAACGCCGAAAGTTCCAGCTCCTTTACCAAGGAGAGGTAACTGTGCCATGGCAGAGCAGACCATGGCGGACAACACAGCGACGGTGAACTGACAACAAAGATAAGTCGAAAATACGATCACTCTGTTATGAAAATAGGAAAAATATTTTAAAATCATGTTCATGTTCCCAATAAAAGTATACATGTAAATGTGTCAGAATAAAACTATGATGAATGGATAATGTAAACAATGAAATCCTTAACCAGATTATAACACAGAACTAAAAGTTGGTGCAGGTATGATCGTAAATCTATCTCACAATTTGTATGTTGACAACCTGTTTACACAGACATAACAGGCCTTTCAGAGTCACCAATCCCCTCCAAATGAACGTTGAAATGTGATGGAAACAAAATGGAACGTTACCTTCATGATGAACAGAATTGACTAGACGGTACACCAGTGATGGGATGACTGATACTATCACTATGAAGTTGTCTTCATATATACTTATCTTCAGGGGTCACGTGGTCACTTCCAACACCATTATGTTATATGTGCACCACGTGACTGTGTCATTAGACGACCTCATGGAGAGTTACGGACATCGTTACTCACCCAGTCAGTTGGAATTGGACTTTGTTTAATGTAAGCAAATTGGGGATTTCACTTTAAAAACCAGGAATGTTATTATTCGATTAACTGGATAAAATATAAATATCTGATTGTAAACAAAGTTTGAAGTATGAACAGTTTCAATGCAACTCTCTCTATACTATCATATTGTCACATGGTCAACCTTTAGTTAACCAATAGCTTCTGTTAGAGCAATTACAAAGCAGCCAGTTGATTATTGAGGTAATGTGAGGGATGTTGTCAATGTTCCAATTATTTCAAGGCACTATGTACTTACCAAATACAATACTATTCGCTGCCATATTAATGTTTTTTCATGATAGATAGACCGCAAAAACATATGTGGTCACAACTGTCAACGACTAATGCAAATCTCAGTCAGATATGTCTTTCACGCTATTAAATTTGCTTTTCGAATAAGGAGCTTTGAAACCAAAAACTGTATATATTTCAAGTTGTTTTTGCATTCGTATGTTTCAATATGGAAGTATGTTTTCACTACAATGGCATGTTTCGGGGAAAAATTGAGGTATGAATGTCTATGCTCTTTGTTTCACAATCACGTTCTTTAATACATGCACTAGTGAGCACAAGTAATCCCACTTGAAACTCTGTTTCTCATAAACTTAATATCGCTTCGGCTGTGAACTCATCAATCACCACTGTTACCGTATATTTGGGATAAAGGGAATGAAGTTCATGTAATCATTGCGACAATCATTGAAACTGTCGAACTTAAACAATTTCTATTTCCCCACATGGCGCTAATGAGGCTAAACGACCGGTCTAACTGTCGCACAGGAATTGCTGCATTTTAATTTCTAAATAGATTAAATTGACATCAAATGAATATTTTACATCTGAATTGTATTGTTTTAATTACATTAGTGTATCTAATAATATTCGGTGTACAAAACGTGTTTTTGTTCATTTCGCTACTTATATTATACTGAATTTGTATGGATACATTTCTACTATTGACCATCGTGTGTATGAACTGTACATCTGATCAATATCACACGCGTAACAAAGGAGGTAAGAGGTAACATATATAAGTCTTATTTTCATCTTTGACAGTTGTAGAAACTGAAGGAAACAGTTCATTTATCAATCTGAGTGATCCACATTAGATCGTGATGCTTTTGAGGTTGTTTAAATGCGTTTGAACTTCGTATTGAGGTTTACTGTGTCAAATCTACCTAAACATCTGTGGTGTAATTTATATTATAATCTTTAACTTTCTCCTTTACGTTCATTGATCTACATTCAATTTGTGAGAATCCGTGACTGGAAGGACTAATAAATGCAAACGATGCAAACAGTTGTGTGGAGTCTTGCAGGGTTATGGCCAATGCTAGGGGCGTGTTGGGCAATGAAGACCTTCAACACTTCAGGTCAGGTTCCAGTCGTTACTAGGATATCGGAAAATAAAATTCAAATTAACACTAAGAAGTCATCTTAATGGTGATTACATTATACACAGTGATTTTATATCGCTAGTGTGTGTTCGTAAATCGTTTATTTTCGGGGATTATTTCAATGTATGTCTATATAACGTACGGCGTATCATAAATATTCATCAGTTTAACGTTATGAGTGAGACTGACTTATTCCCGACAGACAAGCCCTACTATCCTTCAACACCCGTGTGACGCAACAAAGCAGATCCTATGTCATGTCCATTTACCAATACATCATGGATTAACCTGCTCATATCACATAAAAAACCTTAACACAGATATGTGTTTGATCATTCCCTTAATTTCGAATCTGGTGGGCATCATAATTACCTAAATTTAGGCTTTGGAGACGGATATTATGAATATTCTATTGCACTAGGTAAGGGAAGACACATTCTCGATGATCTGATTGATTGTTCGTGTTTGTCGTTGATGCTAATAATCGATTCGTTGTTTTCTACACAGCTTCGTGATATGGATTTGTATGATGCTTGACGATGTCTTTTACAATGAACTATACTGATGTCCAGGCCATTGATATTACTGTATAAAACTGTCCATACGTTGCGCAAGACTACTATTATAATGACTAGTACTTTCCAGGTGCTGCTGCATTCATTTGGCGTGCATCATATCTGTGCAATAGAGCACATAACTATGGATGCGTGCGTGTATGTATAAAATAGGAACGGGAAATCAAATTCATATTTATAGGAAATCTCCGCTTTAACCTGCACATTGTTTTCATCAGTATTTGCTGGTGAATGAAAATCGAATAATACGTGACACTCACACAGGGGAAGATATGCAATGATATCTACTTTGTCAAACCCGCAATAGCACATTAGGGAAACTTTAATGAACTGTCAGCTGAATGATACACTTTTCTATCATATTCAACCATGGTTTCTCACACGTTTTATTTTATCATTTGAAACCACCCATAGATTACCCCTGATTTTTGCATTAACATATTATATTGTCGAAACTGCAGGTAATTGTACATTTATATGTATCTCTTTTAATACGAACCATTGCTTCCCATGTAAGGTTGTGTTGCTTTTGCGGTTCAAACTAAGCATTTGAACTTACCAGCAAGTTGAACTGTTTTAACCCAACTGTAAATCAGTATGTTGTTCACAGTCATAAACTTCCTCCTGTTTAGTTCATCGATCTTTATTTTGTGAGTATAAATCCATTAAAGGAAGAATAATTAAATGCAGTAGATGTTGATTCAGGCGTATGGACCAATGCCGGGTTAATGACATTGCCAAGCGGGATGTTTGTGAAGACATTCAACACTTCTTCAGTTCCTTGGATAACGGAAAGTAGACGTAAGATGAAGCCTTAGAATTTGTCTTAGTCATTTGTCAGTAAAGAAAATCGTGATAAACCGTCATAGTGTGGTTGTTAATTATTTATGTTCCTTAGTTATTACAATTTGGATCTATTAGCCTTTTTAAAACTAGTGGTTAGCTATAAATAATCGTCACTTTAACATTGTGAGACTCGTAGAATCGCTTTGCTTCAGCAATCATTGCAGTGTCATTATTTTTGCGCGTGACAACAACGCCTCGATATGCCTATGGCAGTGCAATTAACATGAATGGTGGTATAAAATAGATTGGCAGTTGTAATATCATTATAGTGAGTGTCAATAATATTGGAAGAGTGGCCTCCCTTGAGAGATGGGACGAGACCTCGATAAAAACGGACAAGAACATATGGGCGGCTCTCGAAATAACTCTTTTTGTTCTATCACGAACATGCTATTTTGTGCATAAGGAGTACCCTGAATATGAACTGAACAGTTCTGGGATTTCTATACTATATCACAATGTTTTCGTGAACGTAATTGTACTTCTAATACATTCCACACATGTAACTGTTATGCAGCGCTCCAGTGATTGCGGTAAGATGAGACAGGCTCATATTTTACTGATTCGTCACTGCATTCGTTTGGCATTACGTTATCCCACCAATGTCACGACAGGGGACATAAGAACAGATTTTCACATATATTGTACCTCAAAGGGAATAGAATTCCTGCAAAGTGGTGTGAAGAACTATTAAGAGACTTCAGCTCGCCATGATAGGATAACAACTTCTAAAAAACATCATGACTAGTTTATGTGAGAGTAAAAGTCATATGGCATTGCCAACTATGTTACTGAATGTAGGCCTACTGTGTTGTTATAGTTTGTGCATGCCACCATTTGAGTCCCAGGATACGATCATTAACACTTATAAATATCAGTTTGACCCTCCTACCTTAACATAGCAGTGTCGGGTATAATATTTCAATTGATGTCCTTTCTTTGCATTTGTACAAAAGGAAATGTGTCATAAAAAGTATCTTGTTACAGGAGCTCACCATATGTACAGATGCTTATTGATTGTAACACAATTCAGCAATTTTAGTTTCCTTTACTGTACTGGAGAACTTAAATCCATATATATGTGGATTATCAGAATAAAACATAACCGATATATAACCATAGATGGTAATCTAAGAAACTCGTTAATCATATATTGTTTTTGGTCTAGGTACACAGTATTTAACAGAACAAAAACACCCACGAATCCAGCTGTTTGAATAAACACAATACATAGATATTTGGGGTTCATTTTATTTATTCATTAATTACAAATCAATACAGCACAAAAGCATTCACACTTGAGACATTTCAGAACACATATCTAGTAGTAATAATAGGGATTGGCTTTGCTAACAACAGAAGCAGCAACTCCATAGACAACGAAGGGTCAACCATGTCCATAAACACCGTTTCCGACGAAAGGTCCATGTCCAGCAAAGCTGCCATCATGTCCGTAAAGGCCGTGTCCAGCAATGAAGGGACCGTGTCCAACAAATGGTCCGTGTCCTACAAGACCAGCTCCGTGACCAGCAAGACCTTTACCGTAGCCATTGTTGTTGTAGTTGTAGGGGTTATAGACGTTACCGTAAGCTTTTCCGGCACCAACGTTGCCAACGCCTTTACCATAGCCATAGCCGTTGTACCCATAGTTGTTGTTGTAGGGGTTGTAGCCATAGCCTGTACCAGCAACGCCAACGTTGCCAACACCTTTACCGTATCCACTGTAGCCATAGTTATTGTATGGGTTGTAGCCATAGCCTTTTCCAGCAAAACGTCCATTGTTGAAGCCAACGCCGAAAGTTCCAGCTCCTTTACCTAGGAGATGCACCTGCGCCATGGCAGAGCAGACCATGGCGGACAACACAGCGACGGCGAACTGAAAACAAAGATAAGTTGAAAATACGATAACTCTGTCATGAAAATAGGAAAGATATTTTAAAATCATGTTCATGTTCCCAATAAAAGTATACATGTAAATGTGTCAGAATAAAACTATGATGAATGGATAATGTGAACAATGAACGCCTTAACGAGATTATACCACAGATCTAAAGGTTGGTGCACGTATGATCGTAAATCTATCTCACAATTTGTATGTTGACAACCTGTTTACACGAACATAACAAACCTTTCAGAGTCACCAATCCCCACCAAATGAACGTTGAAACGTGATGGAAACAAAATGGAACGTTACCTTCATGATGAACAGAATTGATTAGACGATACACCAGTGATGGGATGACTGATACTATCACTATGAGGTTGTCTTCATATATACTTATCTTCAGGGGTCACGTGGTCACTTTCAACACCATTATATCTGTTATATGTGCACCACGTGACTGTGTCATTAGCCGACCGCATGGAGAGTTACGAACATCATTACTCACCCAGTCAGTGGGAATTGGACTTTGTTTAATGTAAGCAAATTTAGGATTTCACTTAAAAATTCTGGAATGTTATTATTCGATCAACTGGATAAAATATAAATATCTGATTGTAAACAAAGTTTGAAGTATGAACAGTTTCAATGCAACTCTCTCTATATTATCATATTGTCACATGGTTAACCATTAGTTAACCAATAGCTTCTATTAGAGCAATTACAAAGCAGCCAGTTGATTATTGAGGTAATGTGAGGGATGTTGTCAATGTTCCAATTATTTCAAGGCACTATGTACTTACCAAATACAATACTATTCGCTGCCATATTTATGTTTTTTTCATAATTGATAGAGAGCAAAAGCATATGTGGTCACAACTTTCAACGACTAATGCAAATATGCAGATATGTCTGTCACGCTATTAAATTTGATTTTCGAATAAGGAGCTTTGAAACCAAAAACTGTATATATTTCAAGCTGTTTTTGCATTCGTATGTTTCAATATGAAAGTATGTTTTTATTACAATGGCATGTTTCGGGGAAAAATTGAGGTATGACTGTCTATGCTCTTTGTTTCACATCCGCGTTCTTTAATACATGCACTAGTGAGCAGAAGTAATCCCACTTGAAACTCTGTTTCTCATAAACTTAATATCGCTTCGGCTGTGAACTCACAAATGACCACTGCTACCGTATATTTGGGATACAGTGAATGAGGTTCATGTAATCATTGTGACAATCATTGAAACTGTCGAACTTAAACAATTTCTATTTATCCCCACATGACGCTAATGAGGCGTAACGTCCGGTCTAACTGTCGCACAGGAATTGCTGCATTTTGATTTCTAAATAGATTAAAATGACATTAAATGAATATTTTAGGTATAAATTGTATTGTTTTAATTACATTAGTGTATCTAATAATATTCTGTGTAAAAAAACTGTGTTTGCTCATTTTGCTACTTATATCATACTGAATTTGTATCTATAGATACATTTCTGCTATTGACCATCGTGTGTATGTACTGTACATCTGATCAATAGCACATGCGTAACAAAAGAGGTAAGAGGCAACATATATAAGTCTCATTCTAATCTTTGACAGTTGTAGAAACTGAAGGAAACAGTTCATATATCAATATGAGTGATCCACATTACATCGTGATGCTTTGAGGTTGTATAAATGCGTTTGAACTTCGTATTGAGGTTTACTGTGTCAAATCTACCTAAACATCAGTGATGTAGTTTATATTTTAATCTCTAACTTTCTCCTTTACGTGCATTGATCTACATTAAATTTGTGAGAATCCGTGACTGGAAGGACTAATAAATGCAAACGATGCAAACAGTTGTGTGGAGTCTTGCAGGGTTATGGCCATTGCTAGGGGCGTGTTGGGCAATGAAGACCTTCAACACTTCAGGTCAGGTTCCAGTCGTTACTAGGATATCTGAAAATAAAATTCAAATTAACACTAATTATATAAGAAGTCATCTTAATGTTGATTACATTAAACACAGTGATTTTATATTGCCAGTGTCTGTTCGTAAATCGTGTATTTTCGGGGATTATTTTAATGTGTGTCTATATAACATACGGCGTATCATACATATTCATCATATTAACGTTATGAGTGAGACTGACTTATTCCCGACAGATAAGCCCTACTATCCTTCAACACCCATGTGACGTAACAAAGCATGTCACGTCCATTTACCAGTACATCATGGATTAACCGATGAACTTGTTTTCATCGCTATGTGGCTGTGATATTGCCGATGCGATGAAATTTTTTAACTCACGGATTAACCTGCTCATATCACATAAAAAACCTCAACACAGATATGTGTTTGATCATTCCCTTAACTTTGAATCTAGTGGGCATCAGGATTACCTAAAATTAGGCTTTGAAGTCAGGCATGATGAATATTCTATTGCACTAGGCCAGGTGACCACGAGGGGAGACACATTCTGGATGATCTGATTGATTGTTTGTGGTTGTCGTTGATGCTGATATCGATTCGTTGTTTTCTACACAGCTTCGTGATAGGGATTTGTATGATGCTTGACGATGATTTTTACAATGAACTATACTGATGTCGAGGCCATTGATATTACTGTATAAAACTGTCCATACGTTGCACAAGGCTACTATTATAATGACTAGTACTTTCCAGGTGCTGCTGCATTCATTTGGCGTGCATCATATCTGTGCAATAGAGCACACATCTATGCAAGCATGCGTGTGTATGTGTAAAATAGGAACGAGAAATCAAATTCATATTTATAGGAAATCTCCGCTTTAACCTGACTATTGTTTTCATCAGTGTTTGCTGATGAATCAATATCCAATAATACGTGACACTCACACAGGGGAAGACATGCGATGATATCTACTTTGTCAAACTCGCAATAGACTGACTGACTGAGTTTGGTTTTACGCTGCTTTTAACAATATTCCAGCAACATCACGGCGGGGGACACCATGTACCCATGTGGGGATTCGAACCCGGGTCTTCGGCGTGACGAGCAAACGCTTTAACCACTAGGCTACCCCATCGCCCCAAGACCGCAATAGAACATTGGGGACACTTTAATGAACTGTCAGCTATTTCCATCATATTCAACCATGCTTTCTACAACTTTTCATTTTATCAGTTAAAATCATTCATAGATTACCCCTGATTATTGCATTAATATATTATACTGTCGAAATTGCAGGAAACGGTACATTTACATGTATCTGTATCAATACGACTCACGCGTTCCATGTGAGTCTGTGTTGCTTTTGTGGTTCAAACAAATCATTTGAACTTACCAGCTAGTTGAATTGTTTCAACCCAACCGTAAAACAGTATAGTTATTTGCAGTCTTTAACTTTCTTCTGTTTAGTTCCTCGATCTTTATTTTGAGAGTATACATTAAAGAAAGACTAATTAAATGCAATAGATGTGGAATCAGGCGTACAGACACATGCCGAGTCAATGACCTTGGCTGTGGAGTGTCAACACTTCTTCTGTTCTTTGGATAACGTGAAGTAGACGTGAAATGAGGCTTTAGAAGTCGACTTAGTGGCGGTTTGAGATTTAGAGAATGAGATGGATGTAATCACTGTGGCAATCTTATAAACCGTTATATTTCTCCCCAGATGAGGCTAATGTCCCCAGAAATGTCACCGATTGAACACCTCTGCGATGCCATGGATCGGCGTGTTCGACAGCGACCACACCCACCAGCCAACAGACAAGAGCTCATCCAGACCCTTCAAGAAGAATGGCAACGTATACCACGTGACGTCAACAGACGACTAATTGTTTTCTGTGCGTCGGAGGGTTCTTGCGTGTATTGAGGCACGGGGAGGTCAGACACGTTACTACTGGTCCGTGTTTTAGAACTTGAGGGATTTTCCGTGTGCTCTAGCCCTTGTGCAGTTTTTAAACATTCGATTGTGACACCCCACCTCAATATGAGCTGCTGTGACAACATTATTAGACGGTGTATGAGTATCATTTCCAGTTTTCTTTACGTTGACATTGTGATCTGTTCAATCAATTTTCTTCCATGCATCTATCTTATGTAGTTTTCACTCCAGGTCTATTTCAATCTGTTGTGATGTTGTTTATTTTATTTTACGTCTGTTTATGCACTGCCACAGGCATTTCGAGGCGTTGTTGTCACACCCAAAGATAATGACACTGCAATCATCGCTGAAGCAATGCGATTCTACGAGTCCCACAACGTTACAGTGATGAGTATTTATAGCTAGCCACTGAAAAGGCTAATAGATCCAAATTGTAATAATTCAGGAGCACAAATAATTAACAACAAATACTTTGAGGGTTTTATCACGATTTTCTTTAATGTGATTGCCACTGAGACGAATTCTAAGGCCTCATTTTACGTCTACTTCACGTTATCCAAGGAACTGAAGACGTGTTGAATGTCTTCCACCAACACCCCACTGGCAATGTCATTAACCCTGCTTGGGTCCATACGCCTGATTCCACATCCATTGCATTTAATGGGTTTATACTCACAAAATTAAGGTCGATGAACTAACAAGAGAAAGTGAAAGACTGTAAATAACTATACTGATTTACGGTTAGGTTGAAAACGTTCAACTAGCAGGTAATTTAAAATGCTTAGTTTGAACCGAATCTATGAATGGTTTTATCAGATAAAATAAAACATGTGAGGAACCATGGTTGAATATGATAGAAAAGAGTATCATTCAGCTGACAGTTTATTAAAGTGTCCCTAATGTGCTATTGCGATTGGCAAAGTAGATATCATCACATATCATCCCACGTGTGAGTGTGACGTATTATTCGATATTGATTCACAAGCAAATGCTGATGGAAACAATAGACAGGTTAAAGCGGAGATTTCATATAGATATGGGGTTGATTTGTCGTTCCTATTTTACATGCACGCGCACGCGCACGCATGCATGCATGCATGCATGCATGCATAGATGTGTGCTCTATTTCACAGATATTATGCAAGAAAATGAATGCAGCAGCACCTGGAAAGTGACTAGCATAGGCGTAGGAACAGTTTAAAAGTTGGGGGGGGCAAGATTTCGAAATTGATAACGGGGGTGGGGTGTGGGGTGGAGAGAGGGATATATGAAAAGGACAGACGAGTTCACTTGCTTTGCAATTTCTCCACAAAGAGTGTCCCAGCCCTTGTCTGCAGCTTTAGAATACTTCACAAGAAGGTCTTTATAACAACTTATTCTCTTTATATTTGGTCTTAAATATCTGAAAAATAAGAAATTGGAGTCACTGTAATTTTTTTCTTTATGATAATCATATTTTGGGTGCTGACAAATAGAACAATAGGGTACTGAAAAACAATAGTTTTATACTATAAATATATTATAATTACATTCAATAACAAGGCAGAAGTGAGCACAGCTCACATACCCCCGCTTATAGTCTGATCGCCTTCAATACCATTATTGAATACCAAAATAATATTTTAGGAAATCTTTCAATTTTGGCATCATGCAATTGAAAGCCAAAACCCATAATGGCAGCATAAGGGTAAGTTCCATGCCAAATTTGAAGTTTGTAAGTGGTATAGTTTTTGAGTTATGCTCAGAGAAACCATTCCGGACGCACGGACACACGGGCGGACGGGCTGAGCGCTATATACCAGCGACTACGTCGTAGCGGGGGTATAATAATGCAGCCATTCTTATTTCATACATGAATTCGGCTTTCAGATAAAACCAGCTCTCTCACTGCCAATGTATGAGTTTGAAATCGTGTCTTATTGTTATTGTTTACATTTTCAATAAATAAATCAAACAGCACCTATTATACTTAAAATATGGCTATTACTGTAAACTAAATGTTACTGTATAGACTACACTGTAATGTCAATGTATGTTGTCAACTTACCGCTGATTCGAATCCATGTTTGCTGTTAATAACAGCCTGACTGCCTCTACTTTCACTTTTGAGTGACATGAATTAAAAAATTTGGATTCTATCATTAGCGGAATTTTTTTTTTTGATCATGTTATTTTTTTCGACGTTACCAGAGGCTTGAATTCGTGTTTAATTCTCTATTATGGTCCCTACAAAAATTTCCAGCTTGAAAAATGGGGCCCATATTTTTCTAGCTGCCCCCCCCCCCAGTTCCTACGCCTATGACTAGTCATTACAATAATTGTATTGCATTTGTACAAAATTAAATGTGTCATTAAAAGGTATCTTGTTACAGGAGCCCATCATATGTACAAATTATTATTGATTGTAGCATCATACACTATTATTTTAGCTTCCTTTACTGTACTTGTGTGGGGATTATCATGAGAATAAAACATGACCGATATCTAATCGTAGATAGTAATCTAAGAAACTCGTTAATGAAAGATTGTTTTGGGGCCAGGTGCACAACATTTAACAGAACAAACACACCCACGAATCCGGTTGTTGGAATGAACACAATACATGGATAGTTTGGGTTCATTTTATTTATTAATTGAGAACAAATCAATACAGTATAAATACATTCACACTTGAGGCATTTCAGCACATATATCTAAAGGTAGTAATAGGGACTGGTTTTGCTAACAACTGAAACAGCAACTCTATCACCACCGAAGGGTCAACCATGTCCATAAACACCGTTTCCGACGAAAGGTCCATGTCCAGCAATGTTGCCATCATGTCCGTAGAGGCCGTGTCCAGCAATGAAGGGACCGTGTCCAACGAAAGGTCCGTGTCCTACAAGACCAGCTCCCTGACCAGCAACACCTTTACCGTAGCCATTGTTGTTGTAGTTGTAAGGGTTGTAGTCGTTTCCGTAAGCTTTTCCAGCACCAACGTTACCAACGCCTTTACCGTAGCCATTGCCGTTGTACCCATAGTTGTTGTTGTAGGGGTTGTAGCCATAGCCTGTACCAACAACACCAACGTTGTCAACACCTTTACCGTATCCACTGTAGCCATAGTTGTTGTAGGGGTTGTAGTCATAGCCTTTACCAACAACAGCAACGTTGCCAACACCTTTACCAACAACACCAACGTTGCCAACACCTTTACCGTTACCGTATCCACTGTAGCCATAGTTATTGTAGGGGTTGTAGCCATAGCCTTTACCGGCAATATGTCCATTGTTAAAGCCAACGCCCAAAGTTCCAACTCCTTTACCAAGGAGAGGCACTTGGGCCATGGCAGAGCAGACCATGACGGACAACACAACGACGACGACCTGAAAAAAAGAATAAGTTGAATCTAAGATACCTCTGTCATGAAAATACGAAACATATTATATAATCAGGCACATATGAAGCTGCCAATAAATGTACGTTTTCATAATGAAACCATGATTTAAACAATCAACGACTTAACGGGGTTATACCACAGAACTGATACACATATGATAATACATCTGTCTCATAATGTGTATGCTGACAACCTGTTTTCACGGACAAAGCATAATATCTTTCAGAGTCAGCAATCCCCACCAAAAGAACGCTATAAACGTGATGAAAACAAAATGCAGATCGTTTACATTACCTTCATGATGAACAGACTTGACTAGCCAATACACCAGTGATGAGATGACTGATTCTATCACTATGAGTTTGCCTACATATATACCTATCTTCAGAGGTCACGTGGTCACTTTCCACAACATTATGTGCACCACGTGACCGTGTCATTAGACGACTGCAAGGACATCATATTCATCCAATCAGAAGGAATCGGATTTTATTCAATGCAAGCAAAACGAGGATTTCACTTTGAAAATACTAGTATCGTATGAACTGCATAAGTTATTAATCTGATTGTAATCAATGCGTTAACAGTTCCAATGCAACTCTCTATATATTATCATATTATCACTTGGTCAACCACATTTAGTTAACAATTTCTGGTAGAGGAACAGACAACAGCCATGCAACAGCAGCCTGTGAAATAGGCAGTTAGGAAATATGAGGTCATCATGTTCAACGGCTTATGCAAATCTGTCAGATCTGTCTGTTACACTATTAAATTTGAATTTCGAAAAAGAGCTTTAAAACCAAAAACCTTTGTTTTCAAAGTTGCTTTTGCATTCGTATGTTTCAATATATGTAGGATATAATGAATGTAAAGATAAAGCACAAGTGAACCAAAGTGCTTTCCACACTGTTTCTAATGCACTTCAGGTAAAACATGAGGTTTGACTTTTTATGTTCTTTGTTTCACATTCACGTTCTTTAATAAATGTACTAGCGAGCACAAGTGGTTCTCACTCGAAGCTCTGTTTCTCATAAACTTAATTTCGCTTCGGCTGTGAACTCATCAATCACCAGTGTTACCATATATTTGGGATACAGGGAATGAAGTGGATGTAATCATCGTGGCAATATTCTAAACCGTCGAACTTTAAGAATTAAATTTATCCCCACGCGAAGCTAATGAGGCGTAACGACCGGCCTAAGCGTCACACATAAATCGCAACATTTTAAATTCTAAATTGATCAAATTAATATTATATTAACAGTTTGCTTATGTTTTGATTCGTGCCTAATTACATTACAATATTAAATAATATTCTGTAAAAGAAACTTGTTTGTGTTCATTTCGCTGGTAATATTACAATGAGAGTTTACATGTGAATATGCCTCATTGACCATCGTGTGTATGTACTGTACGTCTGATCAACATCACGCGCTTAACAAAGGAGATGAGAGGTAAATATATAAGTCTCATTCTAATCTTTGACAGGTGTAGAAAATGTAAAACAGTTCATTTATCAGTCTGAATAGGAGCTAAGCGATTCACATGAGGTGGGGTCGCTTATGAGGGTATGATTATGCATTTGAACGTAGTAACGAGTTTACCTGTGTCAAGTCTACTTTTAACTGAGCTGCTTAATGTATAGTTTAACTTTTAACCTTTTCCTATACGTTCCTTGATCTATATTATGTGAGTGAGTATTTATGAATGGTAGGACCAATTAGATGCATCCGATGCCGATTCAGGTGTATGGAGTCTTGCTGGGTTATTGGCTCTCTCCAGGGCTTGTTTGGTAACAGAGACATTAAATACTTCTCCAGTTCAATCTGTTGCTGGGATATCGGTAAATAAAATTAAAATGGATGCTTTGACTTCGTCTCAGTGGTGATCACATTAAATAAAACCGTAGTTTTATGTATGCTCTTTGATCGCTCAAATGTGTCTCTGTGTAACTGTTAATTAATCGTTTATCATTTTAAGGTTGTGTGACTCACTTTATCCCGACAGACAAGTCAAATCATTTTCAGCACCAGTGTGAAATATTCGGATTGTACCTGGAACAATACAAGTTCAAGTGCACATCATATAAAATGTAAAACACGTTTGCACTCATTTGGCTTGTTATGAGCTAACTTCTTAGCAAGGTGTGAAATGGAATAATCATTTTCTAAATTCACCCAAATCTGTATCCAATCATATAACATGGTTCTCAAATAATGACACCCCAAAGTGAAATTTCAAAACATAATGGTTGACCTCACTGTATTCATATTTCTGTTTTGACATAATACAGATGAATATGTTTTTCGTTTTGTTTAATGTTGTTTTTTTTATAAATGCGACGTTTAAGTAAACAACCATTGAACCGGTGACAACGTCAGTCGAACGAAAATGATTCCTCTTAGGTTCTAATTTTGTAAGACCTGTATTTGTGCAGGACGAACGAACAAATCAAATCCTGAAGGAAACTGTATGGAGTTTCCTAACATCGAGATGAATACCATTCATTCGCATTCACATTGTGTGTACGCATTTTGAGAGTTTTCAGTTGTTTGTCTGTGTCCATGAAAATTACCTCAGATGTGCGTTCAATTCATGTCAGCCAATAGTCTTGCATTTGGCAAATACATACTGCCTTGAAATCATTGAGAACATTGACAACGCCGCTCACTTGACCTCATTAGCCATTGGTTTTTTTTGTTGTAGCCTTTTTAGTTTCACTACTACAAGTTTTTTTTGTTTCTAAGAAACACTCTTAAATCATTCCAAAACGTCTGTACATATTCACAAGAGATGAAAACATGGACAATATCTTCAGGTTCTGTTTTGCAAAATGTACCAATATATTTATCTGCTAATTTCATTTTCATTAATTCGCTCTTGGTATATATAATCTTATGAATAAACCTGAACTGGAAATCAAATACCTTAGTATCACGTGTACAGTTTCTATAGTTAGTGAAAATATTACTACATGGTAAAGGGATAATAATCAAGCTTTCCCATTTACCAATCACCTCGGATAAAACATCAGTTTTTGTCAATTTGTCATAAAACATTCTACAACCTTTGGAAGCTACAATAAGACAATGTACAGCATCATTGTTTACTAGATGTTGGTTTACGAATTTATGATTACCAACAGCATCTCTCCAGAACACTGGAATTTTTTTTATCACCCAGTTATAGTCTAAGAATGTTCCCCTTACTGGATTTCTGGTCTTGAAATCATCAAACGACAATAGACCACTAGAGTTACAGAGGTCCTTTATGTCTGTGATTCCATTATCAAACCAGTCCTTTATAAATAGGGATGGATCCGAAAGCTGATGATTGAAACAGAGCGGTTCTGCAAGTACTTGGAAATGTCATTCTGATCAGTTATAAAAAGACCTCTATATCTCTTCCATGCTTGCAGGGCATCTTTCCAAAATGGATTGTCCACATTACAATATTGATCTATTTTAGCCCCAATACTCGCAATTTGTCCGATTGGAACATTACATGGGTTGTTATAACTTACATTCTTAAAACATCTCTTTATGGCGGAAATTGTTAATGCATCAATAAAGGACTTTATATCAATCATTCTAATTGCGACAAACAAAAAAAGGTATGGTGAGTTAGGGTCCCCCTGCCTGCAGCCTCTATTGTTTGGAAAGAATTCAGATAGATGCCCATTTTGTATAATACAGGAGGTAGCATTTTTAGTGAGGATTGAGATCCATCTCATGATATGTGGGCCAAATCCAAGTTTTTGTAACACCTTATTTACAAATGATTTTGAAACAGTATCAAATGCTTTTTCGAAATCAATCAACAATAGAAGGCCTGTTTTATTTTGTTTACTGGTTTCAAACAATACATCATGTAGTAATCTGATATTTTCACTAATACATCTCCCTGGAATAAAGCCTGTTTGGTTTTCATGAATTAAATAGTCCAGTGAACGTTTCAATCTATTTGTGATACAGGTACTTATTATCTTATAAATAGAGTTTAGTAGTGGTATGAGGCACCAGTTCTTTAGGTATTTTCAGTTTTTCCCTTGTTTGGGTATGCAGGTGATAACTCCCCTATTGATCGTCAAAGTTAGGTAATCATTCACGAAAGCTCGGTTTACATATCGAATAATGTGAACTTATTGCGGCTGACCAAATGATAATTGGACAATCCGAGAGATAAATATAGATTGAAACTGTTAATACTTTAAACACTAATTACATTCAGATGAATATTTTATTCAGTTGATGCAATAACACCATTCCATATTTCTGAAGTCAAATCTTCATTTTGCGTAGATTCAACAAATCAGTATCATGCCGATTGATTGGGTGAATGATGATGTTCGTAACTCTTCATGCAGTCGTCCCATGATACGGTCACGTGGTGCACATATAACGGCATGGTGAACGACCACGTGACCCTTGAAGATAAGTATATATGGAGACCACCTTATTGTGATAGTATCACTCATCTCATCACTGGTGTGCCGTCTAGTCAAGTTTTATCATCATGAAGGTAATATAAACGATATGTTGTTCTATCACGTTTAAAGTGTTTTGGGATTGAATTTGGTGTTTTGTCAGTGAAAACAGATTGTGGGTATACAAATTAAGTTCTGCGGTATAACTGCGTTAAGTCGTTCATTGTTTATTTTTTATCCATCCATCCATCAATCAATCCATCGATCCTGGTGTGATCCTGACATCATACTGTTATTGGGAACATCTTATGAACATGATTTCCGTATTTTCATAACTGAGTTATTTTAGTTTGAACTTATTCTGTTTTCAGTTCGTCGTGTCTGTTTTGTCCGTGATGGCCTGCTCTGCCATGGCCCAGGTGCCTCTCCTTGGTAAAGGAGTTGGGAGTTTCGGTGTTGGCTTCAACAATATTGCTGGTAAAGGCAATGGCTACAACCCATACAATAACTATGGCTATGGCGGACACGGTTACGGTAAAGGCGTTGGCAAAGTTGGCGTCGTTGGTACAGGCTATGGCTACAACCCCTACAACAACAACTATGGGTACAACGGCTATGGTTACGGTAAAGGCGTTGGCAACGTTGGCGTCGTTGGTACAGGCTATGGCTACAACCCCTACAACGGCTATGGCTACGGTAAAGGTGTTGGCAAGGTTGGTGCTAGAAAGGCTTACGGTAACGACTACAACCCCTACAACTACAACAACGTCTACGGTAAAGGTGTTGGCACATTCGTAACTGGACACGGAGCTGGTCTTGTAGGACACGGACCTTTCGTTGGACACGGTCCCTTCATTGCTGGACACGGACTTTACGGACATGATGGCAGCATTGCTGGACATGGACCTTTTGTCGGAAACGGTGTTTATGGACATGGTTGACTCTTCGTTGGTCATGGAGTTGCTGGTTCATTCGTCAACAAAGCCAGTCCCTATTACTACCACTACAGACATATGGTTGAATGCCTCGTGTTTGAATGTTTTTGTACTGTGTTGACTTGTTCTTTATTTCAATAAACTGGATAAAATGAATACATTTTATATTGTATTGTGTTCATTCAAACAACCGTATTCCACATTAACTATATTGTGTGCGAAATGATCTGGATTTACGTATTGTGCAATTGGAGTCGAGGGGACGTTCAGGTTGAAGCTGAAGGAAAATCAATGTTTTGCTAAATTACGAGAGTTTTAGTAGATCATCATCTACTATTAACACGAAGATCGCATATTTTCCCCTGATAATCTTAATATATCTGCTGTCCTTTCGTAGCGATACACATAGTTTCTCCTTTAGAAACACACATGTAAGTAATATCTAATCATGAGAACAGCTGATTCAGTATTTACAAGAACATATGTGAAACTCCTAAGACGAACGCACGCACACACGAACGCACGCACACGCATGCATGCTCTCTCGCACATACAACGTTTTCAGGGATAAACTGACATTTGACATTGAGTGATCACGCGGTTAGTGCTTGCGGTATAAATAGACATGATACTGTCAATGATATTTTCTGTAACATTTGCGTTTTTAGGTAAACTGGAACCATGAATATACAATGTCGTATAAAAAGTGTTCCAATGTAAAATATGTAACATAACTATCCATGTTTGTGGAAGCCGCGGTGGCAAAGTGAGGTGGTGAACTGACTTTGTGTGCTGGCGATTAGCTATAGGTACCTGACTCTTACTGTGTGAGTTCGAATCCCGAATGGGTCTCAACCAGCTAAAATACAAAATAATCTGTTCTTCACAGGGGAAGTGTAATCCCCAATATAACATATGTTACAAACAGTACCATCTTTGTTACCGATACACATTAGAGTATCCTTTGAATCCAAGTCAGTGTTATAACAGGGAATAAGCTCATGCGGGGATAAGGTACGCCATGCCAATTCAACTCCCATTCCATCACTATGTACTTTCACTCTTTTGAATATTTCAGCCATACCGTGACTAGAAACGTTTTGCATACATAATATATGCATGTTGATATAAATTCCATCATCAAAGGACTGTAAAATAACTAGACTATCACATATAATGTGTAAAGCTAGTATGAACCATAAAATATGTCTTTATATCTTACAATACAACATGAAACCGGGCTATAAATCGGCAGCAATTAAAAGGGAGATCACTTTACCGGGGATAATTTTGAAGAAATAGTAAAATTTCGTTAATGGCATTATGTGGTGACTATTTTTTAAAACTTAATTCAATTTGAAACATTGACACCCGCTCTTTATAACTTACATATTTAAATAATGTTAAGATTTTCAAATATAATTATACAAATCCCAACACGATTCATAAATTTAGTGGGACAGTATCTTTATTTTGTATTTTGTCACTGTCATCTTACTGAAATATCATGCATGATGGAACCTGCTCGTATCCGTATCACACCAAAAACAGTCAATAAATATGTTTTGTTTTCCCCTTTTTACGTGTGTTTTTTTTTGGATTGGTGGGTGGGTGGAGGTGTTTGGGGGTGGGGGTGTCATCAGGGTTATCTAAAACAAGGTCATCAATTCGGGTATGATTAAAATGATTTGCAAGGGAAGGCAAATTCTCGACCTGATTGATGTCGGCATTGCTTTTGCTCATAATCCATAAATGATATGGCTGGCTTACGTTCTAACAGACCACCGTTTTACTGCCAATTTACAAAAAAAAGTATAACCGATTACGATTACAATCCAAGTGGTTTCCCTGAACGTTTGACAAGTAAGTGTACTGTCTCGATCATTTTCTGAATCGTGTTCTGATTTCTTTTAAACTTGAGATTCATATTTGAAGTCAATGGTAAGAATGTTTAAAATTATGTTACTATATAAGTCATAAGGATATTATACCTAATACATAATAATGCAATTAGGTTTTTAAAAATGTTAAAACTTAAAGACGTTTAAGATAACGGTTTAAGATAGTCTAGTTATTTGACAATCCTTTGATGACAAGAATTTACAACAACATGTATTGCTTGCGCTACGTTTCATGTCACAGTGTGTCTGAAATACTGCCGATATGACTCACTCACTCACTCAAAAAATTGAAAGTAAATAATGATGGACCGGGCGTGAAACTGGTATGGCGTATCTAATCATATCACCCCTGGATGGGCTAATTCTCTTTTACAACGCTGACTCGGATTTAAGGTATACTCTATGGTATGGTAACACGTGATATATTTGGGATTACACTTTCTCAGTAAAGTACAGATTGTAGTACTTTTGGGGGTTCCATCTGATTCAGGCACCTAATCGCCAGCACAAAAAGTCAGTGGTCTACCCAACTCAACCACCACAGCTTGCACAAAAAAAGAAGTCTGGCATTTGGTAGTCTAGACAGCATTGAGTACTGTATGCAACCCCATGAATGCGCAATGTGGTTTAGAAAAGGGTCAAATGTAAAATATGTTACATTTGAAATTCCTCACTTTCTCACTTTTTCATATTTTCGAGGAAGCCGCGGTGGCTAAGTGAGTAAGCTGCTGACTTTGTGTGCAGGCGGTTAGGTGACCTTCCTGGGAGGGACTCAACCCCAAAAGTACTACAATATGTTATATTTGACCACTGTGTGTTTGCAGAAGGGAATACAGAAGAAACCAAATGCTATAGGAAATATCAATATCATGCCCAGTTATATCACAATCACTAACCAACTTGGAAACTGTAAACGGTGTATATATGCATTGCTATAGCAACAGCTTGATTGCCTTATGACACAATTTAGTGAATGTGAACGCAAATAGCACTTTGTTACAGAATGCTATGGTCTTATATTCACTGCACGAACTCTTTGAGTAGCATATCAACTGTCAGTTTATCTCAGATACAGTTGTGTGTGAGTGCAGGCGTGCGTGCGTGCGCGCGTGTGTATGTGTGTGTGTGGGTGTGTGTGTGTGTGTGAGGAGGCGGATCTTAGGACAGGAGTTTCACCTATGTTCTTGTAGATACTGAATCAGTGGTTTGCTTGCCTGGATATTACATACACGTGAGGGGGCGGTGGGGTAGTCTAGTGGTTAAAGCGTTGGCTCGTCACGCCGAAGGCCCGGGTTCGATTCTCCGCTTGGGTACAATGTGTGAAGCCAATTTCTGGTGCCCCCCGCCGCGATATTGCTGGAATATTGCTAAAAGCGGCGTTAAGCTAACCTCACTCACTCAATCACTGTAAGGAGAAGACTTGTGATCTTCTTGTTAATCGAAGATGATTATCTACTACAAATCATTGATTTTCGTTTACCTTCAATCTGAATGTTCCCAATTGCAAAAGACGTAAATTCGAGATCAATACGGACACAGTATAGTTGACGTGGAATACGATTGTTTGAATGAATACAATACACAACGTACATTTATCCATTTTATTGATAAGGAGAACACATCAATACAGTATAAAACATTCACACATAAGGCATGTACGCATATGTCTAGCGGTAGTAATACGGACTAGCTTTCTTGACGAATGAACCAGCAACTCCATGACCAACAAAGGGTCAACCATGTCCATAAACACCGTTTCCGACGAAAGGTCCATGTCCAGCAATGCGGCCATCATGTCCGTAAAGGCCGTGTCCAGCAATGAAGGGACTGTGTCCAGTAACGAAAGGTCCGTATCCTACAAGACCAGCTCCGTGACCAGCAACACCTTTACCGTAGCCATTGTTGTTGTAGTTGTAGGGGTTGTAGTCGTTACTGTAAACCTTTCCGGCACCAACGTTGCCAACACCTTTACCGTAGGCATAGCCGTTGTGGCCATAGTCGTAGGGGTTGTAGCCATAGCCTGTACCAGCAACTCCAACGTTGCCAACGCCTTTACCGTTACCGTTACCGTATCCGTATCCGTTGTAGCCATAGTTATTGTATGGGTTGTAGCCATAGCCTTTACCAGCAATGTGTCCATTGTTGAAGCCAACACCGAAATTCCCAACTCCTTTACCAAGGAGAGACACTTGGGCCATGGCAGAGCAGACCATGGCGGACAACACAGCGACGACGAACTGTAAACAGAAAATAAGGGGAAACTGAAATATGAAAATAGAGAAACTTTATTTACTGTTTTGATTTAATGTTTACAATAGTAATGCTGTATGACCGATGTTCGACAGACATCCCTGAATGCAGTTTTTGTGTTTGCATCATTTTGAAAGATTCGAAACTAGCACATCTTCATGCACATGAAAAAAGTAATGTGCCTCTTGAAACAAATTGTTAGCAGTCCGAATAAGCCGTGTGAGAATTGTCAATTAAAAAAAAAAAAGATAATAATTGTACAAATTGTATGAAAAAAGAGCTGTAGACCATGTACTCATGTACTTAAATAACGTTTAAAAACCCTCTTCGTCAACCTTTTATTGCTATAATCGCTTCTACTTTCACGTTCATTGATACATCCATCGCAGATAAAGTACGAAACTGTCCGGACTTTCCTTTTCGTTGGATACTCTTATTCATTAAAAGTTACTCTAATTTATCATATCAGATTTGCAATGTCCACAGTTTTATGACACATGTCATACTGGGGACAAATAACACGTGTCCGTTCATAACAATAAGGCCGCTGTTTCACATGGCATTCATTGAGTAAAGAAGTTCACGACTTACGTATGATTGTATATGTATCTCATAATTCGGAGATTCAACCCTGTTTTCCCCACCTTAAGAGTCCTCCTAAATCTCAACAAATTACACTTAAGAAAATAAAATACACATGCAGATCGTTTATATTACCTTCATGATGAACAGACTTGACTAGACGACACACCAGTGATGGGATGACTGATACTGTTTCTATAAGGTGGCACCCATTTATACTGATTCTCAGTGGTCACGTGGGCACTCGCCATGCCGTTACATCGTTAAATGCATACCACCTGACCGTATCATGTGGCAACCGCTTGAATAATTGCCTACATCTTTATTTGTACGATCACTCGGAATTGAATGTAAGGGCATCATTTTTTTAATGTGTTTCACGTAGCTACCAAATTCTGAATATGGGTCGGTCGGTCGGTCAGTCGGTCGGGAAAAAAAAGAAAGACAAAATTATCCGAATAATGCACTTGATTCTCATTTATTATAATTCTTATTACAATTTACTTGGACTTGCAACTGATTAAAACATTTCAGCTAGATAAATATTTTGTATGACCAGGCGGTACGTTTTGGGTTCGAGTCGGGGGTGTTGGAATGAAAAAAAACATCGTTTTTGTGGGGCGTCGGCAATACAATTAGAAGGGTCGGTCGGGAGATGAGAAACACAAAACTTAGAAATGCTGCCCTAAGCAAAACAATTTCATAAAAACGATGTATCAATCTCTTGGATTATCACGTTGTCATTTAGTCAGTCACTTCCCAAAGAAGGGTAAAACACGTTCCACACAAATGAAATCCTGTTTACTATTGCTGTCATGTGAGCGGTGTTATCAATGTAAAAAGTATGTCAAGACACATTGTGTATTCGAATTTAATTGTCTAATAGAAAAAAAAAAGAGCACGTCAGTGCAAAAAATACCCAATATTGACTATCCTCAGAAAAACAAATTCTGTAAATGGGTAAATGGAAATTGTATTAACTATACCACTGAAAATTAGGTGTTCAGGTGTATGCATGTCCTGCCCTACAAAATGTAAATGTAGCACCCCCCATTCACAAAATTTCCCGAAAAATGGAAGTATAAAAGTAATGTTGTTTGACAATGGCAATTTTTTTTACCAGGGACAGTGTTAAAGTACTGTTTTTGTTTCGTGCTTGTTCAAATAGAGACGAGACTTTACTTTGTGTGTAGATTAAATATATGTTATGAAATTTTCAGCTGTTGGTCAAGAAATGTTACAATTTTGAAAGCGTTGAATATATTTTACTTTAAGCAAATACCGACGTTTGATGTATAATGCATGGCAGTGTGTACTGTCGCTCATATAGGATGATAATAAGGCTGTGCCACACGTATGCTAATGAACAGGTCACAAATAAACGAATAATTTACTTTGGTCACTATCGATAACATTATCATTTTACATTCACATTTTATGCAAGTAATATTTCGACTTCATATATTACTTTTGCATTGTTATGTGAAGGAAATAGCAAAACGTCTCTTGAAAAGTGTTTAAGTTTGTTCGATTTATGCTGTTTATGTTACCTGTGCCTTAGTATTAAAGCATATCTTCAAAATAGGTTTCCAATGCATTTCATGATGAGTGCAATGGGCAGAAAACACTCACCTTAACCTTAATTTCTTTCACGTTAACTTCTCTCAGTTCAAAAGCGTTTATAGATTAAAGCGTTGCATTAAGTGCTTTATGTAATTCTAGAAACTGAATGAAACAATCAGTTTAAGTATCACTTTTATGTAATGCAACCCATGTGATCCATATGAGATCCTATTTCCTATTACGCATTTGAACGTACTGCCTCAAGTCTACTTTCAAGTTAGTGAAGTAAATTACGATCTCAGCTTTTCTTTTCCTCTGTCGTGTCGATTGACCCATATAATATGAGTAAGAATCCATGAATGGAAGATAATTAAATTCAGGTTCAGGGGTATGGAGTCTTGCTGGGTTGTTTACTTTGCCAAGCTCTTGGGTTTTTAACATTGCTAAGAGCGTGTTGGGCAATGGATATATTAAACACCTCTCTCGTTCCTTCCGTTACTGGGATATTGGAATGTAAAATTAAAATGTACGCTTTGAATTCATCTAAATGGTGCTTACAACAAATAAAACCCTGGTTATATGTCGTCGATGTATGCTCGTAAATAAATTACATTCGAAGATTATTTCCAATTTGAGCCTCTATAAAACTGATGGTAGGTCATAAATATTTATTACTTTCACGTTGTGAGACTCGTCGAAACGTACTGCTCGAGTGATCTTTGTGACGTGATTATCTTAATGTGTGAAACGCCCACAATCCATTCATTTCATCCTCACAGATCTGGTACAGGAAAATCACCATCAACATTCATGTGAATCTATTTGCATGCTCTTTCTATTTATTTGAATTTCTTTGAACTTGCTCGTGTCACTGCCAGAGCATTTTCACTAATATTTAGTTTTTCCATTTCTTAAATTTTGGATTTCATTCAGATGAAAATCATCTATAATCAAGTCTCCATGCCTGGTAGTGGAGAATATGAATGGCATCGGGATAGGTATCCAACATAGAAGGAACACTCTCTATTGTCATTTTGTCCTGACTATGTGTCCTAGTGTGAATTACCACTGACCCATTGTCAACTATGATTTAGATATTCTTCACTCAGTCGTTCACTTGAATTTAGGATAAGTGAATATACAATAGTTTGCATTGTGAATATCCCGAACATGATGTGAATAGTGCTGGCATTTATATTATATTGTACTTGACGATGTTCTTTGGTATTTGGTGATAAGTCCGAGCTTGTACATGTACTATTATCAAATACTCCACTGCTTGTTGTAAGATGAGATAACCAGTCGATGGCTAAACAGTGATGCAGTATCTGGGTACAAAGTTAAAATCTTTAGACAATTAAAATTATACCCTTATGTGCGTAAACGCAAAAGAATATTCACTCTTGACTATTCTCAGAATTCATTTGTGGTCAAGAACAAAATAAATGTAGGTGTGAAACTTGTGTGAATGAACCACTAAAAAACAGTCATGGTGGCATCTGTCATTCACACTACGTGCCTTAAACGCAGTTAAATAGTGTAGATAAATAGATCAGGCAGTTGGGGGTTTGTCAACTAAGACATAATTTCTATTTGTAATAATTTCTTGTGCGAAAATGTCCTTGCCATCAGACTGTTCTGTTTATAAAAAATATATTTTACGACGCTTTTAGCAATGCTCCAACATTGTTACGATCCAGAGAAAAGGGAATTACCCATTATACCCATTAGAGGAATCGTACCCAGCCCTTCGGCGTGACAAGTGACTTCGGTTTTAACCACAAAGCTATCCCACTCTCCACACTAACAGACACAATGACATCAACCTTTCTCGTTTGTATTTTGAAAGTGATTTCTACTCGTTCTAAGCCGTTTCCGAGCTCTAAATCGGGCAGAAAGTAAAAAAGTATTTGAGCATGTATTTTTCCTGAAGGCAGAGCATTTGGATATGTTAATTTCACTCAACACAATATTTCCAATTAACTTAATTTCATCGGCTCATTCATCGGCATTGTTGCATTTGAGGCGGTTATGAATGCTTCTCGTCAACAAACTGAAGCCACGAACAACGAGTACAATAAAGCGATTCACGCCGGACCTAAAGGAGGAAGACAGGGAATGAGGTAGACTCAATCACTACATGTATCGCTATCGTATTCACCATCGCATATAAATCTGATACCTCTGAGGTTAATGAGGCGTAGCGGCGGCTTTTCCCGAATCGCAACATATCTGAAAGCGTTTTCTCTTTCTGTCTAACTTAGAATTCAGCAATATTCCCAGAATACTTTTAAATGATCAAAATGTCGTAAATTATAACCTAACTCTAAACTTGCCCCTGTTGAGTTCATCGATCTAAACTGTATGAATAAACATTCTATGAATGGAGGGACTAATTAGATGGATCCGATGCGCATTCCGCTGGATGGAGGCTGTTGACTTTTCCAAGGGCATGTTGGGCAGTGGACACATTCATACTTCTCCGTTTCTATCAGTTATTTCAATATGTGTTTCTCTAAGCAACTGAAGGTTAACCGCAAATTCTCGACCTGATTGATTGTCTGTCGTCATTGCTTTTGCTCATGATTTTTAGATGACATTAGATGGCTGATATTCTTACAGACCAATGTTATATTACCAATATCCCCGACTGTGATTATAATTCCTTAGACAAATAAGTATACCGTCTTAATCATTATATGAAACTTCTGGATTTTGTGTAGAAATTGATATTCATGTTTGACGTCAATCGTAAAGATTATGTTATATAAATAAGTAGCAAGGATCGGGTATCAAAATGAGATTCACTATCTATTCAAAAGATTGACATTGCATAATAATGGATTGGAAGTTGAATAGCTATGGCATATGTGATGATATCACCCCTGGATGAGCTGATTGACTTTTGTCGTGAAAACCTTTGAAAGATTGACTCAGATTTAAAGAACATCCTATTGTGTCTGTGTGTAACAAACATAGTAAAATGTTTGGTTTACAGTACAAATAAAAATGCTATAAAAATATCAATATGATGTTAAATTATACAACAATCACTGAACGTGTACCCACTCCCAGCATGGACTAGTTTGGCATGTATGAGTTGATACGTTTTTGAAGGAATTTGTTTTAAATATTCAAGCAATATAATGACATGACACACAAGGAAAGACATCCACACACGTATCCTCACACGAATCCAAACCTTGATTTCGCGAAAAGCGAATGGTTTCAGCACAAGACTACTTCAGCACACCTCGGTAGAATAACAACTTTGAAACTGTAAAAGCTGTATCTATGTTTTTATGCAGCAACAACAACATGTCTGGCTTATGTATAAAACACATTAAGTAAGTGTAACACAATCAACGCTTGTTACTGAATGTTGTGGTCATATATTCATTTTTATTTGAGTAAGATATGAGCATACAATCATCAACTTTCAGTTTGCATCCGACAATTAAAAGTGTGTGCAAGTGCGTGCGTGGCTATGTGTCTGCGGAGGCTTCATGTAGGAGTTATATGTACTTATCAACACGGAATCAGTGATTTTAGCAAATAATTGTTAGCTTTATTTAATCAGCCTGTTACTGTTTTCATTGCTAGATACTACATACAAGTGTGTGTAGGTTAAGGGGTAAATATGTGATGCTATGAATTCCAACAGATACATTAAAACTATCATGAGAAAATGCGTGATCTGCGTTAATTGTTGATGATGAGCTGCTAAAACTGATAGAACGCCAGTTACGTGTAGTCCAGATCAGAACGGACAAGATATAGTTGACATGGAATACGGCTATTGGAATGAATACAATACGATGGTGTGCTAGATACATTTTATCCATTTTATAGATGTAAAGAACAAATCAATGCAGTATAAAAAAACATTCACACATAAGGCATTTGAGCATATGTCTCTAGTGGTAGTAATACGGACTGGCTTTGTTGACGAATGAACCAGCAACTCTATGACCAACGAAGGGTCCACCATGTCCATAAACACCGTTTCCGGCAACGTTGTTTCCAACGAAAGATCCATGTCCAGCATTGAAGGGACCGTGTCCAACGAAGGTTCCATGTCCAACAAGACCAGCTCCGTGACCAGCAACACCTTTACCGTAGCCTTTGTTGTTGTAGTTGTAGGGGTTATAGTCATTACCGTAATCCTTTCCGACACCAACGTTGCCAACGCCTTTACCGTAGCCATAGCCGTTGTACCCATAGTTGTTGTTGTAGGGGTTGTAGCCATAGCCTGCCCCAGCAACACCAACGTTGCCAACACCTTTACCGTTACCGTATCCACTGTAGCCATAGTTATTGTATGGGTTGTAGCCATAGCCTTTACCAGCGATATGTCCAACACCGAAACTTCCAGCACCTTTTCCAAGGAGATGCACCTGGGCCATGGCAGAGCAGACCATGACGGACACCACAGCAACGAGGAACTGAAAACAAAGAATAAGTAAAGACTAAAATAGCCGCTAGTTGGGAAAATGCAGAAAATTGTGTTTACATGATGCTTCCAATAGTAACGCTATTTGACTGATGTTGGATTAAACCATGGCAGACAGATAGCCTAGAATGCAAGCTCTTGGTGGATGCAACATTTGAAAAGATTCGAAACTGGCATCTGTTAATCTGCACTACACATAACAATATATGCGTCTCTGTGAACAAATTGTTAGTAATTCGAGTCTCAGTGGGAATCGCGTGATTAAATACAAAAATATATAACAACTCTATAATCTATATGAGCAAAGACCTATAGACCACCTACATGTACTTCATTTTGGAAAACGCTATTCATCAACTTTTTCCATTTGTACGGCTATAACAGCTTCTAGGTACCCATTCATTCATACATTTATTGCAGAAGAACAACACTGTACTTCCTTTTCATTTAAAAAACCTCTTAATACTCTCATTTATCATATCCGATTTTCATTGTCCATAGTTCTAAGACACACGTCGTTATGTCATTTTGCGTCTGTCCACATGACCTTGCATTAAGTAATTAATTAAACCGCGATCGACTTAACGATATTTCACCACTGAGCTGTATGTTTCTAAATGTGTCGCAGGTTCAAGCATTGCTTTCATCAACAAATGAGTCATTTTCAAAGTCGTTAAATTCCAAAGACGTACTCTCCACATAGCATGAAAACAAACCATGCAGATCGTTTATATTACCTTCATGATGAACAGACTTGACTAGACGATACACCAGTGATGAAGATGATACTACAACACTAAGGTGGCCTCTATATATACTTATCTTCAGAGATCACGTGGGCACTTTCCATGCCGTCATATGTGTACCACGTGACAGTATTTTCAACAATTACATACACCATTATTCATACAATCAATCGGACTATAACTTGATAGATTTAAGCAGACATGGATTTCACCACTGGAATACGAAACGTTATATGTGTAACACGTGACCGTTTCATGTGACGATTGCTTGAACAATTATGTTCACATTTATATATGCGCAATGACTTAACGAATGAAGGCAAAACGTGGATTTCACCACTAAAATAACAAAAACGTTATTGTTTTAACAGTTTCAACACATTAATATCCCGAATTATCATATTGTCGTTTTGGCCAGTCACTCAAAGTAAACACATTATCTACATCAGATGATAAAACACACCCCACGCAGCTCCAAAACTGTTTACCATTGAAACCATATGAGCGGTGTCAATGTTCCAATTATTTCAGGAGAGTATGTGTTTGTCAAATATAAGACAATTCACTGAAATGAATTTGATACACGCTTGTAGTGTTTCTCTGTTACAAGTACCAACATGAAAATAACAAATCTGAAAACGCGTAAGCAAACGAAGCACAATCAAATGAAATTGTGAATGAAAATGAATGCCACTTACTTTGATTAAATAATTTTCCGTAATGGAAACCTGGTCGTAATTTATTTGTTGTTTGTTAATGCATTCATGATGAACTAGTGCAATGTGACGCAATGGCTTTTCAAATTGCTCCCTAGAGAGATCATTGAAATATTATTTCAATAGACGTTTTCATATGTTCAAAATTGTTGAAGCAAGCGTCATTACGTATTTTCTACAGACATTACATTTTTAATAATGAGCCCGATCTGTCACTTGACATGAAACAGAGTTAAGAGACACTTGTATCAATACATATACACCGTTATTATTTTTAAAGTGATATATGAAGACATTGTTGACAAAGTATGTTATCAAACATGACCTATTGTGTAATTGTTCACAAGGGAAAGGGCTACAATATTGTCTTTGTTTAGCTTCTGTTTTTTGCTTGTTCACATAGAGACCAAACCTTTTTTTGTGTGTAGATTTAATAGATGCCATGATATTGTCAGCCCTTGCACAAGTGATGGTAAAGCTTTGTAAATATTGCATGCATTTTACTTTAAACAATTACATGTTCAAGTGTTTAGTGCATAATTCATGGCGGTGTATACTGTCGCGCATATAGAATTAAGGCTGATATGTCGGCTGTGCTACACATATAACAATGAACAGGATCACGAATAAACGAATAAATTACATTATTCCTTTACATTCGATTTCTATGCATGCTATATATTCATATGTTAAGGCAAAAGTAAACCAAATGATTTTACAGTGTTTCTGATAAACTCAATTTCCGTTCTGCTGTCAACTCCTCAGTCGCCACTGTCACCCAATTCATGCGTTTATGCATGGTTCTTGAGAACAGATTGAAGGTTAACGTAATTCACGAATACAATAAAGTCATTCACAACCAAATGAGTTTATGGATGCAGGGAATGAGGTGGATGCAATCACTTTGGTAATCTCTTAAAAGTTAAAACATTTAATTTATCCCCACAGGTCTAATGAAGTTTAGCTACGGGCCTAGCTGTTGAACCCGAATGGCATGGAATGAATATTAACTTATCTATATTTTTATTAATATGTTAATTACGATAAGCATTCAAATATCTAAAACAGATTTTTTTTCAAAACACACCATTACAAAAGGAAGCTAATTATGAGATGATGTGCCAAATATATTTGCATCATTTTGTTTGTTGTAAGTGTGAACTGAAGCTGTTGTAATTTCTTTATGTAAGAAAACAAATCCCGACACTCACACAATATATTACTTTCGCATCATTGCATATAAAGGAAATAACATGTAGACTATGTTTATTGAACTGTTTATTAATTCAACTTACAGTCCAGTCTTGAAAAGCGTTTTACATTTGATGGAAGGTTTATACTGTTCATGTTGCAACTTTGAAAACAGTTACACGTTCTTTAGTATAAAAGTATGTCTTCCGAATTGGTTAAGTGCATTAAGTGGTTTTAATTGCAGAAACTGAAGGAAACAGTCAGTTTATGTGTCACTTTCAACACGGCCCATGTGGTCCATATGAGATTTTGTTTCCTTGGGGTTTGTAATTACGCATTTACCCGAACCAGCGAGTTTAACTGTCTCATGCCTACTTGAAGTTAGTGAAATAATTTACGAGCTAAGGTTTTCTTTTCCTCTGTCGAGTCCATTGACCCGTATCATATGAGTAAAAATCCATGAATGGAAGGACCCATTAAAAGCAGCCAATGAATATTCAGGGGTATGGCGTCTTGCTGTTTTATTGTCTTTGCCAATGGGCAATGGATATATTAAGCACTTCTACGTCCCTTCTTTTGCTCTGATACCGGAAAGGGAAAATATAGGCTTTGAAGTCATCTTAGTGGTCATTGAATATAACACTTTTTGTGAAACTCTTAAGTACGTATTGCTCAAGTGATCACTGTGAAGCGATGACCCACAAACCCTTCATTTCATCCCCACAAATCCAGATGAGGAAATTCACATTCAACTTTCATGCGGATCCTTGTGCATGTTCTTTCTGAGTGCCTGTTTGCCAACATTTGTTTGAACCTGCGCGTGTCAGTGCAAATTATTTTCACTACTATCATGTTTTTCCATTTCCTTAATTTCGGATTTTACTCTAAGCTGCATACTGATGTTAATGAATGGCACCAGAATAGGTATGCATCAGAGAAAGCCAACTCTCTTTTGTTATTTTGACCCTAATCATGTATCCTGGTGTGAATAACCACTGATCCATCTCGATTTCCCTCTCAAGAATACGGCTTAATTAGTCTACATTTTCCTCGCAGATTCAGGACTGATGTATAGAATCCTGCTTGGTTATTGTCTTTGCCAAGGGCGTGCTGTGCAATGGTCATGTTAAACACCTCTCACGTTCCGTTCACGCGTCACACCACTCTTGCTCAGAAGTTGTTTGATCAAGGTTTCAACATTCAAGGCCTCAGTAAAGCTTTCAAAAAGTTGTGGAGGACATTTCGAAATTTGATGTCTGGTGCAATTCCCTATTCTTGTTCCATGCGTTCCCAGGTACGGTATTTCAGATGAACAATTGCCTAGACTTTGCATATGTTTATGACGGGTGCCACTGGTGGGGCAGGATACGCTCACCTTTTCGCGAACACCTGATATCATCACTATTTCATAGTGAATCATACACCCTGTCATCGTATCGCATGGTGACAATCACTGGATTGTCTAATCCAGAGTCAGTTGGTTTACAAACAGCATCGCACAGCTGTAATATTGCTGAAACAAATATATGCTCATGATATAGTTGCAATTGTACAATCGACTATGCTTTCAGCAGATAATTTTTACGAATGTGGAAAGGTTGTATTTTTGTTGCTTTGTCTTCATCTTAGTGGTAAAAACACGTAGCATAAACCACTGATTTTATATCGTCGATGTATGCTCGTACATAATTTACATTCAGGGTTGATTTTAATTTAGACATCCATTAAACTGATGCTAAGGGAAGGCCTAAGTCTAAGTGTGAATTACCACTGATCCTTCAGTGTGAATTCCAACTTCTAGAATGCCGATCAAACAATTAATGATGTGAATAGTTTTGACTATCCTCAGATTTCATTTGGGGTCAAGAACAAAACAGCTGTGAATCAACCACAGAAAATCAGTGATTATACTGGGTACTCCCGATTAGTGTGTAAACATGCCCAGTAGCACCCGCTTCTTGCCTTAAATCTCACTTAAATAATAGTGAAGATAAATAGACCAGGCAGATGTGTGTTTTTCAGCTAAATCTCAAATTGTTATTGTAATATTTTATCGTATGAAAATATCATTGTCATCAGTTTATTCTATTTATAGAAAGATATTTTATGACCCTTTTAGCAATAATCCAGCAATGTTACGACCGGGAATAACACATTATCCCAATAGAGCAATGGAGCCAAGCTCCTCGGCGTGATAAGTGAAATTTTTAACCACTAGGTTATCCCATGCCCCTCTCACAGACGCAGTGGCATCTATCTTTCCTTGTCATATTTTGAAATTCATTTCTAATGTTAGCTGTTTCCGAATCTCTAAATCGGTACGAAAGTGAAACAATATATGAACATTCCTACATAACACCGTTATATTAAATATTAAAAATGTGTAAACAAAATCGTTCCGTCAGTGGTTTACTTGAACGCAGATTTAAAGTATACTCTGTTGTTCCGGTGTGCAAGACACATGGTTCCGTTTTACAAAACAAAGCAAATACTACAGAACTTAATCAATAGCATGTCTAATCATACCGCAATAACCGTGTACTCACTCCTTGGTTGGACTTGTTTACTTTATTGCACCTTGATTTCGCGAAAATCGAATGGTTTCAGGAAAATCCTACTTGAACACAACTTGACAAAGAAACAGTTTTGAAACTGAAAAGGTTTATATAGGTTTTGCTATAGCAACTACATGCCAATCTTATGCCGTTAATAGTAAATGTAACACAATCCACACTTGTAGGTGCACGTACACGTGTATGTGCATGCGTGCATGCCTGGGTGCGCGGGTGCGTGAGTGGGAGCGGAGGCTTGGGGAAATCGATCTTAATACAAAGGTTTCAAACATTTTAGCATTCTTCTCAATACTAAATATTACATACGAGTGTGTGTAAGTAAATATGTGCAGTTGTGAATGGCAACAGATGCAAAAAGATAATCAGGAGACGTTCTATGATCTTGGTGTTAATCGTTGATGTTGCTCTACTAAAATACTCAGTATTATAGCATTGATTTTCCATCACCTTCAGTCTGTAAGTTCCTTCGAACCTTAGTGAAACTTAAATTGTAATTTACATGGAGATTCAGATCAAAACGGACGCAATATAGTTAACGTTGATTGAACACAATACGTGGATGTGCTAGGTACATTTTATCCATTTTATTGATGTAAAGAACAAATCAATGCAGTATAAAAACATTCAAACACAAAGCAGGTACGCATATGTCTCTAGTGGTAGTAATACGGACTGGCTTTGTTGACGAATGAACCAGCAACTCCATGACCAACGAAGAGTCAACCATGTCCATAAACACCGTTTCCGACGAAAGGTCCATGTCTAGCAATGCTGCCATCATGTCCGTAAAGGCCGTGTCCAGCAATGAAGGGACCGTGTCCAACGACTGGTCCGTGTCCTACAAGGCCAGCTCCATGTCCAGCTACGAATGTGCCAACACCTTTGCCGTAGCCATTGTTGTTGTAGTTGTAGGGGATATAGCCGTTTCCGTAAGCTTTGCCAACACCAATGTTACCAACGCCTTTACCGTAGCCATAGCCGTTGTACCCATAAATGTTGTTGTAGGGGTTGTAGTCATAGCCTGTACCAGCAACGCCAACGTTGCCAACACCTTTACCGTTACCGTATCCACTGTAGCCATAGTTATTGTATGGGTTGTAGCCATAGCCTTTACCAGCAATATGTCCATTGTTGAAGCCAACGCCGAAATTTCCAGCTCCTTTACCAAGGAGAGGTACCTGGGCCATGGCAGAGCAGACCATCACGGACAAAACAGCGACGACGAACTGAAACCAAAATTAGTTGAAATTAGAATAACTCAATTGAGGAAAATTTGTTGGTATGATGTGTCCAATAGTAAGCATGTTATTTGACTGATGTTCGAATAAAAAAAACCATGACAGACAAGTAGCCTTGAATACAGTTCTTATATTATTATCATTTTTTTAAATATCCGAACCTGGCTCATGTTAATCTGCATCAAACAAACCAGTAATGTACTTCTGTGAATAACTTGTTAGTAATCCAAGTCTCTGTGATAATGAAGACAGAAAATGAAAACAGTTCAATAAATTTGTCTATGACACATGTCGTTTTGGAGACAATTGATATGTTCCTGTTCATAAGAAGAATACCGCCATTTCACATGGAATGGTATAGAGTAACCAGCAATCGACTAAACGATATTTCATTACTGAGCTGATTCACGTATAATTCTATGTATCTTATCATTCGATGGTTTTCATCAACATAAGAATCATTTTCAGAATCACCAAATTCCACCAAGAAACACTTTCCTCATAAGATATAGAAACCATGCAGATTTGTATTACCTTCATGATGAACAGACTTGACTAGACGATACACTAGTGATGAAATGACTGATACTGTCACTATAAGGTGGCCTCCATATATACCTATTTTCAGGGGTCACGTGGGTACTCCGCGCCGTTATACCGTTTTATGTGTACCACGTGACCGTATCAGTGACGACCGCTTGAACAGTTACTTACAGCATTATTCATACCATCAGTCGGAATCAACCAAACAATGACTTGAAGAAACAAAGCGCATATTTCACCACTGAAATAGGAATCAATCTTATTGTTTTGACAGTTTCTCTCTGATTATCACGTTGTCATTTGGTCAGGCACATAATGTTAACACTCTCCTATATTTACAAAGGAGGTCAAAACACATTTCATATGAAGCACCAAACCTGTTTAGTATTGATCGGTGTTATTAATGTTCCAATTTGTTCAAAACACTACATATATCAAAATATATAGACTGTTCACTGAAAGGAAGTTGACACACATTTGATGGTATTTCACTGTTGGAGGAGACATTTACCACAAATCCACTAAAATAAAGATATGCGAAAAATTATAATCAGAGGTAAGCAAAAAGAAAGTGACACATGTGAAAAAGCGTATGAAAACCAAGGACAATTAGATGAAGATGTGAATGCAAATGAATGGTGCTAACTTTGATGATCAGAAATTGAATACATTTTCCCTTAGGGGTTCTTGATTGTTAATGCATTCATGGTAAATGTGACGCAAATAAAGGACAATGTATTTCGAGAAGAAGACATTAACCTATTTTCTTCTTATTTCTAGAAAACGCCATGACGTATGTTGTACTGATGTCATATTCTTTTTAATGAACCTGAGTCTGTCACATAACATGAAACAGAGAAAAAGACAAAATTAAATGACACGTATGTCAATACTTATAAACCTGTATTGCTTTAAAAGTGAAATATGAATATAAAAGTAAAGTTTTCAAACAAATATATTGTTTTACATGAGAAATTATTGTGCTTATTCAAACTGAGACCAAACTTTATTTTGTGTGTACATTTAATAGATGTCATTACATTTTCAGTTCGTGGTCATGTGATGTTAAAGCTTTGAAGATATTGAATATGTTTTACTTCACGCAATTACAAGTGTTTACTAATAGCATATAATGCATGACAATGTGTACTGTAATTTAGAATTAAGGCTGATATATCGACTGTTTTACACGTATAACAATGAACAGAATCACACATAATGTACTTTTATTACGACTTAAGACATTATTCTTTCAAAGTATTTTTCGATCTTTTATCCAGATAATAAGATTTGATATGGTCTCTGGTTTAGAGAATGATCAAATGATGTTCGAATAAGAGCTTTGAATCAATGGAATTGTTGATTTTGCCTTGCTAACTAATAAATGTTGGTTATAAAGCACCAGTTAGCCCAAGTGATTTCCAAAATGTTTCTCATAAACCCAAGTTTGCCGCTCATCATTCGCCACTATTACCCACATTTTGCGTTATGCATTATTCTTGAGATAGATTAAAGACTAATATAAATAACGCATACAATAAAGCGATTCACACCCCCTACTGAGATAAGAGATATAGGGAGTGAGGTTTATGCAATCCTTATGACAATTTTATGCACCGTTGAAGTTAAAATTGAATTTATCCCTACAGGAGGCTTAAGAAGCTTAGCGGCGGGCCTAACTATCGCACACGAATTGCAACGTTGTGAATTCGAAAAGAAACCCCAACAAACAATGAATGAATAAGGTATTTTCATAATTATTATTTCAGTTAGCATTGTAGCTACATTCAAATATAGTTAACACGTTTTGTTTTCATTTCACTACTTTTATTATGTGGATACTTTAGTAGATACGTGAAGATGCCTCCTATTAACCCCTGTGTTTATGTAGCGCACATCTTATCCAAATTACTCATCAGTCTCATACCATTCTCCTCTTCAACAAGCTTCTTCTAAAGCCTTTCAGTCTGAATGTGAGAACCGTTCACCTTATCTTCCAGCTGAAAACGTGAATGTAACTAAAGACAAAAGGGAAACTGACATGCCTGACGGCGAACTATTCATTGAACAAGGAATTTAACGCAGAATTATGTGCTTCGAATATTTAAATAACAAAATTTAAAAACAAACAAACAGATATAACAAAACGCAACTGATCAGGAGATGTCGTGACAAATGTATTTGCAGCATTTTGTTCCTAATCCTAAAGTGACTCTCTTTTAACTAACCATGGTAGGAACTGACATTTAGGCTATTTATATTTAAATCCGAGATACAGTTAAAAAGTTGTTTAAGTTAGCTAGAAGATTTGTACTGTTTATGTTACCCGTGACTTAGTATAAAAATATAATATTCCAAAGAGGTTTCCTTTATTCTTCTTCGTTCAATACATTTTATGATATTTGCAAATACAGTATAACTTATATGGAGGTAAAGGCATGGTTAATTATTTGAATGATCATATATTCTGAATATATGTTCTACATTAATTTCTTTCACGTTTACTTCTATCACTTCACAAGCGTTAATAGATCAATCTAAAGTTTTCATTGCGTGTATTATATAATTACCGAAACAGTCAGTTTATGTTTCACTTAAAACTTAGTGTTACCTTTGAGTATGCAATTGTGCATTTAACCGTAACAGTGAGTTTTAATGTCTCAAGTCTACATTAAAGTTAGTGCAATAATTTACGATCTAAGGTTTGCCTTCCCGTGTCGAGTCCATTGACCCATAGAACATGAGTAAGAATCCATGAAATTTCATTTTGAAAATTTCAGTAGTAAGAAAGTACACAGTCATAGCCACACAATGGAAAATATGCGCTACACAATAGCATTCCAAGCTAAACAATAGCATTCCTGAACCCAACAAAAGACATTCCATCTCCCAAACAATAGCATAACTGTGGAGCAGTGTGGAGTCGTGTAGAGCAGTGTGGAGCAGATGCTTGCTCCACACTTAAACAATGGAAATATTTTACATAACTGTGGAGCAGTGTGGAGTAGATTGTTGCTCCACAATGAAAATACTTGGCATAACTGTGGAGGTAGTATGCTGTCATGATACAATAACATTCCTTTCCAGTATACATTTAAATCCAGGTATTCCAACTAGGTAAGCGTGTCAACCAATCAAATAATAACAGTTCTACTCCACGTGCAATGACATAGCTCATGTTTTACTCAAAGTTGCGCCTTTCAAAATAAATCGTTTTAAACTAATTAAAATGTCACCTAATGTGGAGCTTACTCTTGCTTTATGTTTCAAATAAATATATTCCTGTAATCAATATATGTAATTCCATACCCATCAAAATAGATATACATTTCAAAGTAAAAGTAGAAAAGTCAAACTTACCTAAAGTTGCACGATGCATGGTTTGCAGTGTAACTTTAATATTTCAGTTTGTATGTTAATGTGTTTTAGTCTTATCACACATTCACCACACTGCCTTTGCTCCTTTTCTTTCTCTCTTTCTTCTCTCTCTCTTTCCTCTCTCTCTCCTTTTTTCCTCTCTCTTTCTTCTCTTTCTTCTTTTCTCCGCTGTCTTTCTCTCCTTTGTTCTTCTTTCCTTTCTTTTTCTTGAATGATCTTGTATTCTTTTCTCCACCTTATTAGTCTTTTTCTTTTAAAATTATCCAATTCTTTTCTTTTATCATTTATTTTTACAAGTCGAAGTCTTTCCAAAATGTCTATCTGTTTATCAGTTAATATTTTTGTTTCTTTAATTAGTGGCTTATTTTCTGAAGTACTCAATTTAGTTACTGCGTTTAAACCTAAAACTCTCAGAAACTCCTCTTGCGACATCGTTTCGTCTTCTCTCTACATTCCCAATATTTCGTCAGGTTGTATACCGTTATTATTACTTCTCATTCAAACAAAATAAACACGTTTATCCCATTCATCAAGTCACACCTTGCATTATCTATTCATCTGTACATCACGTGTAACTATTATCTTTCAGTAGTACCTTCATCATCTTTTATAAAATACATTTTTTCTCACGGAGTTATCTGTATATCACATAGCTAATGCATAATAACGTTGGGAAATAATTCAAATCTACGCTTATAAATGTACCCTGCCCTATGGGCATTCAAAACACTTCAGTTGTCACCTTCAACACAATATTCCATAGAAATACAATCATTTTCAGTATTTACTAACCTAACGCAAATGAAATATCTAACCTTGTTCAAATCAAATGTCTGTCACCGTTCACCTACTATCTAACTTTGTTCAAATTAAAGGCCTGCCACCACTCACCTCTTCTGCAGCATTTTCTTATAACATTCATATTTTCTTTAGAAATATCCCTTTCAATGCCATAATCAATGAATTTAAAAATAGCCCCTATATACACCTCAACTTAGAGTATAGCTCTGTTCATATGCTATGGCGCTCTTCGATATCCATCAAACTTCCACGGTTCCAAAATTTTGTTTTATGAGCAATAACACTGAAATTTTCATTTGTGAACACTTACGAAAGAAATTCAAAAATATTCTAAAGTATATTTTGTCATGTCATAAATTATACCTCGAATTTAATCTAGAACCCAACTTTAACGAAAAAAAAATAACCTTTTGTTTAGGCAAAACATGCCAGTCATGTTTTAATTTTGATGCAAAAACGGAACTTTTAGATATAACTTTTCAAAATTCTATGATAACAATTAATCACCGAGCCATTAAAGCCATTATTTCGGACATCATAAGTTGGGAGTGTGAATCGCAACAAGAGGAGCTCCACAGTTATACAAGCCTCTACTAAAGGTTAGTAATTATCTGTAATATTCTAATTATATGTAATCACTTTATTTTTCTGTTACCTATTTTTGTCTTTTAATTCTTTCATTTACTACCAAACACATTTTGAAACAGGTTTTAATTAAATGTAACATTTTCTCTAATAATTCAACTTCTCCTTAGGTAAGCCTTTTATAATATTGAATCATTGTTTTAAATAACTTAAAAATATATATCTTGTCTTACTCTTTTACATGCGCATAAAACATATCAGGCCTTTGAACCATTGCTAATATTTTATATACTTACATATACACAGTTAGGGCGTATCTTTTCATATAGTGCTTGTCCAATCGCAAATCGCGTTCATCTTTCACTCTGATGAATTTATTCTAACAGCTTTATAAGAGAACATGTTCACCTCTCCAACTTCAGCATTTCGCTATGAATGCTTATCTGAGTTATTCGCCTATTACAGAACATTTTCAAATTTCTAAATCCGGAAAATCCATTACATTTTGTTCACATTTTAAAGCTTCCGTACTGAAAGAAACTTTTAATCATTTAGTTAGCACTATTACAAATTTGGAAGACAGAACTTTGCCTTATTCTCTAAATTCATTTTTTTTGTTTTGCGAGCGTCTTCCTTGCGAAATTAATTTTAATTATTCCTCTAAAACATCATCTGTAACAATAACTCAGATACATTCCGATAAAGCAGTAGTATTATCGAAATTGGAAGTTATTCAGATCTTGATGATGTTAAGCACATACTGCGTTAAGCGGCATTAGTGGTGAGTATAATTAGAAGTAATCTATCCATCTATAAAGTCATCTTTAAATTCTTTATAATTTTGTAAATATCTTATGTATTCATCACAATATATGTCACTATCTCTCGTAACATGTTTATAATATTTGTCTCACTATATTCGTCTAAGCACTCAGGTCAGTGTGTCATCATCTTATCACACACAATGCTGACCGCGTGTCACACTTGTCAATTATCACCTCATTTACTATTTCCTAATATTGTTTTGGCAGAAATTGCCCCGACAACATGGTGAAAAGTAGCAAGTCTCTTTGACCTAAATTATAAACTTATTGTTATCATAATATTGTCAAATTCTTCCCATTATATCATATTCGTTCCCTTTAACCTTTACACTCTCGTCCGCACGTGCAATCCATGTGACAATCATTTTCATTGGTTAACAGATTAATTTGGCACAAATACAATACGCGACGGTTAAAAGGTATGATCATGCGTCAAATTGCGCTCGCCATGAGAGGGCTTCTTGTCATTTCCATTTTATGTTGTGTTGTTTCTGGCAATGAATTTGCCGAGAAATGTATAAGCTCTGGAGTTACCCTCGCTTGTAAATCTGCAGGCGGGGGTACATTGACCCATCTATCAGGCTCTCCCTACCCCACAGTCCGAGTCATTCATCTAATCGGCACCGCTGATCACCTATTGATCAGTGCCTCTCTGTTCCCAAGGCTTTTGGTGAGTTAATATATGTTCTGTATTTGAACTTATAAAAATAGTTTTAACTTATCTCAAATCAATTTCTTTGTAAAATAATACCCTTATAATTATAAAACTTAATATAACTTAATATTACAGCTAATACGTGGAGGATTAGCTACATGTCGTAGTGTTCTAACCCCACCCAAGCATGGAATCACTGTCAACGGGGAACGTTGCAACGTGAACGGTAAGTACTGAATGAATGTTTATGCATGCTTCAACTGTTAGTGCAGCGGTGCCAACCCTTCACAAATAAAATACATCACGTTTCTGCTATGACAAGTATCTTCCGTTAGAAAAATGCTAAATGTCTGTTTACATATGTCACCATAGATCGTGTTGATAGTAGCTTAAAACCGGTTTCATTTAGTTAGGCACAAGCTTAAAAAAACACTCTGGCTTCTTATGCAGTAAATCACTCAAGCGTAACCTGATTTCAGATTACTACCACACACGGTGTTGACACGCAGTGTCAAAGGTCAGCCATAATGCTCTCATGCAATATAAACAAAAATATCCATATAATCGAGTTGTCGCATGAACTGCTTCATTGATTAAATGAATTGATAAATGAATCCTGCGTAGCTTAATAATATTTTTTTTTATATATTTATTTAACTATTACAACCTTCACAGGGATCATCACGTTGTATATTTCCTCTCGTACTTCCTGTCAAACAGGCTCACAGACACAGACTCTGGTAGTTTTGAACATGGAGGTGCATATGTTATATCTTTTGCCATGGGTGTCATCTAATGCTACTATACTCAATAATTACAGTAGTCTAATTTACATCAAACATCGTCACGTGGGTGGTATGCTGTCATCACACACAATGTTTCCGTGTATGCTTTTGCAACACAATGTTATGTTTTCGTAAAACACAACGGTATAATTTTCGCGTGTAGTTTCCGGTCTTTTTTTATCACCACAGTCGTAGAGGTAAGTGAAATTTGTGCAGTAAGCTATACTGGAGGGTTGGCATCTCTGTATCACTAACACTATGTTCTGAGTTGATAGTTTTATCATAACTTTATACCTTCTGTTCATCATGTTCACAACATTTACCTTCTGTTGTTGATAATGCACCTTTTTTTGTTTTTTTTATGAATGAGGCATTATCATTATTTGTGTACAAAAGTTTGAGAGCTAAAATTATATTAGTCAGTACAATATTAAATGCCATTTCAAAGAAAGATAATGCACCTTTTAATATTATGAATGTATATTTTGATTAGTTATTATTAAATTTCAGTTGTAAAGTTGTTTTAATATGAAATATAACTCTTAAGTATTACTAACTTTCTCACCTTACAGTGTCTCAACCTTCTGTGCCCACACCTATTCTCCTCTCAACCTCATTACAATCAAACTCATATTACCTCCACCTACCCTACACAAAGCTTACACCTAGTCTAACTATCAGTCTCTCACAACCATAGTCTAGAACCATCCACCTATAACCTATCTTTACAACATCTATTTACACACATATTGCACCTACCCCCTCCACCTACCCTACCCACACAAAGCTTACACCTACTATCACTCTGTGCAACCAGAGTCTTACACTATGTACAACATCTATCTACACACATACTGCACTCAATACCCAATGGCACACCCCCTACCCTACACCCCACCCTATCTACACTAGTTCACATGTTATCAGAACAAATCCTAATCATACCACTGCAGTTACATCTACAGTTACACCTTCTTCACACAACTATACTTCTATACATCACTCTCTCCCAACTGTTCCCCTTAATTCCACTTCTACTAAGTCAGCTAACAGCGCTGTGATTGCCAGTTCTGTAATAGGTACTTTTATTGTTATTGTTATCTTTATACTAATTTTATATCATAAATATGTTAAATCTAAAAAGAAAGCAAAAAAAGCATTTGTTCTTATGGATAATCCAATTTACAAAGACACTGTTTCCCATCTATAAGTTAATATTTGTGTTCTCACATTTTCTATATTCAATTTTACATAATCCAATTTCTATAAGTTAACTTGTTTCTCATCAATTGTAATTTCTATTATAATATAATTTATGTTAGGCATCCTATCCTGTTAACCTTTTCCCCTCCTCTCTCCCCTTCAGATCCTTTCCACTATTTTTATAATCATGATGGTGAAGATGATGATGACGATGTTGATGATGCTGCTGCTGCTGCTGATGATGATGACGAAGACGATGATGGTTATGACCCCTTTGCTGGTACGTTTGTAAACATTTTATGCATGTAAAAAGTAGCAAATTAGGCAAAGACCAATAGCGAAAACTAAGTAAGTATAATTTTCAAGTGAAATAGCAAAATCCCAAACCAACTTTGTATTAACTTAACAAGAATCCTTGGTATAACTATCTGCTTTTTTTACTTTTTCAGTTACCACCTTTGTCATCTTGCTAGTCGCCTTTGTCGGAGGAGGCACTGGCTGGGGGCTTTGGAGGAGGAGACAAGGACACCGATTAGGAGGAAGGCGGAGGCAAGCACCACCAAGACAAGTGTGTCTTGAAATGACACAATTAAGACAGCACACTCAACCAGCCCCCCTAGGAGTCTTCAGCAGCAACAATGTCCTGAAATGAGGCAGGCAGCAGTTCAGTTCAACCAGGAAAAGGAACAGCTCAGTACCTCCACCACCACAGTGCTCAACAAACCCAGACCTCCTGGAATGTAATTTAGACAAAATTCAGAGATTATTTTATAGCAGTGGCATGGGTCATCAGCAACTGTAGAGGCAACCTGCCCTACTATTTTTCATCATTAAACAAAACATGTAAACTCTACCTCTTGTATGTCCATGTAATATATAGTCCACCATTGTCATCATATGTGAAAAATGTAGCAAATATTATTCATTAGCTACATTCCACATCTTGATAGCATGATGTTGTTCAGACAGATATTTAGCATGATGTGGAATGCAGCAAATAAACTGCAATATAGTGTTGTATGTTCATGTAATATTATATTGCTACATTCCACCGCTTTCATCATATGATGTCACTGAAACTGATTTTTTTTATCACAGCGGTGAAGTGTAGCAAATATAATATTCTCCTTGTAATAAATATATTGCATTGTGTATGTTTATGTTCACATTATACTACATTCCACTACTGTGATCATATGACGTCATTGAGACTGATGTTTTTCATCACAGTGGTGGAACATATCTTTGTAATAAATAATTATAAATCTTCATTTGCATTGTGTATGTTTATGCAAGTTGAAGTCATGGATCATACTGGTCACATCCTTAGACAAAGTCATCATGAGCTGATTTAAGGTTATTTTTAAAAAATTTCATGAATCTTATACAATTTTAGTTACCAAAATATGTTACCAAGTTAGCTCATGGTGACTTTGACTCGAAGAAGTACACAGGGCTTGTTGAACAACAGGCGTCATCAGAATATAACAGGCGCAAATATCTATCATCCATGGATACACGATTTTAGGTTTACTTCTCAATACACCAGAAACACATAACCAACAAATGTATTGAAGTTCATCTTTTTTTTATTTGAACAACCCAGCATGAAGTCACATCCTTCACATCGGAGCCAGCATCACATCCATCATAGGTTACACCCTTAGTGACAGACACAGGAGCACAGCTCTCACATTACTTGTTCCCTGTAAATACAAACAACAGTATATTATGAATTTTGTTAATGACAATAGTCTTCTCTGATGTAAAAGAACATTAGACAGATATACTAAAACATAACAGTCAAAGTCATAGATATAACCACAGAACAAAAGTCGCAGACTTAGATTAAAAAATATTATATTAAACACACAAAACAAAGACACAGATAAATTTTCAATACCTATTTTTCGTAGGTCAATTTACTTGCTGCGAACCTTTTATTTTATTAGCTCTAGAATTATCAATATTGTAAAATAGAAATATTCTTTTCTTGAATATGCTATGAATACTACTCAGAAGCAATTAGACATCATACTGCAATAAGACTTCACCTGACAAGTAAATTTTTAGTAATCTTACCTCTTGAATAAGGTGTGGGTCTGCTTGTTCCAGGATAAGGCGGTGGCTGTGTCATTGGAGTGGGAGATACTGGTCTCACTTGTCCAGATGGAAGGCTGACTGCTTGCCCAATGGGGTTTCCAAGTGCAGCTGTCAGTAGCACTGTCTGTGGAGGGCTTGAGACGATGGGGTTTCCATGTCCAGCTGGTACTGGTGGTGGCGGTGGTGGTGGTAGCATCAACTCAGCTGGAACAGCTATTTCCGGTTCAGGAACATCCACTGGTAGGTGTAGTAGCTCAAAGTCTTTCACTTTTTCAGTGTAGTCTGATCCTGAGCTCATGAGCAGCTTAAAGATGTCAGCTGTCATGGAAATGCTCTTTTTTGCTCCACGACTGTTCCAATTCGTGAGGTGGACATACACCACACCATTGAAGAAATTTACTGAGAGATAGTGTCTCTCAGCAAATTGGTAAGTATCGTTCATCTTTTCTTTCGGCAGCAAAGGAAGAACAGCAGTGTTAAATGAAGATTTTGCTGCTTCCATTTTATATAGTTGCTTCTGGTAGTCACGTGTGTTTTCATATCGTGAGAATTTTTACTTTCCCACATATTCCTATCCTTTTGAAACACCAAAAGCAAATGTGTTACTCTTTGTGTCAGCACATTTCTTTCTTAATCGAACTTTGTCATGACTAACCGTTTTCGTAAATTCCTTTTATGCCACTTCTTTTATAACATACTTAAGAAACAGCAATGTCATGAATGTGTATTTACTTAGAAAATATGAAACACTCCTCTCACTCATGAAAGAATGAAAAGTCCCAATTATATGAGCGATCTCATGATGCTGAATCACCATCACATGTCACCTCCTCCACCTGCAAGCACCAACTGACATAGTCAGATATAACATTTTAGCAAATAAAAAAATAATCTTTTTTAACTACACCCTCTACTCACCATTGAAACCTGTTGATAAGAAGAACCTTTTATTGACAACACCTTGAACATAAGGTAGCTCTTAGTATGTTGACTAAGACATCGGGCTTCAGAGTCACTTATTCAAAATCTCCCTTATGGTGTTTGTTTTTCTCATCATGTTTAACCTCACCCTTCTTTTGACCAATCATCAGTAGTAGCGAGTGCAAAACTTTTTAATGGTATTAAACTTTACTCCACCGTGCCGTTTCATCATTCAAAATCAAGCTGCAGACAAGACACTTGTGGCAGATAGAAAAATCCACTCAACTTTCCCATTTGAAGCCTTGCACTTTCAAAAGGTAAGATTATTATTTTTGTATAATTTTAACGCATTTAAGGAAAAGAGGTTTAGGAAAATTACTTCTGTGAAGGAAAGCACACTTTTGCATTTTGTGAAACAGTTTATACAATTCCTATATTCATGTTTAACAAGTTATTTCTCTCTTCCACAGGTTCCTTTACATTGCAATCTTTACTCTTTCATGGCTGAATAACCTTGATTTACAATGTCGGATCATACCACCTGTTTGATCTTTACATGTGAACATTGTCATCAAAATTTTAAATATAAACGGAACTTAGTTCGTCATCAAAAGTACTGTGCTAGAGAAGGTGCATTGTATGCCTGTCAATATTGTCAAAAACAATTTAACAGAAGAGACAGCTTGAAAAGACACAGCAAAATATGTAAGCAAAAAGTTGTGTATTGTCGTCAATGTCCACATTGCTTTCTGTATTTTAGCAATGAAATTGACTATCAGATGCATCCATGTGCAACAAACAGAGCTTCAACATCAAATAATGCTTCTACTCATACTTGTCAAACATGCAATCAATCCTTTCAGACATCCAAAGCTTTGAGGTTACACAAAAATGAAACTAACCATGGTATGTTAGGGAGAGGGAAAGGTAAAGCTAGTAGGCAAAAAACAAAATCAGCCACTGTGACTGTACCACATCATTCACCTCCAGTGTTGTCACCAACCACTTCTCACCCATCTCCTCATACTTGTCAAACATGCAATCAATCCTTTCGTACATCCAAAGCTTTGAGGTTGCACAAAAATGAAACTAGTCACGATATGGTGGGGAGAGGGAAAGGCAAAGCTAGGCAAAAAACAAAATCAACCACTGTGTCTGTACAGCAAGATTCGCCTGCAGGGTCACCTCCAACCACGTCTCATCCATCTGCAAATGACTCATCAGATGCTTCAAAACCATGTTCTTATCAAGCCTTAAATGGTGATGTAAGAGAATATGACATTCAAGAGGGAACTGCTACTGATGCATTGGAATTTCTAGTCAGAGAACAGAATAGTGTTATTTCAATGCTTGAATTAGAAATAAAAGAAAAAAGTCAATTAAATGGTCACTATGTTTACATATCAAGATGGAGAAACCAGGTGAAGGTGGTAATGCAAATTATCATGAAGCCTATTTTAGAAGCGAGATGCAGATAGCTACTGAAGGAAGTGATTTGATTGATCAATACTTGGAAGCAATGAATAAAATGTTGCAAACTTTAGATGATTATGAAGGCGTTCATTCTGGTTTAAATGTCAATGCCATTGTCATGATGAAACTCACTGTGGTGAAATTTAAACCATTTAAAGGTGGTAGTTACATGCCTTTGCCTTCAAGTTTAGCAAAACACCAGTATTGTATCACAAATGTCAAAAATGAAAACAATAATTTATGTTTTGTTTTGTCTATTCTTGCCAAATTGTATCCAGTGACCCAACACAAAGAACGAGAGACACATTACCTCCCCTATCTAAATACACTCAATTTGGAAGGCTTTACTTTTCCTATGTCATTGAAACAAATTCCACGTTTTGAACAAGTGAACCATTTGTGCATCAATGTTTTTGGCTTTGAAGACAATACCTTATATCCAATGTATATTTCTGATAAGTCGCATGTAGATGAAAACAGACAAATCGATCTTCTATTTTTGTCAGAGGAAAGTGAACCGGATGATTTTGAAGGGATATTAGGGTTAGAATCTCAGGAGGAAGCCATGGATATAGACATTGAGCTAAATACACACTTCTGTCTCATCAGTAATCTTAATGGATTAATCAGAAGCAGATGTAACCAAAACAAATCCTTTGTTTGTAGGAAGTGTTTATGGTCTTACTCATCTGAAGAAAGGTTAGAGGCTCACAAAGGGTATTGTTATAAGAAGGCACAAAGAGTTGTTTTACCTGAACCGGAAGAAGCATTGTATGAGTTTGGTTTAAGATCACAAAGCAAAACCGATCGAGCTAAATTCATCATATTTGCTGATTTTGAAAGTTTATTAATTCCAGAACAAGGTCATTCTCCTCGTTTGAATCGTCATGTGCCTTGTGGGTATGCTTACAAGGTGGTATGTACTGATGAGCAATATACCAAACCTGTTCAGACTTTTGTTGGTGAAAATGCAGCTGAACACTTCATTGAAAATATTTTAAAAGAATATGATGAGATTATGAATTTATTTGATTCAGTCAAACCTATGCAGCTTACCAATGACAATAAAATACTCATTAACAATACTACTCATTGTGGTTTATGTGGAGAACTTCTTGGAAAAGATAGAGTGCTGGATCATGACCATTTGTCAGGTGAATTCCGCCAAGTCCTGCATAACAAATGCAATCTTAACTTTCAACTAAGAAAAAAGGTGATTGTGATGTTTCATAATTTGGAACATTATGATGCTCATCTGTTGTTAGAAGTGGCACAAAAGTTTGGTGATCGAGAGATTACAGTCATACCTCATACCACTGAACAATTTCTGTCCTTTACTATAGACAATAAGTTAGTTTTTTTGGATTCATACAAATTTTTACAAAGTTCTTTGGATGCATTGACAAAAAATCAAATGAAAAAAGGTGTAGATTCTTTTAAATATTTGAAAGAAGAATTTCCTCACCATGTAGAGGTCTTAACACGAAAACTTCCATTTCCCTATGAACATATGAGTTCATGGGAAACTTTAGATGAGACCTCTTTACCACCTCAGGAATCATTCTACAGTTCATTGTCAGAAGAGGGTGTTAGTGATAATGATTATTCCTTTGCTCATGAATTGTGGGAAACATTTGAATGTCAATCTATGACAGATTTTATGACATTGTATGTCACAGTAGATGTGTTGTTGTTAACAGATATTGTTGAAACCTTTAGAACAGGCTGTTTAGCTGACTATGGGTTAGACATTTGTCACTATTACTCCATGCCAGGTTTCTGTCTGGATGCTGCTATGAAAATCACTGGCGCAAAACTGGATCTGTTCACCAACGTAGACACTTACAATTTCATTGAAAATGCTATTCGTGGTGGGGTGTCAGTCATTGGTAAAAAATATGCGGAAAGCAACAATGAACACATGGTTGATTTTGATCCGGACAAAGATACTTCATATTTGAATTATTTTGATGTAAATTCGCTTTACGCCACTGTGATGTTAAAACCACTTCCTATTGGTAATTATCAGTTCATTGAACCTGAAGAATATAATCAAATTGACTGGAACAGTGTAGATACAGAAGGTGACACAGGCTATATCTTGGAAGTGGATTTGTTGTACCCCAATCACTTGCACAAAGCTCATGCTGCTTTCCCCATGGCTCCAACTCACGATGATATTCCATTCCACGAATTATCTCCTAAACACAAAGAGTTATTAGCCCATTTCTTAAAACGTCCCGTTCATAAACTTCCAAAGAAATCCTCTGGCAGAAAGCTTTTTTGTACCTTGAAAAATCGTTTACACTATGTGGTTCATTTCAAAACATTACAATTGTATTTAAGACATGGTTTGGTTTTAAGCCAAATACACAGAGTGTTGAAATTTCGTCAAGGACCATGGTTAAAATCTTATGTTGAACTCAACCTGAGAAATCGAAAAAATGCAAAAGATGATTGTGACAAAGACCGTTACAAATTGATGAACAATTGTGTTTTTGGTCGTTTTTGCATGAATAAACGCAAGCACAAAAAGGTTCACTTGGTGACACAAAGACCAAAACTTCAAAAACTTACTGCTAAAAGCAACTTCAAACATGTCAAAATTTATTCAGAAGAGGTGGTGGCAGTTGAACTGGAAAATACAAGTGTACATTTAGATCAACCCATCACTGTTGGTTTTACCATTTTAGATTTAGCCAAATATGAAATCTATGACTTCTACTACAATGTGATGCAAAAGCAATATGGACATGAGCATTTAGATTTGCTCATGACAGACACTGACAGTCTTTTTATGCAAGTTCATGCCCCTCCACATGAACCACTTCTTGATCCCTATGTGTTCATGAAAGAAAATTTGCATTTATTTGACACCTCCAATTATGCACCTACAGACCCTAAGGAATTATATTCTGACCAAAACAGAAAAGTCACTGGCAAAATGAAAGATGAAGCATCTGGAAACATTATTTTGGAATTTTGCGGCTTAAAAGCAAAAATGTATTCATATTTGATGAAAACAGACAAAGAGGTCATTGAGAAAAAAACCGCCAAAGGCATAAAAAAATTAGTTATCAAGAAATTTCTTAGACATAGGATGTTTAAAGAGTGTCTATTTCACAATGAAGCTGTCTCCTGTTCTTATTTTCTGATTCGATCCTGCAATAATACTCTGTTCACTCAAAAAGAACAAAAGATGGCTTTGACTAGTTGTGACAATAAACGTTATCTGCTAGAAGATGGTGTTCACAGTGTTCCTTATGGTTATTCACCCATAGAGTGAGTCAAGGAAAAATAAAAGAAAGAAAATAAAGTCTCTAGCAAGGTATGGACGTCTCAGTAAAATTCATCATTTAACCTGTTAAAGATATTATTAACAATTTTCTTTTGGATTGCTAATAATCATTATACTTATAATAATTTTGAAATTCTTTTGGTTTCAAGTTTGGAAATTTGAGAATGTATGTTCATGTATTTTGTGTTAATACATGCGTGTTTGATTTATTTACAGGACAGGATGAATGAAGCAGCCTACATGTGCACAAGGTGTCATCACTTCCTGTCAGTGGATGCAAATGGGGAAGATGATCAAGGACTCTTTACATGTGTCTATTGCAATACCAAACTGAAATACACCTATCACAGGTTTATGACGCATACAGACACTTGTGCTGTGAGGAGGAAGGCGATACAGAAGAAGCAGAAAAAGAAGCCACGTATGTGCACTTGTCATACACCACAATGACTGAAGGAGTTATTCATCCTCTGTGTGTATATGCGCACTATGATGTGCTAATTGCTCTATGAGCAACTGTGCAAAGACAACAACAATAAAATGAGCAACGGTGCAAAAACAACAACAATAAAATGTAATTTAAGTCTTTATTGAAAAAAGCATGAAAACTACAGAGCGTCTAATGCTCTTATTTTTGTTGTGCCGGGCACACCTTTCGCTGGTTTTCTTTTCATGTATAAAATATTTGAATGTCTTTCGTCTTTTGTTTTTCTTCTTTTCAAAAGTTGTTTAGGTGCATGTAAACGTTTTAACAGTTTTAGAAACTGCTTATAACCTGCAGGTGAGCGCTTACTTCGTGGTGACAGGATGAAATATCGAATCAAATCTACTACATTTGAATTTTTCACAACATTACCATTTCCCAAAACAAGTTGTGAATTTGAATCTACATTTAATTGTTCCTTTTCAATCTTGTCTTTCACAAACATCCACATTGTCATCAATTTACCAATAGTCTTGGTAGAAGAAATGTCTCTGATTAATTGTTCGGGAACTTGAAAAAGGTGTTCAGGCTTCTTGCTGCATACGAGTTGTGAAGTGTCATCCTTATCTGACTCACTCACTTTCTGAGGCTGAGCTGTCTGATGAGGTGTCTGTTGTGGTGTCTGTTGAGCTGTCTGATGAGCTTTCTCTTCTTCTTGTTTTGCCACCAATCTCTGGTAATTCTCTCTTGTCAAAAGAATCATTGGCTTGCTCATCTTGTATAGTGGTTATATAACTCCTTATGCAAATAGGTAGAATTGAATGGTGTAAGATGATGAGTGCACGTTTTCTGTGTCTGCTGACACCCTTGTTGGCTAACATGCGAATGACCTTCTTGCGACGAGACAACCAAGTTTTATCTTTTTCTGTCACCTCTATGTTACCCATGAGAATATTATACACAAGAGTAAGAATTGATAGGAATTGTTCTGAAGAAGCATGAGACAGCATAGCCTTTCTCTGTGCAGGGTTAGCTTCTGCTAACACTGTTAAGAAACTAACATGATTTTTTATCAATCCACTCATGTTGATGCTGTAGGGTAGCTGTTCCACTTTCAAATGAAGAAACACATCTTTAGTTATTGTTATTTATCTAGAAACAAAAATTCGCATCTTCTTCATTGTCATCGTCTTCGCACTGACTACAATCATGAGGAGGATCTCTTTGCCAACTTTCCAACAAATCTTCACCCTTAACAGACACAGAGGTACTGTGTTTTGAGTCTTCGTAATCTTGTAAAGACATAGCATTTCGAAAAATATTATTAGCAGCTGCTCGTTCGTTTTCGCTACTGAAGCATTCGTAGTCTACCTCTCCATCTGTCCATATATCTTCATCCAATATGTTGGGACACAGTCTGTTATTCCACAACAAGTCTTTAAAGACTTCCGTCCATGAGTCATAGTCATTTTCTATATGTAAAGCAGCGTAATCGTCTCCCCACACTGACACTGTAAACAACATTCGAGAAGCTGTTTCTTTCAGTGTTGCATCATTCTTTCTGTGTTTTTCGATAATGTTGATCAAACAAGTCCTTTCCTTCACTGCATACATTTTGTTTGCTGTAGGAGAGCTGACTGTAGAATGACTGAAGTGAAGTGGATTGGTTGTTATAGAAGGTTGTCAGTTTTGAAAAACTATGATGATTCATATTTATTTAAAGTTGTATGTTTTGGAGCTGCTATCATGTTGATATAGTTACAATGAGGAGACAGTCTAAAATGTTCAGTCATTGGTTCATCTTCTGATATCCACTGTGATGCATAAAGTTTACACTTGAAGCAGTAGACCCTATCAGATTGTCCCGTGTACATAAATCCAGCTTCAGCCATGGCTTTAGGTGATTGTTTGATCTGAGTTGGCCAAGTCTTAAATGAAGCCAGTCTATCAGTAAACTTTTGTCCATCGGGAGAAGTATGTGTGACACCAACACAATCTGCTTCCACGTAAGGAAAATGTTCAAACCGTCCACATGTATCCATAGTTCTGTTCAGTTCAGAGGTTGTAAGTGAAATGGTGTATCACAGGCATCTATGTGCATATTTAAATCATGCTAAGTTATTTCTGCGGTAGGTAGACTGTGCACATCCCATCATCAGTAAATATGTTGGTGCGTAAACGACCGTACTGTTCATCAGCATAAGGTGACACATCTAAGACAAGATAACCATATTTCTTTCCTCCTACTGCATCTTGAAACGATTCAGCAAAATACTTAGCTTGACCTGGAAATACTTGTGATGCTAAAATCTTATATTCATGTGCTGAACGTGGATTAGACAACAGGATAAAGTAATGTGTGTTCAGTGACATTGTTCTTGCACATTCACCTTTTGGGTACACACTTTGCATAATGTTTATAACTGTAATTCCGAAATGATGTGATAGTGTGGTATACAGATCTAAAAACAAAGAACTTTTACAAATTTGTTGCATGTAATCATCCAGAACAAGCAAACATTTTTTGTCAGATTCATGTGAATAAGATTTCAGTTCCTCTTCAGTAGGCAAGTGATCTTGAAATCTAATATTGCAAACACTTTTTTCAAGCTCTGTATAAATGTCTTGCCAGACAACATAACAGTAAATAATCAAGTTAGGTGCTGGGTCAAACATGGTATTCGCTTGATTTATGAGACGAGCAGTCCAAACACTTTTACCACTAGAGGATCCTCCTGCTACAGAAATTGTAGTAGGTGCATGAAAGGGTAACAGACATAACCTTTCTTCCATGGTGACTTGCACACTTCACTGGTGTATTGTAGTAGTGAGTTAAAACCTCACATGACTTCTTTTTTATACAAATACCAACCACAAAATTTAAACTAAACTAATTTTTATTGATTTTTTTCTTTTCCATGCAAATATGATACATATTTTCATTGACAACCAAAACAGGAAGGAGTACAATATTTAAAATAGTGACAAATATATTGAGATACAAACATATCATTCCAATTGAAGTTTTTTACATCAAACTGTTGATAAAAGTAGTGAAAAGTCCAGTTAGCTTTAAATGTGCACAACAGATAATATAGACAATACAATCCACACACATTTGAATCTACTGATTGTAAACGTATGCTACTGTAGGTGTAGGATTGAACATATGATCTTAAATAGCTGTCAAATACATCATCTACATGTTCAGCTAAACTGTCAAACAGTTCTGCTCTATTTCCTTTAAGATACATGACAATCCAATGACGTCCTTTCTTGTGAGCAAAGTCTGTATTTACAATAAGCCCAACCCCTCGTGTTAACATAGTCATTGTCAGTATAGGTAGGCTGTCTTTAGCAAACACACCTAAGATATGTGTTTGTAAGACAGAGTCACACTGAAGGGCACATGTCAATTCAGATGCTTTCATCTTCTTTACTTGATGTAAACATTCCTGGCTTTATCCACTTCAATGATTGAGTTTCTTTCGCTCATGATAATACAACTCAATGTGTGAGTCAAAGCAGATTTAAATTCTATTTCCACTCTCACATTTCCTGATTTTACAAGATTAAGATACTGAGTACCTATTTCATCAAGATGATAAACAAACAGGGCACTACCAAGCAAGAAATCCTTTCTTGAAATAAAGTTTCCCCTGTCTTGTCTCCAATATTTCAAATTATCAAATAGGTTGAGATAGGTGTCTACATCATCCACCTGGGTAGCTCTCCCAGGGACACTGACACCGTTCACATACAGGTTCACAGTTTTAATCATGCTGGATTGAAAGTTATAGGGGTTCCCAGCATACTTCCCATTGAAACTGCTGCTGTCTACAAATCCAATGGTATACCGATTAGCAATAGGGTTTGAGACATTGTCAATGGTATGAGTTAACTGTGAGATGGGAATACTAGTGACTTTCACCTCAGACTTAATAAAAGGGTACAAAGCATTAGAGTTGTTGTCAAATAAGGTGTTGTGAGCCAGGATGAGTGCTGGATTGACTTTCAGTCTGCAGATTTTGAGATAAACATCCAACAGCTTAATACTGTACTCTTTATCAGCTACCCCACTCATGAGACAGAAGGCAGGAGATGATCTGAAGAATTTCAAATTTAGGTCAACACCATTAATTAAGTGTCTGTTCATGTCAAACACATCTTCAAAAAGATTACCAGACATGGTCACTTCCTGACTTTTGGCAATAAACTCTCCTCGTTCCACAATTCCGCTGTTAGCACCTGTAACTGGATCTGTAGATTCAATATGATCATTATCATCTCCTGTATCTTTGTAGAACAATTGTGACGTCAGTTGAGATGATTTTGCACCAGCTCCATAATTTATCAATGCTTTCATCATACTTTTGTAAGCATAATGGTTATTTGTGGACGAGACCAATTGTCCATTGAAATAAACAGTCAGCGAACTGAAGATGCTCTGTAGGAAGAGGTTCACACAGGAGCAATGTTCATCTGCAGCTAAATCTGTTCCGTCTGCATGAGTGACCATAAGTTTCACATGTAGTCTTGTCCTCTTCAAATCAATGTAGTCACTTCCTGAGTTGGAAACATGGAATTCCAAAGGTGCCAAATCATTGATTTGGCTGAGTGGACGTACATTTTCATAGTAATGTTGTTGAATACATGTCTGGAAGGGTGGTAGAGTAAATAGGTTTAAAGCGTTCGGAACGATTTCTTCAAAACTTTTACTTGTCAGTAGCGCCATAATGTTAACTGAAGATATCCTTTTCTTTCACAGGGGTACACCTCAGGACTCTGGCTGTCTTTGAAGGAATGCTGCTTGTGGGACGTATCTTTTTGGTTGTGGCCACTTGTTCACCTGCAGCTCTTTTTAAGGACTTGTGGCGCTTCTCTTTGGCTTCTGCTCTCTCCACCTCACTTTGAGGCTCAGACATCATCTGTAATTTGACTTTTGTCTTTTCTTTTGATGAGTCAGGTGAATGTGATGCAATGACATTAGGTTGAGTTTTCCCATTCACAAGATGAGAACTGTTTGTCATGTGTCTTTTAAAGTAATTCTGCCATTTGTTATAATCAGGTACATAAAGAGGTAAAGACTCCATGTCAGTTGGTAAAGGGGTAACGTTGAAGGTGAAGTGTTAGTTGTGTTTCCTCTTTTAAGAATGACAGAGGTGTTCCATCACTTGCTTTTATACAGATTTCAATGTCTGGAGATTCTTTCACCATGACATGAATGTTGTATTCATTAGGAAATTTAAAATTAGGTCCCTCTCTCAAGTCAATTCGCCTCAACAAAGGAGCTTGAGTGTCACCATCTAGTGAACTGTCACATATGTTACACAGCACATCCACATAAGAATTGTTCATGTGAGTGAGATCTGTCTTTCCAAAATTCAGTTCAGTGAGAGAAACAACCCAGAATCCATCAAAAACCAATCTCTGATTCAGTTTCACTCGGAAATGATATGGAGTGTTCTCTTTATAATATTTACTTTTGGAGTCTGAAGACTTCAGAAAGACAAATTTCTCCATTACATGTCTTTCAGCTGGCTTTCCTCCACATAAGAATCAAAGGAACTAGGCCAACCTAACCACCGAACCAAAACATAAGTCTTCCCATTCATTCGCTTCTTCTTTAAAACCTTTTCCACCTGCCACTGAATATCCTCATCTTTATCAACCTTCTGCAATTCACCAGTGTAAAAAATACCTTTGATTATTTCATCATGAAAATCTTTGATTTTGTACAGAGGAATTTCCTGTCTCTTAAATCGTTGAGCTACTTTAAACAATTCTTGTGTCCACTTCAAATCAAGTTCCTTGCTGAATGCTCTCTTGAGATATGGAATACGAACAATGTCACCTACTTTATATTTGAATTTCTTCCTAGAGTGAAGATTTTTCAGTTGATTCATGAAAGGTTTGACATATAGATGTTGCCAAACTTTCAATTCATTGGTTTTATTTACTTGTGCAGGTGATAATTCAGGCAGGGAGGAATGTTGAGTATGATTGTAGTTATTTACAAGGTTAGGTAGAACATCTAGATAGCGTTTGGTGTTGTTATGAGTCATGTATCGTGTGATCAAAGATTTCAGGGTTCTGTTGAAACGTTCCACATAATTACTTTTAATGTTTTCATTGTGTGCAATGGTATGAGTTATGTTTTTCCTCTTTAAGAATGAGTGAAATTCTGCTTTGAATTCCGATCCATCATCTGTACGCACCTTCTTTGGTTGACTAGTATTAAGTATTTCCTTGAAAGCTTTGAACACTGATTCAGGTTTTTTATTTGTTAAAGGTAGAACAAAAGCATATCTACTTAAGATATCAATAGCCACCAGCAAATATCTTATCCCATCATTCTCTTTGCTAAATCGTGAGAGATCTGTAAGATCCACATCAAACATTTCATTGATGGAATTAACTCTCACTTTCAATCTCTTGAACTTATGCTTAACTGGTTTATGTAAAGTATAAGCATCTTGATTATTTACAAATCGTTTCACCTTCCTCAACTTGATTTTGTGTTGCTTGTTTTTCTTCAATTCATCACGTAATTTTGATGGACCAAAATATGCCCCTGGATTTTGAGCATTAAAATAATACTTTTCTAATGCTTTCTCTTGCTTACTGCTCTTGCTCTTACGAGAACTCATGATGAATTAAAACAAAACATGTTTTCCAATCAATATATACCATGACAACATACATTTTCCACTGATTTATTTGTAACATATATACATACATAATGATATGATACATGTTTTAAGAGTTGCTTGTGCACACTGTTTCACATTGAACAATCATGAGGTGGTTCATCACACCAACTTTCATAAACTTCTAAAATTGAGAAATCCAATCCTGGGAAAGGAGCAAAGTCATTATTAATATGCTCTCTATTGTGTGTGCAATGACACTGGCTTTACACTTATGAGGTTACAGACGGTTATTCCATAATAAGTTCTTAGTCATGTACTCTATTCTCAACCCATGTACCTCTTCTAATGTTCAATATTTTCTAATATACACAGAGATGATGTCTGTTCTAACCACTATTGAAATGACAATGATTAGAATTCAAACAGTAAGGATATGTCCCTCAAAGTCTTGTGTTACCATGTCTTCCATCATCCCCTCAGGATCATGATAACACAGACAGTTCATAAGATCCATACAACACACATGACACTGAACCTGTCCACTATTACAACTCATATGTCTCAACATATTATTGTGGAGACATATGCTACAACCTTTTTGAAGAGGTGTCAGTTTTTCTTGTTCGAATGGGTCATTTAACAAAGAGTTGTCTAACCATTTACCATCAAAGTAAAACACATTTGGATTCCAGCCATCCAGCGAAGGAAGTGTTATGGATTCTGCCATAAGTGGTGAAGTTGACTGAGTTGACATTAAATTGTTGGGAGGAGTATTTACATCATCCACACTGTAAAGAGAAACAAAATGTGACAATATAGTTTGTGGAAAATACGAGACAACTGTTAACGAATAGAAATTGACGAATTACAAAGAAAGACATAACCTCGAAGGAGAAAAGCACTTACTTTGGTGGAAAATTGATTGATGCAGCAGGAGTTGATTTCTCTTTTTGTCTCCTCTGCTTCTGTGTAGCCTTCTTTGGATTCGAATGTATCGATTCTTTGGTAGTGTGTTGTTTCTTCACTTTTCCACTTTTCTTAGCTTTAGGAAGAGAACTGTCAGAAGGTTTAGCATCGGTTGAAGCAGTGACAAGTTTTGTATAATCCATCATCAAATTCAGAAGAGCAGGGGATACTAAGGGAAGCTTCTCTTGTAAAGTTTTCATCTTCTCTGTCATGTGAGTGTAAGTTGATTTGTACAAGACACTTGTTCTCATCATGGTTTCATGCAAATGTACTTGATCATTCATGATGTCCTTCACTTCTTGAAACACAGTAGTAAGTAACTGATCTGTTGAAAAGTCCAGATTTGGAATCTTCTGAGCCATACTGATTATGCGCACAGATGCTTTTCTCAATCTTGTCTGGTTGATAGTGACAGGGAAAGTGATTATGAAATAACTTTTAAGTTGAAGGTGCAACATGGGATTGTGTACAACGTGAGTTGTCTCATTGGACATGGAGTAAAACTCCTACCATTTGATTGGTTAACAATGTCCATGTTTGGGATGGAATACCTGGATTTAAATGTAGAATGTATACTGGAAAGGAATGTTATTGTGTCATGACAGCATACTACCTCCACAGTTATGCAAAGTATTTCCATTGTTGAAGTGTGGAGCAAGCATCTGCTCCACACTGCTCCACACAACTCCACACTGCTCCACACGACTCCACACTGCTCCACAGTTATGCTATTGTTTGGGAGATGGAATGTCTTTTGTTGGGTTCAGGAATGCTATTGTTTAGCTTGGAATGCTATTGTGTAGCGCATATTTTCCATTGTGTGGCTATGACTGTGTACTTTCTTACTATACTAGATGTCAAGACATTTTCAGCTCTTGCACAAGTGATGGTAAAGCGTTGCAAATATTGTATGCATTTTACTTTAAGCAATTACAAGCGTTTAGGCATAACTCATTAATTCATGGCGGTGTATATTGTCGCTCATGTAGAATTAAGGCTGATATATCGGCTGTGCTACACATATAACAATAGACAGGATCACGAATAAACGAAAAAATTACATTGGTCACGATTAAAAACATTATTCCTTTACATTCGATTTCTATGCATGCATACTCGTATTTTCGAAATATTCACGAATACAATAATGTCATTCACAACCTAATGAGCTTATGGATACAGGGAATGAGGTGGATGCTATCCTTTTGGTAATCTCTTAAAAGTTAAAGAATTTATTTTATCCCTATTGAAGTTGAGCGACGGGCCTATCTGTTGCACCCGAATGGCAACAGTGTGAATTCAACAAATAAAATCAACATGGAATGAATAAATTACATCTATATTTTTGTTATGTTAATTTCGAAAAGCATTCGAATATCTATAACGGAATCTTTTTCAAAACACAGCGCAACAAAAGTCCGCTAATTACGAGATGATGTCACAAATTCATTTGCAGCATTTTGTTTGTTACTAGTATGAACTGAAGCTGTTGTAATTTCTCGGAGTAAGAAAACAAATCCCAACACACACAACACTTTTGCATCATTGCATGTTTATTAATTTAACTTACAGTTCAGTCTTGAAAAATGTTTGACATTTGATGGAAGATACATACTGTTCATGTTGCAACTTTAAAAACAGTTCCACGTTCTTTAGTATGAAAGTATACCTTCCAAATTGGTTAAGTGCATTAAGTGGTTTATATAACTGCAGAAACCGACGAAAACAGTCAGTTTATGTGTCACTTTCAACACGGCCCATGTGGTCCATATAAGATTTTGTTTCGTAATTACGTATTTACCCGAACCAGCGAGTTTAACTGTCTCAGCCAATGAAAATTCAGGGGTCCGGCGTCTTGCTGGTTTATTGTTTTTGCCAATGGGCAATAGAAATATTAAACACCTCTCCCGTTCTTTCTGTTGCTCGGATATCGGAAAGTGAAAAAAATATGCTTTGAAGTCATCTTAGTGGTCATCGCATTGAATGTAACACTTCTTGCGAAAGTACGTATTACTCAAGTGATCACTGTGATGTGATTAACGACTAACACTTCATTTCATCCCCACAAATCCAGATGAGGAAATTCACCTTCAACTTTCATGCGAATCCTTGTGCATGTTCTTTCTGAGTGCCCATTTGGCAACATTTGTTTGAACTTGCTCGTGTCAGTGCAAATTATTTTCACCACTATGATGTTTTTCCATTTCTTTAATTTCGAATTTTACTCGCATTAAAATCACGTAAAACCGAGACTCTAAGCTGCATACTGATGGAACCGAATGGCACCAGAATAGGTATCCATCAGAGAAGGCCAACTCTCTTTTGTTATTTTGACCCAAATCATGTATCCTGGCGTGAATTACCACCGATCCATCCCGAATTCCTTAGGACTTCTTCATTCTTAATTTGCTTCGCAGATTCAGGTGCATAGATTCTTCCTTGGGTATTGTCTTTGCCAAGGCGTGCTGTGCAATGGACATGCTAAACACCTCTCGTGTTCCGTTCTACCGTCACACCACTCTTGCTCAAAAGTTGTTTGATCAAGGTTACAATATTCAAGGCCTCAGCAAAGCTTTCAAAATGTTGTGGAGGACATTTCGAAATTTGAGGCATCAGTGGCAATCATGATGTCCGGTGCAATTCCCTATTTGTGTACCATACGTTCCCAGGTACGGTATTTCAGATGAACAATTGCCTAGACATTGCATATCTTTATGACGGGTGCCACCGGTGGGGCAGGATACGCTCACCTTTCGCGAACACCTGGTATCATCACTATTTCATAGTGAATCATATACTCTGTCATCGTATCGCATGGTGACAATCACTGGATTGTCTAATCCAGACTAAGTTGGTTTACAAACAGCATCGCACAGCTGTAATATTGCTGAAACAATATATGCTCATGATATAGTCACAATTGTACAATCGACTATGCTTTTAGCAGAGCTTTTTTAATGAATGTGGAAAGGTTGTATTTTTGTTGCGTTGACTTTATCTTAGTGGTAAAAACACATAGCATAAACCACTGATTATATATCGTCGATGTATGCTCGTACATAATTTACATTCAGGTTTATTTTAATTTAGACATCTATTAAACTGATGCTCAGGGAAGGCCTAAGTACTAAGTGTGAATTACCACTGATCTTTCAGTGTGAAATTCAACTTCTAGAATACCATTCAAACAATTAATGATGTGAATAGTATTTTGCTGTCCTCAGATTTCATTTGGGGTCAAGAACAAAACAGCTGTGAATCAACCACAGAAAATCAGAGATTACACCGGGTACACCCGATTAGTGTAAACACATCCAGTAGCACCCGCAGCTTGCCTTAAATCTCACTCAAATAATAGTGAAGATAAATAGACCAGGCAGATGTAGGTTTGTCAGCTAAATCTCAAATTGTTATTGTAATATTTTATCGTATGAAAATATCATTGTCATCAGTTTATTCTGTTTATAGAAAGATATTTTATGACCCTTTTAGCAATAATCCAGCAATATTACGACCGGGAATAACACATTATCCCAATAGAGCAATCGAGCCAAGTTCCTCGGCGTGACAAGTGAAAATTTTAACCACTAGGTTATCCCATGCCCCTCTCACAGACGCAGTGGCACTTTGAAATTTATTTCTAATCCTTCTAAGCCGTTTCCGAATCTCTAAATCGGTACGAAAGTGAAACAATGTATGAACATTCCTACATAACGCCGTTATATTTAATATTAAAAATGTGAAAACAAAATCGTTCCATCAGTCGTTTACTTGAACCTTTGACAAGTATACTGTCCTAATCATTATATGAATAGAGGATTCTTGTCTTGTGAGTTATTGTGTTTTTGACAGTGATATTTGAAGTCAATCGTAAATATATCTTTATACACTGACGCAGATTTAAAGTATACTCTGTACAGCCGGTGTGGAAGAAACATGCTACACAAGAAACAACAAAGCAAATGCTACAGAACTTAATCCATATAATGTCTTACCATACCGTAATAACCGTTTACTCACTCCTAGATTGGACTAGTTTACTTTATTGCAGATGTTTCAATTTCAACATTCAAACAACACAACGGCATGGGACACAAGGGAAGACATGCTTGCATGTACCCGAAAGGATGGCTTTAGCACAAGACTACTTCAACACACCTCGACAGAGAAACAGTTTGGAAACTGTAAAATGTGTATATAGGTTTTGCTATAGCAACAACATGTCAATCGTATGCCAAACATTAATAAATGTAACACAATCAACACTTGTATGTGCATGTATACGTGCGTATGTGAATGCGTGCGTGCGTGCACGCGTGCGTGCGTGAGTGGGAGCGGAGGCTGGGTAAATCGATCTTAATACAAAAGTTTCAAACATGTTCTTGTAAACACGGAATGGATTTTAGCATTCTTCTCAATATTACATACGAGTGTGTGTAAGTATATATGTGCCGCTGTGAATGGCAACAGATGCATAAAGATAATCAGGAGACGTTCTATGATCTTGATGTTAATCGTTGATCTACTAATCTATTTAAATATTCAGTATTAAAGCATCGATGTTCCATCACCTTTAGTCTGTTAGTTCCTTCGAACCTTAGTGGAAATTAAATTGTAATTAATATGGAGATCCAGATCAGTACGGACACAATATAGTTAACGTTGATTGAACACAATACGTGGATGTGCTAGGTACATTTTATCCATTTTATTGATGCAAAGAACAAATCAATACAGTATAAAAACATTCACACACAAAGCATGTACGCATATGTCTCTAGTGGTAGTAATACGGACTGGCTTTGTTGACGAATGAACCAGCAACTCCATGACCAACGAAGAGTCAACCATGTCCATAAACACCGTTTCCGACGAAAGGTCCCTGTCCAGAAAAGCTGCCATCATGTCCGTAAAGGCCGTGTCCAGCATTGAAGGGGCTGTGTCCAACGAAAGGTGCGTGTCCTACAAGACCAGCTCCTCGTCCAGCTGCGAATGTGCCAACACCTTTGCCGTAGATGTTGTTGTAGTTGTAGGGCTTATAGTCGTTACCGTAAGCTTTGCCGGCACCAAAGTTACCAACGCCTTTACCGTAACCATAGCCGTTGTACCCATAGTTGTTGTTGTAGGGGTTGTAGCCATAGCCTGTACCAACAACACCAACGTTGCCAACACCTTTACCGTTACCGTATCCACTGTAGCCATAGTTATTGTATGGGTTGTAGCCATAGCCTTTACCAGCAATATGTCCATTGTTGAAGCCAACGCCGAAAGTTCCAACTCCTTTACCAAGGAGAGGCACCTGGGCCATGGCAGAGCAGACCATGACGGACACCACAGCGACGACGAACTGAAACCAGAATAAGTTGAAATTAAAATGACTCAGTTAAGAAAATGCAGAAAACAATTATTGGTATGATGTGTCCAATAGTAATCATGCTATTTGACTGATGTTCGAATCAAACCATGACAGTCAAGTCTTGAATACAGTTCTTATGTTATTATTATTTTGAAAAGTTTGTAACTGGCTCATGCTGATTTGCACTAAGCAAACCCAGTAATGTGCTGCTGTCTCTGTGATAATTAAATACAAAAATTGAAGAACATTTCTATAAATTTGTGTGACAAAAGAGCTATAGACTCTCAATCACATTTTGTCCATTTGTATGTCTATTATCGCTTCTTGGTTCACGTTCATCCATAAACGTATCGCAAATAAACAACAACAGTTTACAGCCTTCCCTTCCATTTCACGAAAACCCTTACTCTCCTGTCGTGTCTGATTTGCAGTATCCATAGACCTATGACACATGTGGACAACTGATTATGTGCCTGTTCATTACAAGAAGACAGCTATTTCACATGAAATTGCATTGAATAAACAGCACTCGACTTAACGATATTTCACCACTGAGCTGATTCACGTATGATTTACAATGTATCTTATAAATCGGTGGTTTTCATCAACATAAGAGTGAGTCATTTTCAGAATCACCAAATTCCACCAAGAAACGCTTTCCTCATAAGATAAAGAAACCATGCATATTTATATTACCTTCATGATGAACAGACTTGACTAGACGATACACCAGTGATGAAATGACTGATGCTGTCACTCAAAGGTGGCCTCCATATATAGTTATCTTCAGGGGTCACGTGGGTACTCCGCGCTATTATACCGTTTTATGTATACCACGTGGCCGTATCAGTGACGATCGCTTGAACATCATTATTCATACGATCAGTCGGAATTGACTAAACAATGACTTGAAGACGCAAAACGCACATTTCACAACTGAAATAGGAAACAACGTTATTGTTTGGAAAGTTTCAAAATAAGGATGTATTAATCTCTCAGATTATCATATTGTCACTTAGTCAGTCACATAAAGTTCAAACTCAGCTAGATTTACAAAGGACGGGCGAACACATTCCATATAAACCTGTTTACCCTAATTTGCCGCTCATCAATCTTCACTATTACCCTCCTTTTGCATGATTCTTGAGAAATATTAAAGACTAATATTAATTACGAATACAATAAAGCGATTCGCACACAATACTGAGATAAGAGATACGGGGAATGAGGTGGATGCAATCCTTATGACAATTTTATGCACCATTGAAGTTCAAATGAAAATTAATTGATCCCTACATGAGGCTTAAGAAGCTTAGCGGCGGGCCTAACTATCTCACACGAATTGCAACATTGTGAATTCGAAAAAAAACCCCAAAACAATGAATGAATAAGGTATTTTTTCATAATTATTTTTCAAATATAGTTATCACTTTTTGTTTTCATTTCACTACTTGTCTTAAACTGAGACTATAGTAAATACGTGAATATGCCTCCTATTAACCCCTGTGTTTATGTAGCGCACATTTGACCCAAATTACTCATCAGTCTCGTTCCATTCTCCTCTTCAACAAGCTTCTTCTAAAGCCTTTGAGCCTGAATCTGAGAACCTTTCATCGTCTCTTCCAGCTGAAAACGTGAATGTAAAGACTAAGGGAAACCGACATGCCTGACAGTGTTAAAAGTGTGACCGTATATCAATATACAATAACCATAACCTATTCAATAATTTTCTCTTAAAATACTCTTCAACCTAATTTATTCTGTCATGGTCGGCCTGACGTGGGTGATTGCTAGCCTAGTGGCTAATGAGCGTTCGTACTCGTCACGCCGGAATAAATGGATATGGCACGACATTGACTAACTTGACATTCCCAATCCGTGCAAATAATCAAGGTCCGATACTCAGTGATTAATATCTATTCTGATACATTATGAAACGTTTTGCTGTATTGAAAATGGGCACAATGTGTCGAAATTTAAAAACAAAATTGTTTTAGTCATTGCTGGGAGAATTATAACTGTTGCGACTCCGAGCTTCCGGAAAGTTGTTTTAGTTTTCTTTATACTGTTGCACCCTTTGCCTTAGTATTAAAGTATATATTCCAAAGAGGTTTCCTTTATTCTTCTTCGTCCAATACATTGTAGGATATTTGCAACTGCAGTATAATTGCTATGGAGGTAAAGACACGAATTATTTGAATGATCATATATTCTGAATATATGTTCTGCATTAATTTCTTTCACGTTTACTTCTATTACTTCACAAGCGTTATTAGATCAATCTAAAGTATACATTGCGTGCATTATATGATTACCGAAACAGTCAGTTTATGTATCACTTAAAAATTAGTGTTAACTTTGAGTATACAATTACGCAATTAACCGTAACAGTGAGTTTTAATGTTTCAAGTCTACATTAAAGTTAGTGCAATGATTTACGATCTAAGGTTTGCCTTCCCGTGTAGAATCCATTGACCCATACCATGTGAGTAAGAATCCATGAATGAAAAGGATTCAGGTGTATGGAGTCATGCAGGGTAATTTACTTTGCCAAGGGCGTGATGGGCAATGGGCACACTAAACACTTATCCCGTTCCTTCTGTTACTGGGATATCGGACAGTGAAGTTAAATGTACTCTTTGAATATCCTTGTGGTGATCAGATTAAATAGAAACTTGATTAAATATCGTCGATGTAGGCTCGTAAATAATTTATATTCTGGGATTATTTTCAATTTGGGCAACTATAAAACTGATGGTAGACCATGAATATTTATTACTTTCACGTTGTGAGACGCGTAGAAACGTATTGCTCAAGTGATTACTGTGGCGTGATGTCAATGTGTAAAAGTGACCACAGACCCTTCAATTCATCAGAACAGATCTAGATGAGGAACGCCACCTTGAGCATTCATGCGAATCCTCTTGCATGTTATTTGTATTTGCTAACATGTGAATTACCACTGATCAATTTACATTTCCTTCACATGAATACGCTTTAAGTGTTCTTATAGATGGAATATTGCTGAGTGCGGCGTAAAACTAAACTCACTCACTTAGTTTGAGATAAGCGAATATACGACGTAGTTTACATAGTGACTGTGAACATTATGTGAATGTGATCCGTCGAATTTCTGATTTCAAAGTAGTAAAATGCATTCGACAGATGAGCACTGTGATCTTAACTATTAATTAATTATCGAAACATTGGATCATACCAAGAAAAAGACGCGAGGGGTGTTGGATGGTTTGACCCATTTTTTTGTACTTTTGTACTTATCCTCGCCTACTTATATGATACAATGAGAAATTGATGCAATATATTTATGTTTGGACTCTCTTTAATTTTGTACTTTGCAGAAAATTGAAATTGATGCATTAACCCTTGTCTTATGGACGGGGGGGCCAAACCGACTCCATGGCTATAAATATTGTGAATATATAATATCTTTGACCAGCATTTAGAATTGCTGAAGGCAATCAGATTCATTAACCTTTTTTCGGGTCTTCTAACTTGTGTGCCTAGAGCACATTCTAAATGGATTAACAAAACTTTTTTGAACTTATGCAAAGGGAGCTTGGTGGTGATTACTCTGATGAAAGTGATGGTGGATCTGATGAAGATTATCAACCATCTGAAGGATCTGAAAGCACAGATTCCGACTGTGACCAAGAGGATGACGCTACTTCATCTCTGACAATGAGACTGATGTACAAATACAAGCTCCTGACAGGTATTACAGCCGTGATGGAGGACAGTGGTTCAGGGACCCAATGCCACTAGCTCGAACACCTCAGAGAAATATTTGCCAGCTGAATGGAAAAGTCACCAATCAATATCCAGTGGAAGCCTTCACTTTGTATGTCTGTCCTGAAATTGTTGACGATAATGTCAAATGGAGAAATACGTTTGCTGAAACTAAGCTTGGCACACAGTGGAAGCGAAACTATTTAAGAAAACATGTAGTCTAATCCAATACAAGCCGACCCCTTAATTAATGAACTTAGACTCTCCCAGTGTGTTAACACGGTCTGAAATTCGACCGATCAGCACAGAACCACTCAAGCATGATGCGTCTGATCGGCACTGCTCACTGTTCAAAATTCGACGGATTAGGCCGTAACCGATGTGAATAGTGGTAGACCTTGTATTGCTGTTGACGGTATTGGTGAAACGTGACGAAGACCTATAAATACTAATTCTTTACTTAGTTATAAAATATATAACTGCATGTACAAAATCATGTATACATAATCTTTGTTTATGTGTCTCTTCTCTTTATTAGATTGTTGCAACGTGTGAAGTGTTTAAATATGAATATAATCTATAACACTTTACGAAACCCTCCTGATAAAGACTCGGCTCCAACAGCAGTACGAAGGGATACTGAAGTTTCAGTGTTGACTAATTATAGATGTCATGACATTTTCAACTCTTTCACAAGTGATGGTAAAGCTTTGCAAATATTGTATGCATTTTATTTTAAACAATTACAAGCGTTTAGAGCATAATTCATTAATTCATGGCAGTGTATATTGTCGCTCATATAGAATTAAGGCTGACATATCGGCTGTGCTACACATATAACAATGAACAGGATCACGAATAAACGAATAAATTACATTGATCACGATTGAAAACATTATTCCTTTACATTCGATTTCTATGCATGCATACTCGTATTTTCAATATATTCATATGTTAAAGCAAAAGTAAACCAAATGATTTTACAGTGTTTCTGATGAACTTAATTTCTGTTCTGCTGTCAACTCCTCAGTCGCCCCTGTCACCCAATTCATGCGTTTATGCATGGTTCTTGAGAACAGATTGAAGGTTAACGTAATTCACGAATACAATAAAGTCATTCACAACCTAATGAGTTTATGGATACAGGGAATGAAGTGGATGCAATCACTTTGGTAATCTCTTAAAAGTGAAAGAATTTAATTTATCCCCACTGGAGTCTAATGAAGTTTAGCTACGGGCCTAGCTGTTGCACCCGAATGGCAACAGTGTGAATTCAACAAATAAAAAAACATGGAATGAATAACTTATCTATTTATTTTTATTATGTTAATTTCGATAAGCATTCGAATATCTATATCAGAATTCTTTCAAAACACACCATTACAAAAGACCGCTAATTATGAGATTTGCAGCATTTTGTTTGGTACTTGTATGAACTGAAGCTGTTATAATTTCGACACTCACAACATATTACTTTTGCATCATTGCATATAAAGGAAATAACATTTAGACTATGTTTATTGAACTGTTTATTAATTTTACTTACAGTCAAGTCTTGAAAAGTGTTTTACATTTGATGGAAGATTTATACTGTTCATGTTGCAACTTTACACGTTCTTTAGTATGAAAGTATACCTTCCAAATTGGTTAAGTGCATTAAGTGGTTTATATAATTGCAGAAACCAAAGGAAACAGTCAGTTTATGTGTCACTTTCAACACGGCCCATGTGGTCCATATAAGATTTTGTTTCCGTTGGATTCGTAATTACGCATTTACCCAAACCAGCGAGTTTAACTGTCTCATGCCTACTTGAAGTTAGTGAAATAATTTACTAGCTAAGGTTTTCTTTTCCTCTGTCGAGTCCATTGACCCATATCATATCAGTAAGAATCCATGAATGGAAGGACCTATTAAATGCAGCCAATGAAAATTCGGGGGGTCTGACGTCTTGCTGTTTTATTCTCTTTGCCAATGGGCAATGGATATATTAAGCACTTCTACGTTCCATCTATTGCTCTGATATCGGAAAGGGAAAATATACACTTTGAAGTCATCTAAGTGGTCATCGAATATAACACTTCTTGTGAAACTCTTAAGTACGTATTGCTCAAGTGATCACTGAGAAGCGATGAACCACAAACCCTTAATTTCATCCCCACAAGGGCGGATGGGTAGCCTATTGGTTAAAGCGTCCGCTCGTCACGCTGAAGACCCGGGTTCGAATCCCCACATGGGTACAATGTGTGAAGCCCATTTCAGGTGTCCCCCCCGCCGTGATGTTGCTGGAATATTGCTAAAAGCGGCGTAAAACTAAACTCAGTCAGTCAGTCAGTCATCCCCACAAATCCAGATTAGGAAATTCACATTCAACTTTCATGCGGATCCTTGTGCATGTTCTTTCTGAGTGTCCGTTTGCCAACATTTGTTTGAACCTGCTCGTGTCAGTGCAAATTATTTTCACTACTATCATGTGTTTCCATTTCTTTAATTTCGGATTTTACTCGCATTAAAACCATGTTAAACCGAGACTCTAAGCTGCATACTGATGGAAATGAATGGCACCAGAATAGGTATCCATCAGAGAAGGCCAACTCTCTTTGGTTATTTTGACCCAAATCATGTATCCTGGCGTGAATAACCACTCACCCATCTCGATTTCCTTCTCAGAAATATGACTTAAGTAGTCTACATTTTCTTCGCATATTCAGGTGTTTAGAGTCTTTCCTGGTCATTTTCTTTGCCAAGGGTGTGCAGTGCAATGGACATATTAAACAACTCTCACGTTCCGTTCTCCCTCTTGCTCAGAAGTTGTTTGATCAAGGTTACTACTTTCAAAGCCTCAGTAAAGCTTTCAAAAGGTTGTGGAGGACATACGGTATTTCAGGTGAACAGTTGCCTTTGCATATGTTTATGCCGGGTGCCACCGGTGGGGCAGGATACGCTCAACCTCTTCGCGAACACCTGGTATCATCACTATTTCATAGTGATTAATAAACATATACTCTGTACTCTGTATCGCATGGTGACAATCACTGTATTGTCTAATCCAGACTCAGTTTGTTTACAAACAACATAGTACAGCTGTAATATTGCTGAAGCGAATATATGCTCATGATACAGTCACAATTGAACAATCGACTATGCTTTTAGCAGATATTTCTTATGAATGAGGAAAGGGTTGTATTTCTGTTGCTGGGATATCGGACTATTATGTACGCTTTGACTTCACCTTAGTCGTAAAAACACATAACATAAAACACTGACTGTATATCGTCGATGTATGCGTACATAATTTACATTCAGGGTTTTAATTTGGAGATCTATTACACTGATGCTCAGGGAAGGCCTAAGTCTAAGTGTGAATTACCACTGATCCTTCATTGTCCCGAGAGCATGATGTGAATTCCAACTTCTAGAATGCCGATCAAACCATTAATGATTTGAATAGTTTTTGAACCTGTATAATTGTATTTGTAGATGTTCGTTCACATTTTGTGGTACTCCAAGTCCCGTTCATACATGCAATTCAGTCTTGACTATCCTCAGATTTCAGGGGTTAAGAACAAAACAGCTGTGAATCAACCCCAGAAAATCAGTGATACCGGGTACTCGCGATTGGTGTAAACATGTCCAGTAGCACCCGCTGCGAGCCTTAAATCTCAGTTACGTGATAGTGAAGATTAATAGACCATGGATATGTAGGTTTGTCAGCTAAATCTCAACTTGTTATTGTAATACTATGAAAATATCAAATATCACCCAAACCTTGATTTCGCGAAAAGCGAATAGTTTCAGCACAAGACTGCTTCAGCACACTTCGACAGAGAAACAGTTTTGAAACAGTTAACATTACTAAATGTAACACAATCAACACTTGTATGTGCATGCACACGTGTGTCTGTGGACGCGTGCGTGCGTGAGTGGGAGCGGAGGCTGGGGAAGTCGATCTTAATACAAAAGTTTCAAACATATTCTTGTAAACACGGAATGGATTTTAGCATTCTTCTCAATACTAGATATTACATACAAGTAAATGTGTGTAGCTGTGAATGGCAACAGATGCATAAAATAATTAGGAGAAGTTCTATGATTTTTGTGTTAATCGTTGATAATGATCTTCTAAAATATTCAGTCTTAAAGCATTGATTTTCCATCACGTTCAGTCTGTAAGTTCCTTCGAACCGTAGTGAAAATTACATTGTAATTAACATTGAGATCTAGATCAGTACGGACACAATATAGTAGTTAACGTTGATTGAACACAATACGTGGATGTGCTAGGTACATTTTATCCATTTTATTGATGTAAAGAATACAATATCAATACAGTATAAAAACATTCACACACAAAGCATGTACGCATATGTCTCTAGTGGTAGTAATAGGGACTGGCATGAATGAAGCAGCAACTCCATGACCAAAGAAGAGTCAACCATGTCCATAAACACCGTTTCCGACGAAAGGTCCCTGTCCAGCAAAGCTGCCATCATGTCCGTAAAGGCCGTGTCCAGCATTGAAGGGACCGTGTCCAACGAAAGGTCCGTGTCCTACAAGACCAGCTCCGTGACCAGCAACACCTTTACCGTAGCCATTGTTGTTGTAGTTGTAGGGGTTATAGTCGTTACCGTAAGCTTTGCCGGCACCAACGTTACCAACGCCTTTACCGTAGCCATAGCCGTTGTACCCATAGTTGTTGTTGTAGGGGTTGTAGCCATAGCCTGTACCAACAACACCAACGTTTCCAACACCTTTACCGTTACCGTATCCACCATAGCCATAGTTATTGTATGGGTTGTAGCCATAGCCTTTACCAGCAATATGTCCATTGTTGAAGCCAACGCCGAAAGTTCCAACTCCTTTACCAAGGAGAGGCACCTGGGCCATGACAGAGCAGACCATGACGGACAACACAGCGACGACGAACTGAAACCAGAAGTAGTTGAAATTGAAAGAACTCAATTGAGGAAAATTTGTTGGTATGATGTGTCCAATAGTCGTCATGCTGTTTGACAGATGTTAGAATCAAACCATGACAGACAAGTAGCCTTGAATACCGTTCTTATGTTATTATTATTTTTAAATATCCGAAACTGCCTCATGTGAATCAGCACCAAACAAACCAGTAATGTGCTTCTGTGAATAACATTTTAGTAATCCAAGACTCTGTGATAAGGAAATACAGAAAATGAAAAACAGTTCTATAACTTGTTTGGGAAAAGAACTATAGACTCTTCATCACCATTTGTCCATTTGTATGGCTATTATCCATATTTAATCCATATACATATCGCAGATAAGACACAACAATTTACAGCCTTCCCTTTCATTTCACGAAAACCGTTACTCTCCTTTGTCGTGTCTGATTTGCAATATCCATAGGTCTATGACACATGTCGTTTTGGGGACAATCGATATGTTCCTGTTCATAACAAGAAGAGACGGAGCCATTTCACAGGGAATGGTATAGAGTAAACAGCACTCGACTTAACAATATTTCACCACTGAGCTGATTCACGTATGATTTATGTATCTTATAATTCGGTTGTTTTCATAAACATAAGTGTCATGTTCAGAATCACCAAATTCCACCAAGAAACGCGTTCCAGATAAGATAAAGAAACCATGTAAATCTATATTACCTTCATGATGAACAGACTTGACGAGACGATACACCAGTAATGAGATGACTGACACTGTCACTCTAAGGTGGCCTCAATATATACTTATCTTCAGGGATCACGTGGGTACTCCGCGCCGTTATACCGTTATTTGTGTACCACGTGACCGTATCAGCGACGACCGCTTGAACAATTACTTACATTATTATTCACATGGTCAATCGGAATGTACCAAACAATGACTTGATGAATGCAGGCAAATGTGGATTTCACCACTGAAATAAGAAACAGCGTTATTGTTTTAACAGTTTCAATATAACTATTTATCAATCTCTAAGGTTATCATATTGTCATTTGGCCAGTCACAAGATAACACTTTCCCGTATCCATTTCGGAGAATAAAACACAATTTTCATAAAGCACCAACCTTATTTGCTATTAAAGCCATTTGAGCGGTATTGTCAATGTTCCAATTATTTCACGACACAGTGTGTATTAAAATACATGTATATAGACGATTCACTGAAAGGTATTTGATACGCGCTTGTGGTATTTCCTGGTTTAGGAGACATTTAATGCAAATCCACCAAAATATGGATGCACGTCAAGAATGCAAATGAATAGTACTTACTTTGATGGTCAGAAATTGTATACATTTTCCCTTAGAGATTGTTGGTTGTTGATGTATTCATAAACTGACGTATGTGGTGCAAATAAAAATCAATGTCTTTCAAATTGTGTCCCTGGAGGAGATATTAATTTGTTTTCTTCTTATTTCAAGAAAACGCCATTACGTATATTGTACGGATGTCAGATTCTTTTTAATGAACCTGAGTCTGCCACATGACATGAAACAGAGATAAGACAAAATTAAATGATACGTATATAAAAACTTACTATCATCTTGTATTACTGAATAAAGTGAAATAAGTAATGAATTTCAGTGTATTTTTCGCAAGAGAAATTGTACAGCTTGTCTTTGTTTGTTTGTGTGCTTATTCAAATAAAGACCACACTTGACAATGGCTTTAGAATCTATATTGAAACGTCACCTATCACAGAATACAGAAGTTGTATATCCATAAAATTATCATCATTCTTCATCACCTGAACTTCTTAATGCTCATCAAAGAAGTTTTATTTTGTGTGTAGATTTAATAGATGTCATTAAATTTTCAGGTCTGACGTGGTTTAGGGTGTAATAAAACGTGATTAAAGGCTGATATATCTAATCACAGACAGAGAGACAGAGAGACAGAGAGACAGTGAGACAGAGACAGACAGAAACCAGATAATAAGATTTTATATGGTCTTTGGTTTAGATAATGTTAGACTAATGTTCGAAAAAGAGGTTTGAATCAATGAAACTGTGGATTTTGCTTTTCGAACTGTGGTACGTTTTAATAAATGTTGAATATAACGAATGTGAAGATAAGATTTCGCCGCTCATCAATTGCCACTCTTACACACTGTTTGCGTTTATTCATGATTCTTAGATAGACTAAAGACTAATATAAATAACGAATACAATGAAGCGATTCGCACACCTACTGAGAGAAGGGAGACAGGGAGTGAAGTGGATGCAATCCTTATCACAATGAACTTAAAATAAAATGAGGCTTAGCAGTGAGCAACATTGTGAACCCCCCATCCCCCCAAAAAAAAATAAATAAATAAAAAATAATAATAATAATAATTAAATGAAAAAATAAAAATAAAATATAATGGCAACCTGTGAATTGTCCCCCAAAAGAAGAAATAAACATTGAATGAATTTGGTACAATTGTTGATACTTTTTTTTTACTTCACTACTTTAATATATTGAGACTTCAGTTACTATGTTAATATGCCTCTTATTAACCCCGGTGTTTATCTAGCACACATATGATCCATCAGACTCATTCCATTCTCATCTTCGACAAGCTTCTTCTAAAGCCTTTCAGTCTGAATCTGAGAACCTTTCACCTTCTCTTCCAGCTGAAAACGTGAATGGAAGACTAAGGGAAACCGACATGCCTGACAGTGTTGATAGTGTGCCCGTATATCAATATACAACAAACCATAACCTGTACAATAATTTTCTTTCTGAAATACTCTGTACCTGGTTTATTCTGTCATGATCGCAGTGTTACCTGACGTACATGGAAATCCCGAATGAGTGGATTTTTATTTGCACATTGGTTTACTTAACATTCCACAATCCGTGCAAATAATTAAGGTCCGATACTCAGTGATTAATATTATGAGAAAAGGCGACGAAGTACCAGGTGCGGTGACACAAAATATACATTGTCAACAAGTCTGATACATTATGAAATGTTTTGCTGTATTGAAAACGACAACGACGAACTGTTCATTGGACAAGCAATTTAACGGAGAATTATGTGTTTCGAATATTTAAATAACAGAATTATAAAAACAACAACAAGAGATATAACAAAATGCAACTGATTATGAGATGACGTGACAAATGTATTTGCAGTATTCGTTACCCTGAGGTGACTAACCATGTTAGGAAATAACACTGAGACTATTTATATTTAATTGACCCATACAACATGAGTAAGAATCCATGAATGAAAAGGATTCAGGTGTATGGAGTCATGCTGGGTAATTTACTTTGCCAAGGGTGTGATGGGCAATTGTCATACTAAACACTTCTCCCGTTCCTTCTGTTGCTGGGATATCTGACAGTGAAGTTAAAATGTACTCTTTGAATCTTTCTCAGTGGTGATCACATTAGATAGAACCCTGATTAAATATCGTCGATGCATGCTCGCAAATAATTTATATTCAGGGATTATTTTAAATTTAGGCCACGATAAAACTGATGGTGGACCATGAATATTTATTACTTTCACTTTGTGAGACGCGTAGAAACCTATAGCTATTGCTCAAGTGATTACTGTGTCGTGATCTTAATGTGTAAAGGCGCCCACAGACCCTTCAGTTCATCCCTACAGATCTAGATGAGGAACGCCACCTTCAGCATTCATGCGAATCCTTGTGCATGTTATTTCTATTTGTTAACACTTTTTTGAACATGCTTGTGTCACTGCCAAAGCATTTTCACTGATATCCTATTTTACATTCTTTCATATATGGATATCAAAATCTTCGAAAATCAAGAGTCGAAGCCTATGACTGGCACGGGATAGGTCATAGTGTGAATTACCACTGATCCATTTCCTTCATATGAGTACGATATAGGTATTCATATGGCTGGAATATTGCTGGGTGCGGCGTAAAACTAAACTCACTCACTCGGTTTGAGACAAGTGAATATACGACGTAGTTTACATAGGGATTGTGAACATGATGTGAATAGTGGTAGAACTTGTATTGTTGTTGATGTTCTTTGATAAAACCTCTGGATATTACAGTAACGGAGACCTATAAATGCTAAATCTTTGCTTAGTGCATAGCTGCATCTACAAAAACATATATACATAATTGTCTATTTTTGTTTATGTGTCTCTTGTCTTTTATGTAGATTGTTGCAACGTGTGAAGTGTTTAAATATGAATATAATCTATGACAACAAGTGACTATAACAACAAATAAATATTGATGAGGAAAGTTTGTATATGTTAAGTCTTAATAATCTGATTCACAGGGACATTCAAAAATGTCTATGTGTAATGATAATGGGCATGAAGAACGAGCTTGAAACATGGATCATCTCATGTACATGGCAAACACGATCCGAAACCATGATTGTACGTAAGCTTCTTGCAATCCTAAGAAAGGCACATTGTACATATGCGACTGCAAGTCAATTTGGATTTGTATCGGACATAATTTGGCGTCAAATGTTGTTCCTATGTCTTCCATTAAACCTTTTGAATGCTTCACTAGGGCCTTGAATGATGTTATTATCTAACCACGTTTGATCAAGAGTCGCATGACACTCTTTGAAATCTTCGTTGACTGAGCATGTTTGATGATACCTGAGCTTATTGTTAAATGCAGTAATAATGTGTATCACAATTTGGATTTTAACTTAAAATTGTTTCACCCACAGCGAAAGACAATGAGGTGCATCTTTTCTTTTTGCCCTTGTTTTGGCATAAGCCCAATGGCTGCTTAATGTCTGTTCTGCCGTGTTGATTACAGTTCCTTACAAACGAACACGGCGCATCCGAAACTAGCATATTTGAAAACATGTACATGACTTGTGTTTTTTTGGCATCCCTTTCGTTTTATAGTATTTCAATTTAGAAGACTCGGGCATGATGTACAGTGTGATATTAGCAATGCTGTGTTTAAAATACGTTATGTGTTATGCTATATGGACACAGTGTTAATATCATGTTTAACATAATAGTTGTATTTCCTTTCGAAGTATGATATGTATTGACTATATTCCCAATCCCGTTTAAGACATTAACACGACCACGATGTAATTTTGTGTTTTCCTTCCTCCATTCCTTAACGCGTAAGTCCAAAATGAGCTCATGAATCATTATGTTTAAAGTAGAAGTATTAGACCTTGGAATCACTCAATTCAATTCAATTACCAAGCCATTTGAAGATTACTCTTACGGGTTTTGAAAATGATTTCCACTAAACAGCAAATGTTGAGATAGTGAGTCTAACTACACTGTAGAGTGAGTGAGTGAGTTGGGTTTTACGCCAGTGTATGCACCTTTAGCTCCAGTAATGGGCTTTACACATTTTACCCATGTGCATGTAGGGTGTCGAACTCGTGTCTTTGAGGTGACGAGCAAACGCTACAACCATATATCTACCCTATTGTCTAGAGTATAAACAGAGCATCAACATGTGTTAAGGCTTCAGTGAGTTAGATTGAAAAAAGTATCACACAGTATTATGCAATTTTCCAACCGCAATTGCCCTTGGTAAATATCGAAACGGGGCCTTTGGCGTGACGAACCAACACTAAGCTTGCCCTCCACCTCCGGAAAGATAAAAGAGACGAAATAGCTCATATGACATGAAAGATTTTTTATTTTACATACTTCAACCCATGGGATTCTTGAAGCACACTACTATGTTTGTTGGTTTAGTGATGACCAAAGAAGGATCAGCGTCCTCCAACGAGCCGACGGCCTCCAGACAGACCAGCGAAACCATGTCCTCCAATAAGACCACGTCCTCCAAAGCCTCCAAAAGCTCCAGCTACCCCATGCCCGCCGATAATTGAACCAGCCCCTCCGAAGACATTTCCTCCGACGAAGGGTCCAGCATGTCCAAAGCATCATGTGTTGTCTTTTCCACACCATTGCCATTGGATACACTTCCCGGTTTGTAGACTATTCACTCACTCACTCACTCACTCTCACTCACTCACTCACCTACCTCTCCCACTCTCACTCACTCGCACTCAACTCACCTCACTCACACTTGTTCTGTCTACATAGCAAATATTTAACTCACTCACTCCTGAGATATTGTTCTGAATGGAAGCAAATACTTGCTTGAAAATTGTACAAAAGCAAATGTTCGTACAAAAGGCACGTGCAAGTACGTGCTTGTGTGTTGTGTCGAAGTATAGGGTAAGGGTATAGTTCATTTAAAATTAAGACTACTGTATTTCTATTTTCATACATATTGTTGTCGTCGTTTGACAGTTATCTATGTGTGAAGGCATTGTTGTCACTGTTTAACATTGCTCGATGCCATTAATCAAAAGAAGAAATTCAGTAAGCATGGTATATTAGGTGACTATTAGTGGTTATTAAGGTTCTGAGGAAATAGAAATTACTCTCTGCCAGACACAAGGAAAAGTTAGTTACATGAGAGAAAAGCCGACTGAATGTTCTTTACCTGACTGATATATTCGTTGCTGTGACATTTCATATTAAACTTCTTCATCGTAAAGTAGAAGACTCGGGTTCGATTCCCCTCAGGGGAGCAATATACGGAAAATTCTTGTTTTATGTCTTGCAATTTCTGGAATATTGCCAGAGACGGCATAAAAAAAGAGTAAAACACACGAACATTAGCCGAGGAAAATTACATTTTCTCCAGATGGATGTACCTTCTCGCTGCATTATCTTATGAGAGATGGTGTACAGAAGAAGATCTAACATTGATTTTATTTAGATAACATTATAACATTTAGAAAATAGCAAGCATTCATGCACAAATGTTAGTTTCTAAACGATTTGCTTTTACATTACCATGTTGTTCTAAACTGGCGATATTTCATACTTGTTTAGTACAGGAAGCAGACGTAAAATGACACTTAGCATAAAACTTAAGTGCACATGAATACCCAGCCTTGACTATCTTCAGTGGCCTATTTTATTCCAAATCCCCTTAATGTAAAAGAACATGTTTCAGTCATCATGAAAGGAGACTTACTCCAGCTACATGTGAACGGATTCATTTGTCAAAATATCAGATTGTCATTCCACGTGTAGGTTCAAGCCAGCAATTAAAGCAAATAGTTACCATAGTTACCAAACTGCCAATGGATGAATCAATTATCACCCAGGCTGTTAAGTGAGACAGAACTCAGTGTCCGTCATCCTGATCGTCATGTTTATCATAGCAATAGAATATTGATGGAAAGCAATACTATATTTGTGACTCGTGCCTATATGTGAGCGCTCATTAAAACAAATATTGACTTAAAAACGGCCAAACATTTGAAGTTCGTTCTGATAAATTTGTGTCGAGAATTCTGCATCGTATGACTATTGCAGTGCTAAAAACATTGATGTACAAAAGATAGATAAAATGTCTGATGGCATTATTTTATGATCAATAGGGGACTCCGCTGTCGTTTGAGACTGAGCTCTGGTGACATCCAAAAACAATCCAAGCCATACATCTTACATCAAACGAAATATCAAAGATGTACATCAAACGAAAAGTAAACTCAAACAGCTCGAGTGTTGCTCACACAAAAGAATAATATGTGTTTTGCACCGTTTTCTTATCGACGATATCATTTCATTGCTGCCGGTGTATGAGCCGGAATAGCACAAGTAAGACGATATGACCATACTAAACAGAGAGATCCTAAGTTCGCCAAATGGTGTCCAGAACCAAATGAGCTCTAACAGACTAAACAGTGGGACCCTGTGGCAATTTTGTCTTCATTGCATATTGCTGATACTCTGCCATAGTTTTTTTCATTTGCCTCTGATGGTAAATTAGCAGTCCACCATTTTTCAGATACTTCATTATTCCACTTCATAAAAAGGCCAGATCAGCGTGCAAGAGAGAACGTGTCTTAAAGTAAATCTTAAGTTATAAACAAAGCATTAATACCGATGTGAAATTATCATTGCAACTCTACGTTAAACGTATCCCCCCTTATTTTTTCTTTAGTGAGTGAGTGAATATGGTTTTACGCCGCTTTAAGTAATATTCCAGCAATGTCACGGTGGGGGACACCAGAGATTGGCTTCACACATTGTACCCATGTGGAAAATCAAACCCGGGTTTTCGGCGTGACAAGCGGACGCTTTAACCACCAGGTGATATTGCTGGAATATTGCTAAAGGCGGCGTAAAACCAAACTCACTCACTCAATTTAATGTGTACCTGTAAATATAACATCACTTCAAAACAATTTCCACATTGAAACTGCTGTAACTCAAACAAGGAAAACGAACAATCAACACTTGAGCTTGGCTAGTGGAAATTAAACAAACAGTACATAGCCTGAGAATACACTTTGGTTTTGATTTTGAAAATGCAATTCTTCACATGGCCTGCCTGTAAACACACCCGACATCAATCTTCAAAGAAAAAGAAAATTTGTTTCTGTAAAACATGGTTGATGAGGACATGATGGCTGTTGGTTTCAGTTTATGTCATTCTGAATTCAATCCTTCAACAGAGTGAAATTTTAAACATTTAGGAGAGAGCACAGTTTAATATATGGATCGGTCGACATACCTGGGTCAAATGGTGGTCATGAACTTGAATTAAGTCTAAACTCGAATCAAGTTTTACGACAATCAATCATTACCATATTCACTGGTCCTGCCAGTGATATTTATTGTATATATAGCTGAACGTATTGTATATAACAGATGTTCGGGCCTTTATTTCTTTACCTGAGCCCTTAAGACCAGCCTAGAAGCAGTCTTACAGCGCACCATCACACAATGAAGAAGGTAATGACATGATTGAATTGTATCACTGGTGTCCCATTGGAGTCATAGTTGATAGTATCAATATAAATACTATATTTGTAGATTTAATAAAATATATTGACACATTTTTGTGGGGAAAGATGGTATGATAAATTGCAGTCTTTGGTAATGGATCCTAATTACGAAGGTTTTTTATAACAAGCCGGGCGATCAGGTGGACTGTCTGGTTCAGGTTGTTTTCTGGACTGTCTGGTTCAGACCCGAATCTTATGGACTCAGGATATGTGAAGCAAATATATTGGATAGGTGTTGGATTGACTCTGTGACATCGTTGTTTGCATGTGATCCTGCCCTGACCAAGTGGACATTGCTCAACCACGTGTTGGTCTAATCAACATTCCAGTATTTACAAGGCTCAGTCATATAGCATGGGTATTGTTGACTGCGGCTCTCTCACTTACTCACTCACTCACTCACTCTCACCCAACCACCCAAACTCACTCACTCACTCACAGCTCACTCACTCAGCTCACTCACTCACTCATATCTATTGTTCCAGGTCACGCTCATTGTCTTCGCCATGTTGAGTTCATCCGTCCTTGCCGTGGGGCCAGGGTTACTCGGCATTGGCTTCAATGGAGGTTTGGGTCTCACTGGAGGACAGAGAATCAACACAGGCTTTGGTTTCAATAGATTCGGTTTGGGTGTGATTGGCAACGGTTACCTTGGCTACAATAATGGACATGGCTACAACAGTTACAACGGAATCAGCGGTCTGAATGGATTTGGTCTCCATGGGAACGGTTATGGTCATCGAGGCTTTGGCAATAGCCTTCTTGGTGTGGGCTTTGGTAGATTCGGAGGTGTTTACCATTGACTGTATCGACCTACAGTACGTTATCCATGAACACTGTTGAAGCACTTTTTGTTACTTTATTGATAATAAATGATTCTTTTAAAATGTTGAAAGTTGATGAATTACCGGTCAAAAGACGCAGTCACCCCGACCATATAGCACACACACACACACACACACACACACACAGAGAGAGAGAGAGAGAGAGAGAGACACACACACAGAGACACACATGCTTACATACATATGATTACATCCATCGATTCACCCATCCATTCACACAAAGACACACACACACACACACACACACACACAGTGATGTACATATGATCTTTAGATTTTTACCAATATATTTTGTTGGACGTAAACATATAAAAAGCGGATTTCAAAGCTTCGTGTCTTGATATAGATCTTGTTTTCATCTTAAGTCTTAACCGACTTGTCAGATTGGTGCTTGAAAAGAAGCATTAAAACAGTGATAGATAGCTACCTCAAAGGCTTATAAAAGTAAGGATATCAAGATCAAAGATGAAAGACAAACTATAGATAATACTATGTAAAAGATCCGTGAAGGTCCAGGTTAGAATATTGATCTTCAGTAACCCATGTTTGTCGTAGGAGGCGACTAACGGGATCGGGCGGTCAGGCTTGCTGACTTGGTTGTCACATGTCATCGATTCCCAAATGCGCAGATGGATGCTCATGCTGTTGATCACTGGATTATCTGTTCCAGAATCGATATTTACAGACCGCCGCCATATAGCTGGAATATTGCTGAGTGCGGCGTAAAACTATACTCACTCACTATGTAAAATGTACAGTTACATACATATTTAGCTGTCACGCTATATGTCATCTAATCTTCAATTTCGTAACCAAAACCACATATGATAATGGTTATATACACGTGCATGTACGTGTACAAGTATGAACGTGGGAAGTTAAATTCACGGACAAGCACAGGGCCGGGTTTCTTGTCTTTGCTACGCAGAGGACGTGGCTTAAGATGGGCACTTCAGATACCTAAACAAAGAAATCATAGTTGTTAGGCTTATAGCATACTATTTTCCAGCTTCTACTTATATCATCTGTATATGTTACGTACATATTCATAAGGGGAGGAAATCTGACCTCACTGTCAACTCTGTGAATGAATATTTCATGATATTACTTTTTTATGTACATTTCAGGCTCTTGAAAGTCTAATTTGAATAAAATGCAGCATTTGTAATTTGATTATGGATACCGTATTTTCCCCAAAACGTAGCACCACTGCTGTACAGTGTATATGAAATGCAGCAGCCATATTTTATTCTGCAAAACACATAAAGGGCATGGCGCACCTTCTGTGGATGCGGATTTAGGAAAAGTGAGCATTCGCTGACTATAACCACCCCTACCTACATCCATCCTCTTCCCCCTAAATGTACATCAGTGGATCCTGATGCCACCAAGGGACGTTAAATTGATTCATGTTAAAAACCTAACGTGACAGCAGTAGGCGTTCCTTTAAATACAATAACGTTAATCAGTACAGTCCAGCTGATTTCATTTGAGATCGATGACTTGCTCACTAGCACAAACTATAATAACTGCAACAAAACCAAATTTTGCGAGTTGCACGTGTGAATTGAAATTGCACTATACTCGCTTATTGATTACCTGGCTCATCTACCAGCATGTCCCCACCCTCTAAAAGTGACAACAAAATAATGATCGCTTGTTAATCTTTTATATTCGGGAGTCAAATCATCAGAGTTGGTCTGCCGATTTCATGTGACCTTGTTGCAATCATTATACTTTGTGTTAGTAAGCAATTCATCGGTCTCAAATGAAATCAAACGGACTGTAATTGTCAATATTCAATTTTCTATGATAAGAGAAGTCAAATGTCAATACACAAATATAATTGATTAATTCCATTTGGATATAGTGCTTGATGACGGCGTAAGAATCTGCATCGAAAAGTTGCTAACAGCAGTAAACAAAGTTGTTGTCTATAAAGCTGTACGCTTCATTATTCTTAAGATAGTGTACCTTTCGCTAACAATTAGTGTAGATGTCTTTCATCTCCTACTAGAATATGCTGATTGCTTTGTGGCAATATATGCTCTGCCCTTAGGCGATCTCCCTTAACCTTTTATATGCTTGTTATGGACGGTTATCTCCCATTTGACAGACACCCAATTGGCAGACACTGAACTAGAAGGATAATTAGAGTAACACCTATGGGTATAATGGAACAGTCCACTGTCCAGTGAGTAGAGCAGGGTGAGCCTGAAACAGGCTTGTCACTGAGAAGTTTGATTGTGGGTAAATAGAACTTTGTTGTGATTAAATGATAAATGATATCTCTCCTCAAAATTGATTTTACTATCAATTACTATCGAATATAAAAACAGGTTTGTCACTGAGAGGTTTGATTATGTTTATTGATAGAAAAGCCCCCTCCCAATAATAGCATATGTACGACAGAAGTTAATTGAGAAAAGTTTTGTTGGAGAGATATAGATATGTACATATTTGAAAACATTCTGATTTGCAGTAAATGAGACATCTGCATTGCCATGTAAGATACGATTAATACCAATCAGTGTTCTAATTTTAACAATACTTTCTAAAGATTGTAACAGTTTATGTCTTTGAGTAGTATACAATGGACATTCAAGGAAGTAATGAAAAACATTCTCACATCCATGGCCACATTGACATGATGCGTCATATTTTAAATATTTATTCTAAATAAATCGTAATTAAGTGCACTCGTCATATGTCTTAATATTGTGTGCAAAACATATAACTGCTTTATTCCATATGAATAATATTTAGGTTCACATTTGTCTTTATTTGATTTATATGATACAACAGTGTCGCAATTTCTAATAGATATGCTAATGTTTTCAATATGATGATGCCGACTCCCGTTAGACTAGAAATGTTTATGAAATTAACTGTCTTTTCATCCATTTTTCAAAATAAATAATATAGCTTCAGTTTGTTCCTGTGTTTTTATTTGGATTATTCCAATATAATGTGTAGGTAACAGGTAGTAGATAACCTGTTCACTGAACCGTAAATGTTGTTGTTTTAAGGTGTCTGCGAACTGGCTGTCTGCGTAATGGGAGGACACCTTATGGACACTTACGACTGTCTTGCAATAGTGTCGTTTAGTGGAACGTGACCCATAACAAAGAAATAGTTCATTGCTTAACATGACTGTGGTTGGACAGTCAATCGATATATTGAACACTTCTTTTAACCTCCGTCTTCCAGGCTGGTTTAATTTATAGAATGACGACTGGCTGTACAAGTTGTGAGGCGTCAAATACGCACGTGCAAATCGTGTTTGTCTATTTCCGGGGCATCAACTGTCGCAAAGTAGCTCCCGTTGTGACTAAGTCTCTTCATTCGCATATACAAAATATTGATCTCGCGAATTATATTTAGAAATCTTTCAGTAAAAGAAATAACTTTATTTGTGTCTTATCTACTATATATCACAGTATATCTTTACCGTGGCCGGTGATTGTAGGCTTCCGAGCTGTCAAATTTACGTTGAGGAAACGTTATGCTTTGGGCTCCTCACAAAGTTATAGCAACGTTTCTTATAACCTGGTGTCAGAATGGAGTTTTCTGTACAACTTTTCACTTTGAGATTCTTTCTTCACTATTCAGCTACAGTTTCAGCAAACACACGGCCAAATCAACATGCACATTGACGGATAAACATTGAAGTGAATTTCTGCTTTGTTTCTTGTGTACTGTTCACTACTAGGAAAACTATTCAACTATTAACGTAAAATAGAACGTAAGACAACGTCAATGCGTTAGCATCCAATAACTTCAACCTTGTGGCGACGTACAAATGACTTATCACAACGTCAGGCCACAATGATGTGACAAAGTAAATAGGACTCCAAAGAATAACGTTGTAACAGGGAAAGCATAACGTTGTGACAACGAGATACTGTTAGCTGGGTGGTAGACACGTAATGAGGTTCCTAATATATAGATCACACATATATATATACGGTAAGGACTTGATCAAAGAAATTTTGTTGACCGACAGGCATGTAGGTATGTCGATTTGTTGCACTGCTTCTGTCTTTACCCGTAACGTCTTGTAATGTCCCATGTAATATCATATAGGGGCACTTTTCTTTTTCAGAGATTTAGTTAGGACGCCCTCCACAGAAAACATAACAAAATATCTTAACCAGTTTCTATTGATAAATACGGTGTAAATGCTGTTAGGAAAATATAAAAAATGATTTCTTACCTTTATTCTTACTTCTTTACAAATCAAAATGTACACAACTTTGTTAAGCACCCCCTGACATATCCCACGATTGAATTAGCCCCGATCTTAACCCTTTGTGGACACTCATACTAGACAGCACCCGCAACTCATCCTTACACTCATCGTATCCCAGTTGCGTATATCGATGCGCATGTTGTTGATCACTGGATTGTCTGGTCCAGACGTGAATATTTACAGACCGACGACATATAGCTGGAATATTGTTGAGTTGCAATAAACAACAATCAAGCAAGCAGTCAATCAATGGTGGTATTGACATGATGAAATGGTATCAGCTGAAGCGTCTATGTGACAACTAAGCACATTTCCCATAAAGGACAACATACCAGTCACCAAGTCACATGAAATATACCAAACCAAAGCAAAATCCTGAATGGTCTTAATTTTGTAACGGTTATTTTAGTGATGGTAATGATAATATGTTCTGAGATGTACACTAAACGCCAAAAGAAACGTTACCCTCCTTCCTTAATGATGGAGGTACCTATCTTCAGCTGGCGTTGTGATGCGTCGACGTCCACTTCTTGGTCTGTCTACGGTGACTCCAGTCTGTCTGAAGCCCTGAATAAGTCTTATAACCGTGATACGGTGGCATCCGTGGGCGTTGGCAACAGCATTGTATGTCGATCCCTTCTGCACCATCCCAATGGCTCTTTCTCTCTCTTCAGCTGTTAATCGTGGCATATTTCTCGTACTA